GAAAGAAGAAGGACTGGGAGCTGGTTGAGGTTGGTTGACGTTGTCCATCTCGTCATGAACTCAGCCACTCGCTGGGCGCCGGATAAGAGCCCAGGAGCGACGTGTGCCCGTGCCTGCCGCGGCCGCTAGCCCCGACCCCAGCATCTCCACCCACATGCGTCACGTCCTAGTGCGGCTTAACAGACAATAATTCACAAGAGTCACAACACGCCCTGTGACTCAATTCACCGTCGCTGTGACTATATCACGCCTCTGCGTCGCTCCATCTAGCTCCACACACGCAATTGACGCACCATGCCCGCTTTCCGCCCCTCCCCCGCCGCTCTACGAAGCTTGCGCCGCTGCTACTCTACTTCACCAGCTGCACCTCCGACATCGCCATTCGCGCCGCGCCATCTCCTGTCCATAGCAGATCTCACGCCCGCCGAGCTGACTACACTCGTCCAAAATGCGCACCAACACAAGACGGCCATCAAGCAGACGGGAGAGGTGCCGCATTCGATGCGCGGGGCACTCGCAGGCAAGACCGTCGCAATGACCTTCAGCAAACGGAGTACCCGCACAAGGGTGTCGACCGAAGGCGCCATCGCGGCTTTTGGAGGCTCACCCATGTTCCTAGGCAAGGACGACATACAGCTGGGTGTATGGCAGAGCCTGCTACTTGCACCTTACCTGCTGACGCGACAATTCTAGGTCAACGAATCCCTCTACGACACTTCGCTCGTCCTCTCCAGCATGACCGCCGCAATCGTAGCCCGCGTAGGTCCTCACTCTGACGTCGCCGACCTCGCCAAGCACTCGAGCGTCCCCGTCATAAACGCCCTCTCCGACCTCTACCACCCCCTCCAGATCATCGCCGACTTGCTGACCATGGCCGAAATATACCCTTCCACATCCTCTACCTCTCTCGGCCTAGAGGGTCTGAAGATTGCATGGATAGGAGATGCGAACAATGTCCTTTTTGATCTAGCCATTGGTGCAACAAAGCTAGGCATCGATATCGCCGTCGCAACCCCCGCTGGCTACGAGATTCCCAAGGCCATGCGTGAAGTCATCTCCCATGCCGCGCAAACGTCTCCCCACCCAGGCAAACTCTTCGAAACCAACACGCCCGAAGAAGCCATCAAGAATGCAGATATCCTCGTGACAGACACTTGGGTATCCATGGGCCAGGAAGAGGAGACTGCCAAGCGCCTCAAAGCCTTCTCCGGCTTCCAGATCACCTCTGAACTGGCGAAACGTGGCGGCGCCAAGGACAACTGGAGCTTCATGCATTGCCTACCCAGGCATCCCGAGGAGGTTGCTGATGAGGTCTTTTACGGGCCGAGGAGTGTCGTGTTCAAGGAGGCAGAGAACAGGTTATGGGCAGCCATTTCTGCGCTGGAAGCCTTCGTTGTGAACAAGGGAAACATTCAGTGACTAGATCCATGGTTCGAATGAACAAAGCTTCTTGATATCTATGATGAATCCATACCAAGCGATTGCATCAGCTAGCCGAGACACCCTACGGATTACTCTCTTTTCTTCTCGTCTTTGCCGTCCTTTCCATCTTCACTGCCCTCTTCATTGCCGTTTCTGTCTTTCAATCCTTCTACACCCTTTCCCCAAGCCCCAGCCTTCTTGCCCCACGTCATCATACCCCAGGCATGTGTCCAGCTGAATTTGGGCGGAGCATCAGGATGTGTGCGGAAGGGACTTGCACCATGCTTGAACATGTCCTCCATCTCCTTCTGACGGTCCTTTTCAACTTCGTCTTTGGACAAAATCTTTGTGTTAGGCGGAAGTGACTCCGGCGACGGCGCTGGACAAGGTTTTGACGTAACAGAAGCCCTTTCCCAGTGTCTTGATTCAAGAGGAAGAGGCCTCCACCATGGCGTCGCCTCGTCAGCCGCAGCAGAAAAGCGATCCCACCACCTCCCTGAACACATTTCCCAAATCCGACTTTCCGCCCTCTTGACAGCAAACTTCTCATCTTCACCTGTCAAACCCCCTATATTAGCAAAGTCGGGAGACCCAGGACCAAATTTCCGCTCGTCTGTGAAAGAAGTTCCTGCCTGGCGGGAGCGATTTGGTGGATCATCTTCTAGTGCGTCTTCGGATAGACTATCGCCAGAATAGGACGAGATGTTCGGTCTGAAGGGTGAATTGAGATCTTGGTAAATCTCTGAATATGTCTCTGGGTATACGGCGTCATTGTCTAGTGTCTCTTGTCCTGGTTCCGCCGTAGATGGTCGGGATGGAAAGAAAATTCCATCGGGACCTGCAGCCGCCGTCATCATCAATCTACATCTTGCTTCGTACATGGCGTCGAGCAAAGTGATGAGCCGTCTTGCTTCGCTCTTCATCAGTAAGCCCATGACAGGTACATCGGTGACGATGAAGGTATGGTATGTAGATGCTAAAGTGATGTAGTCTGCTGGACCTAAGACTGCGCCGCAGAGCTCAGCAAAAGTGAAGAATGCCACACCATTATACTGAGCAGGAATCTCGAGGGGCCGGTTGTAGACCGTGAGGGTCGCGGGCTCCCAAGGGACCGGGTATTCGCGATTCGTTGCGCGCTCGACGAGAGAGTTGAAAGATTCGCCAAACTCTATCATCGTCTCTGTAGTGATGGGCTGAATGAGGTAGTTCTTTGGAAGAAAAGATGAAGTCTCCATGGCTTCGGGGGCTGTATCTCGCGGTGCACTGGAAGGATCTGTAGTACCCATTGCCTCGACTGTCGAGGTTGCAGTGGCGTTGGCAGCAACGGTTTCGGATGCTGGCATCTGCACACTATCTCTTCTCCCCTCCTGTTCTTCGCTTTCAATCTTCCGATAATCTTTCTTCCCTTCCATTTCCCAAACTTCGCATCTCGCCCTAAGCACCTCCAAGAACGCGGCGAACTCTCCCATCTGGCCAGCCCCATCATCTCTCCTCGTATACGAGCTCTTGCTCATACTCCATCCTAACCGGCTAAGGCGAGTAACAGGACGCGAAAACTCCATACCCGCGGCTTTGGCCAACTCTTCTGGCATGCGGTTGCTGGTCGCAATGAGTACGCCACCAAGCTGGAAGAACGACGTCATGAGATTGGACAGAATCTTGCTAGCAGCGCGATCTGGCAATTGAAACTCATCCAAGAAGAGGATGGGAGACTTCTCGATAAGGTCGCGTGCCACGAGAAGTAGAGAATACTCATCGTGAGCGGTCCCAGGTCCTGCCACTAGTGATCTCGACATTCGCAGTTGCTCCAGACGCGAGATGGTATCGAGCATGAAGGTATTGAAGTGCCATCGCCGCTTCTTGCGGTTTGGTAGACAATCTTGGAAGAGATCTATCAGCATACTCTTTCCGGTACCAACTTCGCCGTGGAGCATGAGGCCTTTGGGACTTTGCAGTTGCATGGCCTCATCGTGGCTAGTCAGAACACGTGTCAATGCTTTGGAGTCTCTTTGGTCTTTTTGCGCAAGTAAAGACGTCCACACGCCCCTTCTACCGAAGCGGTTGACGTGTGAGTCTGTTGATGATGACGATGCATCTTGGCCCGCATCGACAGCTCGTGTAAGTTGTTGAAGCCTCTTGGAGTATTCTACAGTCGGTTCATAGTCGATCAACCTGTCATAGAGCTTCTGTAAATGTAATGCTGCGTTCAGTTTTAGTACATGCTCGACGCTAGTGTTGTCTAAATGGTAGACGTCATACCGAGACGATGCTGAGCTGGATCAGGTCGGATCTTCTGTGTAGCAATGAGACTGCGATAGAGCACCAAAGGGTTGGTGATCGTAACACCGGTGGAAGGCATTGGTAGTCATTGGTTGAAGAAACGAAAGTCTATGTGGCAGGATGTTTGAAGTCGACATGGCCGAGGTGATCTGCCCCGACTTTCGACTAGACTGCAATCGGCGCTAGCGCTTTTTGGGAAGTGCCGATGGATGGGCAGGCAACGCGCCATCAAAAGAGGCGAGGTTGAGAAACAGAACAATTATCCCAATAATTGCTATCAACGCCGGCAAGATGCAACATGGTATCGCGCTTAGAGTACAGTTCAATCAAATGCTTGTAACGCCGGGAGACCACGCATCGGCTATCTTTTTGACCTCTTGGATGAACTTGCGACTTGTGATCTGTGTCGAACCGATCCTATGTTCGGCATTTGCTGTAACTGGGGAGTGCTCATCTGGATCGTAGAACCTACACAGTAGAACCAGAAATTAGTATGCGTCTTGTTCGCACATGGTCCTGGATCGTCTTACGGGTTCCTCAATAGCTTGATGTAAGCTGTCTGCAACGCCCTGAAAGCCTGATGGATATTAGAGATTGCCCGAGATATAGAGCTTTGATCGTACAGGTTTCATGTCCGCATCTCGTAGCCCAACAGCAGTCGCGGTCTTGCTGTCGAGAGCTGTAGCTGGCCTGCCTTCCATGTCGACAACGATGACGAACTTGACTCCGGTGTTGGTGAGCCAGCCATACATTGCTAACCTCTCGTCTACAGCTTGAAGAAGTCCAAAATCCTGGTCTGCTGTTTTGTGCGGTAGACGAGCTTCGAAGATATCCAGACATGAGGAAAGAAGGAACTGGAACTCTAGTGGTGCCCTCTCCTCAGCCGGAAAGAGAGAGATATGCAGTGGATTATTCTGTAACAATGGTCAACTCTATCTAGATTGAAATCGTACACCAGGTGTACTGACGTGCTTGCCAATTACGCCTATACAAGCGATAGAGGGGACCTGAGGACAGTCGTCAGCTCATACTGTAAGTCCTGGAAACTTACGCCCCTTACCCGGCCTGACATTCTGTATACGATATCACCGGTTTAGACAGATCTGGTGGATCTGGGACGTGTATGCGGAGTAGTCTGGCCGACGTAGACCGAAAGGGTGATGGAGGGAGGCGCGATCGCCGCCTAACCTATCAGATGGCACCAAAATCGACGACTAATCGATTTCCGCCAAGCATTTTGCTGCACCTACCTCATCGATGAACTTCGCGACTCCTCGACCGCCACCCCACATCTTGCCTCTCCACTCCTTCACTTACGCCCTTCCTTCCTGTTCGTCGCAATAATGTTTTCGACAACAAGGTCTGCGGCCTCAATGGCTCTACGAGGTGTGTCCCCGCCACCCCGAAAGCTCGCAGTCTCCCGGAACTAATAACATGGGCAGCCAAACCCGCGACGGCACTGATGCCATTCCGCGCCGGAAGCGCTGCTTTCCTCTCCTCGAGCTCTTCGGACAGGGCTACGACTATGAAAACGCCCGCAACTATCCCCGGCAACCCTGGGACGCCACCCCCGATGAAGTCCGCGCGAGTAGAGGTGCCATTGCCGAGTCAGGAGGGAAAGAAGGGGGCTATGCAATACGCATTGTATGTCATGACTTGCCACCTTTTTTTGGGGGGGGAAAGAGACGAGGGCGACGGGAAGGAATGACTGCAGGGGCATACGCTAACGTGCGATAATAGGACGACACTCGACCAAGTAGCCAACTGGGCCCGTCAGAGTTCCCTATGGCCCATGACTTTCGGTCTCGCATGCTGCGCCGTCGAGATGATGCACTTGTCCACCCCACGATACGATCAGGATCGTCTCGGTATCATTTTCCGTGCCTCGCCCCGACAGTCCGATGTCATGATCGTAGCTGGAACCCTCACAAACAAGATGGCGCCCGCGCTGCGACAGGTCTACGACCAGATGCCTGACCCCCGGTGGGTTATTTCCATGGGCAGCTGCGCAAACGGAGGAGGATACTACCACTACAGCTACTCGGTCACAAGAGGATGTGACAGGATTGTACCAGTAGACATCTACGTGCCTGGATGCCCTCCCACTGCCGAGGCGCTCATGTACGGAATCTTCCAGCTGCAGAAGAAGATGAGGCATACCAAGATCACCAGGATGTGGTACAGGAAGTAGAGGGTATGGGTTTGTGTGGTCTATTTTGATGGTCGTTTTATCTGCGAGTTTGAGGGAGCAGATTCCTCTTGTACAAATCGATCTTCTATATGCATAGTCTATATCAAGTCTAAGGTGTCATGGTGGTGTTACGCCGTTTTGCCAAGTCCAAACATCTTGACCGAATTCTTCCAAGCACTAGACATCTGTCAGCTCCTTCTCATCGCCTGTGTTGAGACAAAAAGTGGTGGACTCACGCGTCGCAGACCTCCTCCACGGTAACTTCCTTGATCTTTGCAATCGCATATGCCACGTGTGGTATTGTAGCCGGCTCGTTGCGGCCCTTGACCATCATACCTTTGGCGAACTTCTCCTTCTTGACCGCCTTGGGTAACGGAGGCGCGTCTTGCAAATACTTGGCTGATGCATGACTGGGTCGCATCTCGCACCATGGACCGTCAGTCTCAATCTGCAGGCGCTCAAGCGGTATTTGTTTAACCACCGCGATATTCTCGTCAGCTAAGCAACTGAGTTAGTGCTATATTATGTAGATAAGTGTATAGTATCGGTAACTAAAGCAGTAATGGCTATGGAGTACTTACTTTTCATGCTGCATCCGTTGACTCCAATGTCAAAACCCAAGCCAACAAGACGCTGCATCTCCTCGGCTGTGCCAGTAAAGCTATGAACCAAACCTCGTTTCGGCAGTTGATCCAGTTTCGCGGTCAAGAGCTTCTCAAAGTCTTCGCTCGCGGCTCGCGAATGTAAAAACAGTGGTAGCTGGACCTCAATTGCAATCGCCAGCTGTGCCTCAAAGTACTTCAACTGCGGCTCCTTTGGCGTTAGAAACAGGCGGTCATAATCAAGACCTATCTCTCCAAAAGCAACTGCATATCCTGCTTCCTTGGCCTCAAGCGCAAGGGTTTTCAGCGCAGAGAGCAGTTCAGACGAGCCTCCAGGGTGCGTGTCGAACTGTTTTGCTGAGCAAGGATGTACACCAATCGTTGCATAGCACAGCCCTGGGTGCGCTTTCGCTATTTCGACAGCATGTTTGGATTCCTCGAGATCGGAACCTGTTACCATGAACTTCTTGCATCCAGCATCGACGGCTCGCTGTATGACGTCTTCGAAATCATCTTCGTGACGCTTAGTGCCGTGATATTCACCACGGTATATCGGATCCGTGAAGTTGATACCGATCTAGGGCAGGTTAGACGTAGGATGTGGCGGGAAAGTGAGATGCGAACCAACATCGATGTACTTGAGTTGAGGGGCTTCCGTCGTCATCTTGATGGTTTCGGAGGGTTTTTGATATGTAAAGGAGGTACTGTCTGATATTGATGTCGGTCTTGTAAGCATCTCGAGGTCAGTAAAGAATTAGAGTAATGACGCACGTGTAAAATTGCTCAACAGGGGTGGGATGAAGCTAGAAGGACGCAGTATAGGACATCGACTCGAGGTATGAACTGAAGCACGATATCTCAAGGCTTGCATGGGCTTCAGTAACATGAATGAAACTGGTAGATGGAATATGATGCTCACTGGTTGATCGTTGCTACCTCAAGCATATGTGACTAAGCCGTTTTAGGTTTAGGTTCGATGCTGGCATCTCTCGCACAGCCACTCTCTTTCACGACTGCATCTCTTTGCGCATCCAGTCATCACTGTAAATCAGGGCAGCATCTTGTATCAATACTGAACGGTCATCCGGGGACATCCACGTAGGAGGCGAACCAACAAGGCAAGGCTTAGTCTCGTGAGTAGCCAGCTGCACTCGGCGTCACTCGAGACGATTTCGTGCACTTGCGCGCTTTCTTAGGTGTTGTGTAAAGCACCTGTGAACGCAATCGATACAACAATGGAGAATTTATGGCATCTTCGTCGCGTGGCGGATAACGCTGCAAAGGCCTGTTGGATATGCTACAAGCCATCTACCAGTGTACTTATTACCCCTAGCAACAAGGTATGGAGGATTGACCTGATAGGCTGTAACACTCTGTGCTAATTCGCTAAAAGGATTTCTTTTACATCTGTCCTGGGCACTTATCTGACAAAGGCTTTTGTCAACCAGAAGCTGATGAAGCAAAGAGGATCGCAGACCAGAAGAAGCAAGATGAGCTGGATCGCGAGATTGAGGCTGTAAAAAAAGAATACGAGGAGAAGCAGAAGCTCAAGCGTGAGAAGCGAAAAGGAAAAGATAAGGACAAGGATAAAGAGAAAGAGAAGGAGACCAAGGGCAAAGAAGAGGAAGAGGACAAACAGGACGAGAAGGCCAAAGATGACAAAGCATGTAGCATATGGTATACCTTGCTGGCTAGGCTAACTTAAATGTAGATCAAAGAGCTCTCGAAGACCAAAGATCAAAATCTGGCTGAGCTTGGTCCTCGCATATATCAGCTCAACAAGTAAGGCCACTCCTACAAACTCCTTATTTGAGTTAGGCATGTTGACTTTGCACAGGAACTTCTATCAAATGCGCCTGGACAAGCTGCGGAATGCTGAGATTGCTAAACGAAACCGCGAACGACTGAACAACCCTGCAAACTTTCCGTCAGTACCTAGCGGGAATCCGTAGGCGCATGACATGTCCCAACATCGACAACGGTTGTACTATAGTAGCCATGGACCAGTGACTGCTCCCGTCACTCCAAGGGCTTCCTCTTCTTCCCTCACCTAGAAGCAGGCGGCAATTACTTAGGCGAGCGGTAACGGGACTTACGACCGCCGACTATACATCCTTCGAAAACAACGCGGTCAGCATTTAGCGGCCGGTTCAAAGCCCATGCTTACCGAATGTCATACGTGTCACACATGGCCATCCTGTTTATAGTTATGTCCGAACTAAGTCCTAGGCACTTTGGTACCCTTTGACAAAGGACATCGTTCACTAACATCCTGACCGACATGTTCGAATGCCTTGATCCGCTAAATGAATATTCCTCTCGCTAAGTGCACTCAAATTCTGCAGACATGCTCGTAGAATTCACCTGAGGACATCTTGCTTGTGTAAACTGTTGCGGGAGTGGCTTGGAAGCTTATATTACTGCAGCAGTTCCCCTACCGATCCACAGGTCTGTGTTATGCAAGACCACATGGTCGATTTCAACTTTCCCTATTCGGACTGGAAACCTTTTGTAATCCGTTTTGAACAAGGCCTCAAGGATGGATTAGGCCATATGGCTGTTGCATTCGGTATGATTGTGAGTGAGTCATTTGGTGGACTACCCGGTTGGCCTATTACGGCCGTAGTCGTTCTCACCTGCGGGGTTCTGAGCACCTTAGTCTGTCCCAGCGTTACTAACAGGATATGTAGCAAGCTGCGGTACTTCGCAAGTTTGGTGCAGCAGTGAGCCATTGGCCATCTTGACCGTCTCCGAGATCGGCCTTTGCTGGAATAAGTACGGATATATCGCTGCATCGCTAAGCAGGCTTGGCCAAGGATACTCTGTGCCGCAATCGATGACTCAGAAGATAACTTCACCCTAGTGACAGTGTGAATGCTCTCTACGGAATGGACTGGAATAGGTCCACACCTCGTTGCTCAACATCGTAGCGCATCCTACCTTCTCGCCCTCTCGCTTATCTCCACATACCATTTGTCACTATATCGCACATACTGAGTCATCCCATACGCGTGCCAACGACATCGATAAGCATCTTGGCAACGTACTATCTAAGGAAAGATGCCCTTTCAACAACGGTCACTGTACCAAGGATCGCAGCAGGCTGATGACTTGGGTGCACATGCAACCAGGAAAATGCCCAACAGTACGTCTTTCGAAGGGAAGGGATTTCTACAGAGGCTTACAGTCATCTGTGATCTTCCAACGTACTAAGCTTCCGAAGCGCTGATGCTGTTCATGCTTGATACTTGCAGCCAGACATCGATGCTCTTCTGTGGATCTGTCACCACACCATTTGACCTTTTCATATCTACCACTGAGTCGATATCTAATCTCTCCGCACTACCTGTAGCTCGACGCTCATACAGCGGCACAGGCCGTCTAGCGGCCGCCACTAAATCCGCCCTACGACCAGTCTGCTCCTCGTGATGCTGATGGTCAGCATTCTCGGGTAATCAGGCGAACAACACGTCAAACCTTGTTCCGAAGGACCGACTAAACAGCAAGCCTCGCTACAGACCTGGGCGCGTCAGCATCGTCCCGCGCATGTACACGGACACCGCGACACATAATATCACTTACCGCATCACATGCATGCAAGCGGCTTCACATCTCCGCTCCATAACCTAGTTGACTTGACATATCGTGTATACTGTAATCGCTTACATGTCCCCGCATGTATGATCATAACAGCGCACCTTCTAATTGTAGCATAGTTAGTTAGATGCGTAAAGAGCAAGGCCGATAAGCATCTTGTGACACCTGCCCACCTCAAGCCTCACCACAGGGAAGTTTCACGATTCTGCAGCCACATCGTCTCTGGGTCACCGGGTCTCCACTGTTGCTGCGGTTCAGGCGTCCAAGGGAAAAGCTTTTGCGAGACCGATTCTGCGGCCGGGTCAATGTCAGCGTCAGCACTTGCCTGAAGGCAGTACTTTGTGTGCACAGTGCCTTCGAATACAACAGCCGCTTACCTTCAGTTCTCATTGGTTGTATTGCAACATGTCAACTGCCACGCTATGTGTTCGCAGATCTCACCGACCCTAGTACTGAGGAGTAATATATGCACCCAAAACCGAGATTTAGATCTTGCTAATAAGCGTCGATCTGAACTTCTGTACACCGTTCACGACGGTTTGTGTCGGGGCTTTCTGATTTCAGTGCGACGTGCAGATTGTGATGCGGTCATCAACTTTAGAGCATGCTGCTAGGAGAGTTGTAGCACGTACCGAAGCAATTTCACAAGCCTAAAACAATATTACCTGATAGGATTCCATCCAAGGAAGGTTCTTTGGTCAGGGGTCCAAGATGCGGTTCTGGAAGTCGGTGTTCAAGTCTTAAAACTCCCTCGCTCGTCAAGATGAACGTGCATTTGCTTCCCTTTAAAGACTGTCTATCCGTCGTTACGTCTCTTCTGTCTACCTCCCTCTTTATCACAAAAGACATACTCATGACCATATCCATAATTACAACCATCATAACCCACTCCAAACAATGCACCATCATCAACCAATCATCAAAAACATGACAATATACGGTAGTCGGCGATTACACCCCAATCTAGTGCTCACTGCTCACTGCTCACCCCAATCCACGTGAGCTCAACCTCTTTCGAAACAACTTACCCCACGTTTCGCATGTTTTGTGTTATGTCAGATTACAGATACCATCGCGTGTCGCGCCGAAACGAGAGATTTTCTGTGGGGTCGGAGAAATTAACATAAACGTAAGAAGGGGCTACACCGAGTTCTGTGAGTCTGCGTCAGCGCTACTGGAGGGCGCATATTTGTGTTTTTTGCCAGTGATGACCTGATGTACGTGCTGATGGTTTCTCGAGGACTCGTTGCGCTCAGACTGTCGTGTATGTGAGTTTGTGTTTATGTTGCTAAGATAGATTGCATACCAGCAGCTTAGGATCTGGAAATAGTGCCACTCTTCGATTGCGTCTCCTTGAAGGATTCAGGTCGCCATATGCTCAGTGAAACGGTGATTCCAGATGAGGTAAATTGGGTGAAGCCGTGGTAAGGTATGCATAACTGGGAGCTGAAATGATGGATTATCAAATTTGTCCAGGTGTTCTGCATCCGTGCACAAATCAAAAGATATCGTCTTCCAGGATGCATGTCCATCGTCGTTCTTCCATGCTGCTCATACAATCTCAATGAATTACACATACGCGCGAGCAGAACATGGTGTTAGCGATGGCTTTTCGTACGTGTCATGTGCTCGAACGAAGTAACGTCATCGCCTCCGAGGTATACATGAGTTTCGGAGATAACACCACAAAAACATCCGTTTGCTGACGGTATACGTACGCGTGTGCTTTCGCTCATGCCATTACCTAGTCCATATGTACGTGCTTTGAAGCAGAGTGACGAGGCCATTTGTGGACATCAATCTTCAGTGTTATGGCTGACGTGAAGTTACGCATACTCTTGTTTCTGAAGACAGTCAAGCAGGTTGATGTTAAAGGGGTGACAAGCGTTCGCTGATGTTGTGGCGCTCGTGTATGGTATGCCAAGGCTCAGCGCTCAACGCCGACTCCCAGCCGAACAATGTTTGCTGCTGGCTGTGCGGCAGCAAGAAAACTCTTTTGCATCATCGCCGATGTCAGAGCAATTGGGACCGCTGTATGGTTCGCGCCTCAGACGGGTATCAGAGGCCGAGACGCGACGATTGCGCTCGCCAAGACAGGGTATTTGGTGTTACATTCGGCCTCGCCGGAAAGGATTCAGGTCAATGAAACATTCGAGAAGTGTTCTTAATGCATTGACATGACACACATGCTGTGTAATAGGTCGAAAGACTACATGGATGTCTTCGCTTCAAACAATGATTCTGGACATCCTGTCGTATCAACGCCCGCTGAATGGATAAAACATCCTTGAAATGCAACAAATTTGCCGCTCAGTGGCACCAGAAGTTTCTGGGCCGCGTAACAAGATCTCTGCTATATGAGACCAAATGCCGTCATCAGTGTCGTTATGCCCAAACGCACGGGCTTCGCCGCCAAGGGCTATAGAAAAATTGCAAAGCTGTCTGCAGGCGTGGAAACTTTTCGTCAGAAGGGGCGATATCTGAAAACGCCGCTCTATAGGACAAGTACTAATGCAAAGAAAGTGCTAATGCCGGCTCCGACCGGACTCTGTTGCTGAAGGGTATGTTTCGATGTGTAAAAGCCGCTCGGATTAGATGGGGTTGTTGCTGCGGGTTCAGAAAATCTCCAATATCCAATGGCGCTGTAGGTGGCCCACATCAATTATATCGCGTCTTTCGAAATCATGCTTCGTCATGTGCTTCGTTAATGACACCGGGCTTAGGTGCGAGACTTGAGGGGCCGGAGATAGAGCCCATAGAGCCAACACGCTCCTGTGGTGGCGGTTCGTCTCTCATGCATGCGTTCTCAAGCATGTTCGTCCATTTTCCACTGGTTCCGGCATGACTATGCTTCAAGTGTTGTCTGAAGTGGTCTGCGCGGAAAAACTTCTTGGCTTGGTTGCATTCCCCAAACTTATGCACATGATTCAGATGCTCAGATCGTGCTTCCCAATCCGCAGGATTGGAGAACTCTTCACCGCAATAACCGCAAACGTCTGCCACATTCGGACGAGTAGGGGAGGGATGAAAAGCTGCATGAACACCGGCAAGCGTGGCGCATGACCAAGAATGTCGACGTAAATGAAGAGAATTCTGATGGCGCTCGGCTTCGTTCTTATTCTTGAAACGATTGGGACAGTACTGGCAGATGTACTGCTTCTCTAGCTCGTGTGCTCTGTTGCTGGGGTCAGCGTGGTCGCTCAATGGTGGACAGACCAAATGGCGGTGGACAAGCGAGAATCCATGCACTTACCTCAACTCATCTTCGCTGTCGAATTTTTTGGGCTTCTTGGGACAGCATTCGCAGATGTAAGCTCCTGGTATACGATTTGCGATTGAATTCTGTCGCGAGTGCAACATGCTTTCCGTTGACATTTTTCGTATCTGCGGATGCTCGGACTCCGAGAAGCCTCGCTGATGCGGAGGTCGTGACAACGACCCGTGGGGGCTAGGGTCCAATGACCTATTAGCTGCATATGGCGAGACGGGGCCTAACTCTGTTTCGCCCAAAGGCGACAACGCACTGGGTGAAACGCGCTGATCTCCGCAATAACTTGCCATACTGCTTGGAGCGGTTGAAAACCCGAAAGAAGAGCCGATCGAACCGCTGCGTTGACTTACGGACCCAGTCGAAGATAGCGAGTTTGAGTTTGACTGAAAACGAGAAGCTGCGCAATTCCGATTAACCAGCATTTGCTGAGAGCGGCGGTGGTAGAGATCATTATGGCCGCTTGGGATGGGTCGATCGTCGCGCGCGGCTTCAGAGGGCGGCGACGAGGCCCGCCGTTTTAGGCCACCCTTAGGGCCTAACTGATAGTCCTCTGACTCGGCAGGGCTACGTTCGTTGATGTTCAGATCACGCATTCCATTTTCTTCCATGCCACCAAACTCGGGATCCGAGAATATGCTGTGGTCGTAGCTACCGCGGTGCTGAGAAGATGTCTCGTCTAAAGGGCCTGGAGTTGAAATGCTTCCGTAGCGTGCCCTTTGTGATTCCGCTGAATCGAATCCTGGACTACGCCAGCCGTTGTAACTCGGTGATATAGTAGGTACAGTCAACGGCTTTAGTTGACCGCTGAGCTTGTGAGAAGGGACGTGTGTATCGGAAGCGGCGGGGTCGTGAGTGCTGGCAGAGGAGATGGATGACGCGGTTGTTCGTGTGGGTGTATTCGGGCCGCCGATCTTCGAGAGTAGTTGCTTATCGTAGGCATGCGATGAATTCTGCACGGCTTTGTGACCGAGTTGTCGCTCGCTCGTGAGTCTATGGCACATTGTTAGTCACTAGAGAGCACACGACACAACGCCAGATTTGTAGGCACAAAGAATGCAGGCAACCCTTGACAAGTTCTGAACCAATTGACATGCATGGGAATCCTCCAAACGACAAGGATTTGTCAGTGAAGCAGTGACACGGCATCTTGACCAAAGATATACAAGCGCTGCCGAACCTTGCCAGAACCCTAACACGTCTTGCTCTTTGAGATGAGGGGAGGTATAATAGAGTGTTCCGTACCTGTGGTTCTTGAGAGATGGCCGAGCTTTGTTACTACGGTCGTCCTCGCTGGTGTTGCTGTGTTCGCTCATGCCGTCGACGGATCTAGAGACGGAAGGTTCGCGGGCAGGGCTAAACATATCGACCGAAGGCTCCCGCGGATAGCTGCCTGTGGCTCCACCGTACAAGCTCGAGCCAGGTCTAACTGTCGCGAGCCGATTTCCGCCAAAGCCGGTGTCCCTTGGGCTGTTTGTGTTACCCCATTGCCAACCAGGGTCTCTTCCACTGAGGTCGATATGACGTGGAGGAGGCAAGGGTGGTGGTGCCTCTTCGCGTGCCTATAAAATTTTGGTACAGTCAGTGAACCATTCGTATAGCGTGTTCAGTCCCGGATGAGGCTGGAGCACTTTGTGACTCTTTCAGGAGCTATATCTCGTGTGACCGAGCCACAAGCTGCTCCAGACCGCCCGTTATATATTCACCAGCTGGAACACGAGCTTACATACTCTCGGTATGGCCATTGCGACAGCCGGGGTGGGTATCGACGGTCGGCGGTGGTGTGGTAGTTGGTAGTGGTGGGAATCACGCTGAGAATCATATACGCGAATACTCGGTGTGGAGGACATGGCTCGTAGGGAAGATGAGGTCGCCGGGAGCGCGCCACTAGGGTGCAGCTGAAGCGTACTCGCGCAGCACGCGAGCACCGCGAATGTGGCGAGCGCGACAAGCAAGAAGAGTGAGTATGGTCGCTACTGGATAGTGTATGCGAGCACGGACCTAGAGGTAGAATCGTTAGCCCGAAACGACACGGACTGGCCGAGACAGGCAGGGGAGGACAGAGTGAAGGCGTGCAGACGTAGCTGAACTCTAACAACTACGTACTAAACAGCATGCGACGTACCTTTGCGGTCGTGTGGGACTTACGCGTCGTTGGGATGGATTCTCGACGGCGAGGCTTACAAAAGCGAAAGCGGGGGCGCTAGCGCTTGCGGCTGTTAAATGTTCAGCCCTACGAGCGAGAGGGTCCTTCAGCTGAACGGAAGGGTTCTGGCCAGCACCGCCACAAAAATGATATTGCTTCTTTTCGCCCGGGACTAGTCGTCATAAAACCAGTATGGTGCGAGCAATGCAACGAGTGAAGTCGTCAGGTCGTTCGGAAGAGGCCTGTTCCTGCTACACGGCAGCGGACAAGACGACGCGGGACTGCGGTAGGGCCCTTAGCGTGAAGGCGGGTGGAGTAAAAGGGAGAAGGAAGCGTCCCTCGGCGTCCAGTGATCCGGAGAGGCAGAGAGTCTGCAGGACAGAGGCACCGCTGGATAGCAGCAGCAGCAACAGCAACAGACGGAGCAGAAGAAACGCCCTCCGCCGGGGAGTGCGGTTAGCATAAAGCACTACGCTGGATGAGCTTGAATGTCGGTGATTGGTTATGCCTGGTTGCTCCTGGCACGGAGCGCAGTGGAGACCTCAGCAGGGGTAGATGCAACCCTTTAGTCGGTCGGAGCAGGGCTCTGGCTTTCGAGAAGCTTCAAGGTCCACGCCCCGACCCTCATCTCGTGCATAGGGCTTGCCATTAGCGCTGGCAGGTCGACTCGCAGTAGATTGCTCGTGACGGCAGACGACTCCCAGCAGCGTGGGATAGAGCTCAGTCGGACCAAGAATAATCAATCGAGGATTGGCGCCCGCTCGTCCAGCTGCCCTGTGTGCCGATTATTACGCAAACCAAGTAGAGCCGATCTGCCAGGACGTCAGGCCGGTGCAACGGTGAGATGGCTGGTAGGGCAGGCTTGGAAGGCATGCCGACGGCGTGGGCGCGCTGGCTGACGAGGGTTGCATGCCTGGAATCTGACCAAATTGTCCAACAATGCAGCGTTGCGCTTCGCCTCGATGGGGATTGGGGGGAGAGGTGCAGACGGCACAGCGTCAGATTCAACCGTGTGTGGGTTAGACTTGAGTGCGGGTAGCGGAAGTCAGTGCGCACGGATGCCTGAGGAGTTCCAACAGAGTAAGCTCCTTGCAGCCTTACAAGCGCCATCGATTGCACCATCAACTGTAGTCACCCATCATCAGTCAGGCTGAGACGGCCACGGCTGTTCTCCCATGCCACGCTGATCTGCTGATCGCTATCGCGGCGGGAAGCTGGCCTGCCCTACACACTGCCTAGGTATACCTGCATCCTGAGCGGCAAGCCCTCCGCCATCAAATCGAATCCACGGCGGGGCGTACACGCTATGCACACAGTGCACTATCTCCGGCAGCCAATGCGACACAGGCTGCCTGTCTGAGATATCGCATTCCCTGCTCCCCGACATGGTATTTTTGGCAACTACACTCGTTGTACAGACCAAAAAAACACCTCCCTCCATCTGCTCCTACACATGTTTCCCATGGGGCTGTGTCCATGGTCCATTCCAGGGTACCTCGTGCTGTCACGAGCGGCAACTTGCAGACGACACGAGTATTACTCCGGGGTATCGGATTGGGGCCGAACCTACACCTGCGAGGCCAACAGTGGTACCTACATGGTACGTTGCTTTTTCACCGGCAGGTGGGTCCTGCTTTGTGGTCAGGTAAGCGGTCGTTCAGCCACTTTGAGACAGCGCGAACCAGCAAGTCTTGGGTGATGTCAGCGACTTCTCCATCTAGTCGGCGATATGGAATGCACGGAAATTCGCAACTACCGCGTCTCTACCCGTTTTCCAAAGCATTGATGCGCTTCGCCGAGATGCGGGACGAGGCGCCATCATAGCCTTGCAAGCAACCGGGGAGTACGAGCAATTCGCTATTTCTGGCTGTCGGTAACGACTGCAATATTGCTTGTCTCACGATGGAAGCAACACCACACCACTGACACGAGACAACATATGGCTCTCATTGACCGCTGTCCAGATTCATGGCTGCCCGGGCAACTTCGACATCTTTGGGGCGCAGCAACGGACGGCCTCGGGAACTCTTCGTACAACTGGAATTCTTCGATTCAAACTATAAACTCACCCATGTTAATTGTATGCAGTCCCTGATCCATAGTGTGTAGCTCCGCGGTCTTGCGGAAAATACCGCTTACTGCAACGACACATGACTCTCTTGATGACAGTTCTTATTGCAAAGGGTCTCACTAGGAACTATGAACTACGGGGCAGCACGGGCGGGCAAGGAATATAGTGTGTGTAGCTATAAGGCTACGAACTGCTAGCTCCATGATGTCTCTAAAGCTCATGGTACTCTCTCTGTGACTCTTGGCCGCAACCTTGGGTAGAGTCACACCCGTCGATCCAATAATTCTGAAGGTGAATAGAATGCTCGGCAGCTGCTCAAACGCGCTGCATTTTTTCGTCTTTGCCGATATAACAAACTCGATGACAGATGTCATTACTGATGGTCCGCAATTTTGGCGGGCACGCGCGACCAGAAACCCTCGGTCAAAATTAGACCATCTCTCTCACACCTTCAACAACGCGCGCTTCTTCTAGGATTGTTGATCACCGTACACTCATCTCCGGCGTCCGATTGTTCTCGGAGACCTCGTTTCGCCTATCATGGCGCTCATCGACAGAGTCCCTGGGGACTTGAACCTGTATATCGGTGGGTACGTAATGTCGACTATCGTTTCGCATCTGCCCCATGGCTCAGGTCTGGGGTCACCGGACTACTGTCTAACCATTGCTGCATAGCATGTTCACTCTACGACGGCGCGAGGCCCTCCAGCAAGCCAATATTACGCACGTCTTGTCGGTATTGCGCACACCACTAGATCAAGACTTGTTCGGCCCCTTCAAGCACATGGTGGTGGAGGTCGACGATGTCGAAGACGAAAATCTATTGGAGCATTTCCCTGCCACAAATCGCTTCATACGGGAGGGGCTTAAGGGAGGTGGCGGAGTCTTGGTGCATTGGTAAGTCAACATCCTGGTCAAGCTGAAGCCTTGCATATCCAACAACTTTGGATCGCCGCCGACGATTGCCTTGCTTGGCAGTTTTGCCATCTTCACAAACGACAACAGCCCCAAGGCCTCGTCACTGGTATGCAATGCATGCAGCTCAATTTTGCTTTCCGCGCGTCCTGCATCATGTTTTTCGTCTTTTTTCGCCTTCCGTTTTCTGCGATTTTTCCCCGATACACACCGCCCAGTTGCCACTCTATTTGTTCTCAGCCACTCGTATCAATATGCCAACCACAACCTCTTCTCTAGTGCTATGGGCAAGTCACGATCGGCTACCGTCGTCATCGCTTATTTGATGCAAGAGCACAACATCAGCCCGTCGGAGGCTTTGTCGCACGTTCGGCAAGCGCGATCCATCTGCGAACCAAACGAGGGCTTCATGAAACAACTGGAGCTATACGGTGAGATGCAGACACCTGAAAACGTCGAAGATACCCCGGCCTATCAACGATGGGTTTACCAACGGGAAATCGAGCTGAGCCGCGCGTGTGGCCAAGCTCCAGAGGCGGACAAGATTCGCTTCGAAGACGAACATGTCGCCGACGAATCTTCCGGTTTCGAATTGAGATGTCGTAAATGCAGGTAAGTGGAGTTGTGGCAAGACGTGATTGATGTCACCATACTGCCTGTTGCCGCCCATCTTGCTCAGCGCTTACAAAGTTTCAGACGAGCATTAGCGACGTCACAATATCTACTACCGCATGGGTCCACCCCATCTGTCAGCGACCAGAACGCAGAAGCTCAAAAAGCTCCATCGCAGAACTGTGCCCACTACTTCCTAGATCCCCTGTCGTGGATGCGCCCGGAGCTCGAACAAGGCAAGTTGGAAGGGCGTCTGGAGTGTCCAAAATGCCACACCAACGTAGGCAAGTATGCCTGGCAGGGGATGCAGTGTAGTTGTGGAGAGTGGGTCGTCCCCGGTATCAGCCTTTCCAAAGGTCGAATCGATGAAGCAAGGAAAGCAAACTTTGGCATCCGGCGTCCACCGGGAGCTTCAGGTCCGCCTCCGTTAGGGGCAGTTCAGTCAAAGGAGAACCTATAAGATCTTTGAAAGATGTTGCTATACATCAGCTCGGCGAGGAGAAGACAGCTCACATTTAGCTTCTTCGGTGGCCCGTGCCCTATCAAACCCCCAAGAAGGACATACCTCCGATCCACTCGGTCACTTCATCACCACAGGGAAGATGGTAAAGATGGTAAAGAATTCTCTCAGCTCGGGAACACTACAAGCCGACGTGTAACCACATGATGGGGCAGTAAGCTCAATCGATCTCTGTATCGGCTACCAATCTATCTATCTCACTCCTATCGCTACTAAATCTACGATGAAGATTACGGGTACGTCGCCCGGACGGCATCTGTGTGCAACAAAGCTAGCGAATAGACAGACAGTACTAAGCCGTATATGCCTTTGCTCTATACGTTAGTTCCCGTAGCCTCCAGCCAAGTATTCTAGACTACGCCCATGGCTAGCCTACCAGTCTTCTGAAACCGCACGGCTATTCAAGCTGAACAAATTTCCTTGCTGATATGACCCATTCAGTCCGTGGCAATGTCTTGCGGCTTAAGCCGTCTGTCGCTTGATAATGACCGCTTTTAACGTCGACTGAGACACTATTACAATCACAAAGTGGTTTGTACGCAGACGGATGAGTAGAGGTGATTGAAGTGTAAAAAAAGTCATATGCATTGATTTGAGCAATCAAACCGCCTGAAATAGTGTACGTTGTAACTCGAAGAACGATGAACCAAGAGTGATTCGTGTATGCTCATAACCCATAACCCCATCCCCGACCTGAAGCAATGAACACCACAGCGCCATGCAGTAAACGACAGTATGTCAATATAATACTAAGAAACGAACAGGCTGCGTGTCCGAGCCAAGAAGAATAAAAGGAAACGAAAACGCCAGTGATCGTCCCCATGCATCAGCATTACAGCTTCCCTGCTATTACCCGTCTATCTTACACAGAAGAATCAGAACTCGTCGAGACGACAGCCTCGCTATCAGCACTCGAGCTCCTGGTCAATTCTTCGCCTCCTTCAAGGCCTAGCCTCTCCATCTCCTCGGCAATTTCCTCATACCACTTGCCATGGCATTTGCGGTCCACTTCACCAACTTTGCCAAGCTGTTCACAGATATCCGCGACTTGAGACACGAACTCTGGCAGACCAGTAGTAGCAAGTCCTTCGGTGGCGGTGCTAGCAGCTTTGACGCGCTCGCCAGAACTGCTGGCGCTTACCCGGTTGAAGATATGAGTCTTGAGTCTTTGGAACAAGACCTTCATCACAGGGTCGGATAGCTTGCCAGCTTCAGCTTGCGTAAGAAGACGCGTGATCGTGGAGGAGAGCTGGGAGCGCGTTGACGGTGGCATGTTGCGAGACGACTCAAGAAGAGAAGAAATCTTCGAGGGAGTAGAAGGGTCTGACATGTATCCGTTCTCCTTCAACACCAACCACATTTTGTTGGCTTCAGACTTCCACTGCGCGCGCACGTCGCGTTTGAGTAGGTTCTTTGCCGTAAGCAAGATACCCCCGATCGTTGTTATGCGAAGTGCGTCCTCGCGAATGCGGGAGATGCGTGCACGATCTAGTTCGAGCGTCTCCGGCAGCTCAGAGCTTCGCAGTGGCGGCGTAGCGATTGCGAGGTCGACAAGACCACGAGCGTAAATCTTGTGCGCTGTAGGGCGATTGATGGGGTTTGCCTGACTCCAAGGGTCACGACGGTCAGCTTCGGTATGCATGTTGACTGCTGCGCTGCGCCACCATCTGCGTGTGCGGTCGAGAGTAAGGTTGTTTTCCTCCAGATCCTGAGTGAACATGCGTTGCTCGTACCCAACAGCCTCTTTGACGAGTGTCGGTGCGGCGTTCATCAATAGGAAGTTTGAGTAGTCCAAGGACAAAAGATCGATGATATGAAGGACCTTGAAGAGCTTCTCGATCATGCTTGAAAGTTCACCTTCCTCTTGCAGCTCCTCAGCAAGCAACTGAACTTCGGTGTCTCGAAAGGGTGCGCAAAGCTTTGGAAGAATGCTAGCAATAAAATCGAAGAATTTCCCATAAGAGAAGACGCCTTGACTGCACTGCCTGCTGATATGCTCCGGATCTAGAGTCTCGGAAATGAGTGTGTGCATTGAGTTGCCAGGTTTCAGAAGCCGCAGCAGCTTTCCCCGTATGTTCTCCGCCATGGCAGCAGTCCAGTTTGTGCTGTCACCCTCTTCAAACCCTCGCCGCATTGCGTCGCAGAGCTCACGGTTGAGAGCATCGCGCAAGTCAGCCGTCGGCGAAGGATCGATGCGGTAGTCTTTGTCAATAGAGAGTTCGTGAACCAGAATGCGATTATCGGGCACGACCGTGAAGACCTTGGACAGCGACTGTGCCTGGTGGCCCTGAGCAGTGGAATCTTGGAGCCCAGATTGACCAGAAGCTGCAAGCTCTGAAGCAGCTTCAGCCTGCTTGGCCGCACTATCGGCTGATAGCGGAGATTCTGGTGTTGAGTCGCTTGCAACACGCGGTCGTACAGTGTCTCCTGCGAGCCTCTTCTTTGGCCTTGACCTTCGGCTTTCGCGTATGGCCTTCCTGATCAAGGTAAGAGCCTTGTCAGGCCCCGCCAACTTCTTGATTTTACTAAGTAGAATAGCCTGGTTGTCTCTGATGCCATTCCTGTACTCGTTTGCAACCTCATCGACCGTCGCATCTTTGACACTTTGCCATATTTCGTCAAGACTGACAAATGAAGCTACCATTGTTTCGATAAGCGCGGAGGAGTCGCGGGCTTTCCAGTCATTGAAAGCGGTAACAAACGCGCCATGAGCAAGCAGTACAGTTTCTGTACGCGTGGGTGAGGGAGTGTACGAGTTGAGCTTTGTTAGTTTTGCCAGAGCAGACTCGAAGCTGATGACGAGGTCCTTGGCTTTGGTAATGAGATCCTGTTCCTGATCGCCGTCTCGACTGAAAACATGTGTGGGATGTCCAAGGATGAGGTACGCGGAGAGGAAGGTTCTGACGGCAGCGCTGCGGGAGGCTGGATCTGCGTCTGGAAGCAGCACAAACAGTGTCATGATTCTATCGGTGGTCCTGAGCAGCTTCTCATCTGCGAGCATGCCAGTAATGACTTCGAAACTGGTCTCTTGGACCATCTCGATGGATAGACCGAGCTGGAGCCATTCGGTGACAATATTGCTCCTAACTTTGCCTCTCCAGGCAGCCTGGATCCTCTTGGCAGCATCTTCCGTCGACACGATGGGGCGCTCGGTCCGTATCTTGATATCAGCGGGGGGCGAGCTTGCGGTCCGTGGTCGTCTGGGGTTGCGCTTGTACTCCAGTCTGCGTTTCTCGGCTTCTGCTAGCTTCTCCTCCATCTCGGTGCGGTATCGTCGTTCCTCGGCGGCCTTGCGCTCTTTCATGTCTTCGGCAATCTTCTTGGCCCTCCTCACTTCCTCAGCACAGGAAGCGGCTACTTGTGCCAGATGTTTCTCACGAGCCTGCTGTGCTGCCAACGCCCTCTCTTCACTGTTGGAACCACGTGGGGTAGCCTTGGCCAAGGCAGCACGTAGCCTGACCTGCTCGGCATGCGCTGCCCGGTCTGCTAGCCTTGCCTTGCGATCTTCGAGTATAGAGGCACGGCGGAGATGCTGGGCTACATGGTGGCTCTGACAGCTGTTGCGGAACGAGCGATTGGACGTGTGCGAATGTGTCGAGGACAGCGAGTTTCGGCGGGACGAGGTGGCCGAAGACTTGCGACGGTTGCTTGTATGGCGATAGAAGCGGGCAGCGATCCGTGGTGGTGGAGCAAACGACTGGCCGTTCTCGGCGTCTGATGAGAGGATCATGTCGGGCTCCTCGGGGATATCGTCGTTCTCCCGCTGCAGCTGCGAGCTGACCAGCTCCAGTTCCGAGTCGGTGAGCGACATGGTGTAGGGATGCGAAGACGCCCTCTGGCTCAGGAGTGAGCGTGTTTCCTGAGATGTGAAACAAAGCACGGTCTTGGTGGTGCTTTTTAGTGTAACCAGACGCAAGCGGACGGGGTATCTATAGCAATGGCGACTATCTTGGCGCAAGGGTAAAAGACATGTACAGGAACGAAAGGCTGCAGAAGTCCGTGGGGAGCGTGGTCAGCCGACGACTTGTATTGATGGATGGCTTGGTTGATTGATAAGCTGTAACGCCCTAACAGCGCCTGACGATGGCGGGCACCGTGCGCGATGTCTACACAGTCGTTATGGTAGTCGGGCAAGTGTGCGCGACGGCATCTGTCGCATGCAGAAGGTGTAGTCGATGGCTGGGGAGCGCATGACGATGCACCTACGCATGCTGACCGGTCGACGCCAAGACCTCGACGCGGAAGCTAAAGAAGTCCATCGAAGATCGTCGACCGCCCACGCCAGAATCCTCCACTCTAAGCCTTACCGTCGGCCTCTCTATGCCTCCTAGACCGAACTGTTCATGTTTCTCTTTCATCACTGTACCAGTAAACCATATGCTCGCCCGTCTCCGCTACGTCATCAAGCTCTTCGTGCTGCATTGCCTCTATTCACGTGTTTTGTAAAGAATGCTAAGCCTTACGAGAATGTGCACGAAACCTACTACGTCGCCCAGGACAGATCCAGCGGCAGACTCGAGTCATGACCAAACAGTTCCACTTCGAAGCCAACTTGTCTGAACAGAAAGATAGTCAACATGTCCTTGGAGGAACTGCCTTAGTTGCAGTATGTCAAGCGAATTGGGAAGAGGCCATGGAATTGTTGTTGGAAGAGCAAGCTAATCCAGAACCCACCACAACACTCGGCAGTCTACCTCTACACTATCCTGCCGTCAACAACTCAGTCGATGTGCGCAAGAAATTGCTGGCACATAAGGTGGAATCTGATATTGGGACTAACGACTGTATTGATATGACTAAGCTTGAATAAACGACAAGAAGAAGCAATGAAATGTAGTGAATCTGTTGTCTGCCGAGTACCTGTACGCTGGACGGTATGAAAAGCTCGCACGAGCACGTAGACTCACACGAGTAATATAGGAGCAGGAGATACAGCGGTCATTTACGCCTCGTCCTGATCCACGCCAGCCCACTCTTTAAGAGGCCTCGCACACTAGACACATTCTCTCTACCCTGTTTATCCTCAACCCCGCACTCAGATCAACAAGTCTCAGCCCTGTCACACGACACATCCCACAATCTGACGAGGCTTCGAGCAGCGAGTGGGGAAGCGTGGCATGATCTCAAGGATCGTTCGATTGAAGGCAGCTGCGGATCCACCCTTGCTCGCCTACGCCTGCGGAAAGGCCCGAATTCTGTTGAATCCGGGGTCTTGGAACCGACATCGATGGCGTTTACACGACCGTTGTGTTGAGGCATGTGTTGGAGGAAGGATGAGTGCTATGTCGTGTTATGCAAGTGCCGTCCGACTGGGGCCATAAAAAGACGGCACTGACACATGATCGTATTTCTGGTGGCCATCACAGAGAAGGTGCGCATGTGCAGATGTTGGATATTGAAAGAGAGAGTGAGGGAGGGTCGCCAACTGATGTGTTTGGTGAAGTGTCAGATCAATAGAGTTTGGACATGTGACTAGATAATTCACATTGCCGCTGCTGCTGTCAGAGAACACCTACTGCGGTGAAGAATGTCGTGGGCCGATGCAATGCGGCACGAGCCGTAGCTTGTTCCTACTGCAGTAGTGATGCTGTTGCGTCACCACGCTACATATTTCCCAACGTAGTAGATTGGCGTGGAGAAGGACAGGTTACCTACATATCTTCTCAACAATGGTTTAGAACCTGGAAGAAGGGTGTCAAGTGACAGACAGCATCGCTAACTAGAGATGCTAACTCACACCACAGCCTTCAGCGGAAGCCAAGTCGCATCTGCCAGGCTGACAGCCATCTTGTCCCCAAGATAGAACGACCCACATATACGCCTACCTCTCTTATGCACGATCTTCCGAGATTTTGCTTCACCGCATATGCAATGTCTCATGTAGACAACCACTGTTCGTCATCATACCTGCTTCTTGCATCGCCAGACCGAAGATCGATTTCGGACATGCCTGAACCGAAGGGAAAGTCTTTCGCAGCATCTAAATTACCTATAGCAGATATATACGATCGCACGACTGGTAGCCGGTTGTTTTCAGGGAGAAGAGAATAAGATGCATTCGGGTCGCAGACTAGGACCTTGCATGTGAAGACCTGAGGACCCGAGCACATGCACAGCCTGGAAGATGCCACTGCATTCCAGCATACTGCATTCCATGATTGACAGGCGACGCTTTTGAGTCGCCAGTAAATTTGCACATATCCCACTGTCCTATCGTCCTTACCATTCGCTTCCATCAATATAGGTGATACTCGTTTCTCTCCATTGCACAACGATGGTCAAAAACTAGCCAACAACGATCCCCACTGTTACGCATGCACAAGTGTGTGTGTGTGTGTGTGTGTGTGTGTGTGTGTGTGGTACAATCGGTCCCGCCCACTTTCGCATGCAAAAGCTCCCATGGCGATACAGCATCATCTAGTTTGGAAGGCGGAAACGAGCAAGCGCAGCGAATTATGGACGGCCCGCATTGCTTGCACATTTGCATATGTCGTACAGACGGCCAGCCAGCCAGCCAACCAGTCACCATCCATACTGCCTCAAGGGTTATCTGTCACGCCGGAATCGCGAAACATGGCGTTCTTCTAGATATTGTTCTGTTATCGCTATGTTGGGTTAGGAAGAATGAGACCGTGTAGGATACTGGGAAATATATATTACGAATAGAGTGAAAGAGACTTGTTTGTGCAGATTCAATGGCGTAATAGATGGATGTGTAATGTGCGAGGCTGTACATCACTGTGCGCCGGAGACTTTGCAGGAGAGATTGCGTCGTCATGTGCCGAGCTGGCGGTGTAATGTCTTGTCCCGGAGTTGGAGTTGTTTGCGTGCAGCTTGCTGCCGGTTGCCTTCTTCCTGCAAACGCGCAGTGACTATAATGACTATCACTCAACAAGAAAGAGGGCGGCAGTTGCATTGTCGAAGTTGTACGAGAATGATGTGCTTGGCTTGATGATTCATTTGACGTCGAGCGTTCATTGTATCTTCTCTCGAGGACACGCTAAACTAAAGCTTCTGGTATCACATACCTTCAGCCTCCCCAGCCTCGTTCGTACCACCTTCTTAGACCAATTATATAGTATCAATACTGAACATATCCGAAGAAGCTTAATCTCTCCTCCTACTAATGCCAAAAGGGTAGCAAAGACCCACGACTGCGCTTGCCCCCTCGAGTCCCAGACAAGGACGAGTAAAGGTATAGCCGCCGAAACCAAGAATGGTTTGAAACATAAGGAAAGACTGGAACCTAAAGAGATTTGGCTGAAGAGCCACCGCTGCGTGAATCATGTCGTGATGATGAGATGATGCTCGCTTTTATCGCCAGATGCAGAACCCCTGCATCCTTTTTTGACCGCCCAAACACCAAACAGTAATCCCATTGAAGGGAAGCGCAGTGCAGACAGACCACTGTATTGCGCAAGACAAGAAAAGCCTCTCTAATAATGGTTGTATCGACAAAGGAAATTCGTGACTCTGTGATAAGAGCCGTATGGTCGTGGCTCCAATGATGGACCGAGATCTTATGTCATACAGTCGTACACTTTCGTAGAACATGCCCCTTGGGTCTAAAAAACACAAGGGGGAGTAAGAGTACAAGGTTTGTGCGCAGGATAGAAATATTAATCGCACGCAATTATCGACAAGATGAAAAGGAAAAGGATTCTCCGTTATCGCAGAATGGGGTCTAGTGGCCCCGGACACCACCCGAGGAGCGACGGAGGAAGGTACCAGGGAACCGTAGGTCGCTTAGGAACTTGAAAAAGGCACGCTTGCGCGAAGGTGTTTTCGGTAGTAGTGCGGCCGCCTGTTGCATGGGGCCGACAATGTCCTCATCGCCGAGTTTGGGGAACTTGCCCTCGCTCTTAGGGTCATGTAGCGTTGGCATCTTGCTAAGGGGTCCTGGCTCCGTGGGTGAGCTCGGGGCGAGCTCTTGACCGATAGCAGCCGCATGTGACTTGGCCAGATCGTGGTTCTTCTTCCATTCGGCATCGATTTCAGCCCACTTTTGCTCGGTAAGAAGATAGTGTCTGGATGTCACTCCGTAGTGTTCCGCAGTTCGCACTTGATGTTTTGCGTAGTTGCGCCGCGCTTGCGCCCATTCGGCAAGGTGTTCTTCAATAGACGCTGCGGTGCAGACCTCAGGGACATAAGGCTCTGGCAGGATGGTGAAGTTCGCATGGCCTAACTCCATGGCCCACTTGTCCTGTGGGTTGGCGAGCATTAGAGGGGGAATGTCGGATGAGGGGACCATGTATCCGGCATTTGGTGCTCTGATCGACGCAAAGGATGTTTTGGAAGAGAGGGGAGGAGTAGGGTAAGTGCGCATTGGTGGGGTGCCGGCTGGAGTCGGGCCCATGGATTGAGTCGCATCTGCAACTGCTGGCGACTGCAGGGGCGAAGATGCTGGTAGGTCGTTGTTCCGGCAGTTCACAAGCAATGGGGGTAATAATGGCGTCGTGGCATAGCGCTCCCGCTCCACCTCCTCGGGGTCGATTTCCATGGCATTGGCCTTGTTGACGTCGATGGCCATTGGCGTAGGCGCATCATCACTCAAATGCTCCCTGCTTGTGAGGGCTGGTGTAGAGGTTGGCGACACGTAGTCCTCTGGGAGATCGACGGTCGAGACATGGTAAATTGAGCCAGCGAGCGATGAGGATCGAGTAGAAGGTACTCTTGAGGGGGTAGCGCTGCGTGAAACTTTGCTGAGAGTCGAGCTGCGATCGCGCACTTTGCGCGACAGCGAGGGAAAACGCCTCTCGAGCTTGCCGGCGATGCTGTGCGCGGATGCTTCCAAGGACCTTCGTCGCTTGGCCAGTCGCAGTTCCGAGTCGCAGGTAGTGAAGTACTCGTCTTGGGGCTCGTAGGCTCTGGATATCCTGCAGTCTTGCGCGTGGCCATAGGTACCGCCGGCGTCGCCTGGAAATGCATCAGTATAGAAAACATGGGGGCATTCACATTGCAACTTACAAGAGCAACGGTACGGATCTTCGCTACCGTAGTCGTACTCACGCTCAAGAGGCTCTTCGGTAAGCTTGGGTAGCTTGCCTGAGCTGTTGGGAGGCTCGGTGGGCTCGTAGGTGGGCGGGCTCGATGACAGTGACGAAGCCGAGCTGGGAAAGCGAAAGTGACCTCGCGTGTATTGACTTGGCGTTGGCGGTGTCGAGCATTCCGAAGCCGAGTAGAAACCCGAGTCGGCATTGGAATAAATCGATGCAGTCGGGTCGTCGTACATGTTGAGTGAGCTTTTGGAAGACTTGCGGGCTGCAACAAGCTTGGGAAGCTGGAGGGGTTTAAGGTCGTGCATAGTTGTTGGTTCTTTTGGCGGTCGGGATGTGACGTGAATGGCGCGCGAGTTACCAGGATCACATACCCAAGTGCAGCCAGCACGTCGGGGTTACGGCGCGCTGCTTTGGGATGGAGAGGCGGTCGGGCGAAGTTGGAGAGGATGCCACGATAGCCGACCACGTATGTACGTATGTACTGTTCGGCGTGTTTATGCTGCAGCAAAGGCGTCTCCAGGGAAGGCCAGCGCCTAATGCGGACGGCACGTGAGCGTGGGTGGGCTGCCGAGGTGGTAAAGGTGGAGATGACTGGTGCGCGAGAGTTGGTCAGACTGGATCAGGTTTTGCGAGTGCAAGCGAGAGACAGCGCAGCGATAAGGCGACGACTGAAATGGCGAGAGAGTGGCAGAGGACTGACGTGGAATTCCAAGAGAAACGGGCGGTGTTGACGGGTGTGGGATAGTAGACCACTTCTGTGTGGGCAGGCGCACGGCTTCAAGCCAAACTTTGCAACCACCTTGACTAGGCATAGCGGCTCCGGCATGTCGACTGCGTTCCGCGCGACTCAGATAGCCCGGTAGACGAGGCCGTGACACTCACAGCAGCCCTGGGCAGTCTCCGTGCAGAGAGCACGCCAGGGCGCCGTCGCTTCAAGGTCCCCCAGCCTTCGAGCCGCCGTTTAGACCACAACGTCCGTGTCGCTACAGCTTGAGCACAGCAGGTGGCTTGATTCAAACCCTACTCAACAGTACGGGGCCTGCCTCGGTGTTGAATTTTCACCTGCCCAACCTAATTATGCGATATGTCGTTGGTGGAGGCGCAACAAATTATCCCTGGCTGTTCCCACTCACGCACTCCAAACTTTCTGTCGTCGTGAGAAAAGCTTCTGAGGACACGATGCAGGAACAGGCGTTGGATCACATCGTCTTCACGAGCCTTGACCGATCGCCGAGCTGTGGTGTTGAGCGGTGCCTTTACAAAGTGCTGTACTACCAGCGCTGTGGTTGTCATCCGCTGTCTACCACTCAACTACTGTGAGCGCAACCGTGGCTGCCACTTGACAGACTCGTCTATCAGGCGGTGCGAGGGAACAGGCCTAGTTCGCCGCGCCCTTCAACCTTTCCACGTTACTTCTTGCGCCGTTCTTCTGGCCTTTTGCCGTCTCGCAGCAGTGACATCGACAAGCATGTTCTAGCGAAGTCCATGTCGTTTCTCCCGCTTCTGTCCCGTGTCATCCCCCATGCACCGATTGGCCCATTCTGAATCGCATGAATGCATCAAGGGGGCTGTGAAAGGCAACCGTGAAAACAAACAAACACCAAAGCCTCACGATCTTCAAAACACTGACTGGTCCGTAGAGTCCGTGTTTCAAACATTATGCCTCATTGACGAGTCAAGTGGTCGATCGCATCACGCTGAGACGAAACAGGGCGCGACAACATGACCTCGCGTGGGCGGTACCTGACAACATGCCGGAACTTTCCCAGACGAGGTTGGGACAACCTTTCAGCCCAGCCAAAATATCAGCAAGCCAGCGAACTTGCAGACAAATCGGGGAACTTGTTGGAAGCGCTAGACCGTTGAGCCGTTGCTGATTGGCGTTCATACCCCTGGCGCACTATCCTCTTTTCCTTCTCCCCGGCGCCTTATTCTCGCTGGGCAAAACTCCCTGTTCGCACGCTGAGCAAGCCTCACACCGCCAGCGCATTGTCTATCTAAACGTCCGCCCGTATCTTTTTGCATCGTTTCCAGTGTCCTCGTCGTCACCTGTCTCACGGCTCTTGATGCTGTGTCAGCAAGGTGAAAGAGGATCGCGCGGTTTGATCGCCGTGCTGTGCCTCATGCGATCGAGCCCAGCAGAAGAAAAATCGGAGCAAGACCTTACCGTTCCAGGCTCCCGGGACCTGGCAGCATGACGACAGGGCGAAAAAGCAGTCAGTTCCGGTCTGAGGTCGGCAGGCGCCCCGCCTTCTTCGCTCGTCTGTCTCCTTGGCCAGTCGACTGGGCGGCACGGACATGCAGAAGCGGGAGAATACCGTTGCCAGCCCACCCATCCACACCGACCGGCAACGCTCAACGTGCATGAAGAACAGCCAGTTCAGTCTTAAAGCTGACTGGACGCGAAAGAAGCAATTCCCGCGCCCGAAAAATTTGCGTGTACCTGAGAACCACGTGGCGGCTCACATTGGAATGCGCGCGCGCTTCGTTGTCCTCCAAGCACTCTGCATTTTTCCAAATTGAACTGCTCTGCAAAGGAGGAGCGCGCAATCGTTCCGACGGCCTGTTGCAGGATTTGGTCGAGACCGGTCTGGTGTTGCTGATCTCTCAATTTCACCGGATGATTTCCTAGACTAACGTGGCACTCCACCGACCGCCGAATGCCGCGGCTTGGGCATGAGGCATGGGGGTAATAACGGATCAGAAATCCATCTACGGGGATCAGGGTAGCCAGATGCATCAAGCGAATCGGCATACCATGTTGTAGAATCTATGATGTAATAATTCTTCGTGTCAATGCTGTTGCGCGCTTTCTTCATGTCGGAAGTACGGAGTATCATTGCAGCGATCTGAATGTAAGATCATGGTATTCCTACATAAAGTTGGAAGAAAAGGAAGTAAAATCTGGTCGTAAACAAGAATTTGTGTGCGCGAACTGCCGTTTTCGATTAGTCTGGAAGCCATACGCCCAACGGCGTAGAAAAGAAAAAAGGCGTAGGCTAGAGCTGCGAACCCTCGCTCGGGGGACGGCCCCTCACCAACATTCTCTTTCCGCCCAATCATAGCATTTCGGACTTTCTATCCACGCAGGAACGCTCGAAGAAGTGTATTCAAGTCGTCATAACGGCCAGTACACGGGCGTCGGGAACGCTCCCACTCCTCACGCTTCGCGTTTGCTTCGCTCTTGCACGTCCAAATACTTGCAGATCAGATCCAGTATTTGCTCCATAGCAGTCTCTGCTCCTCGGAGCCTTCAAACTACACCATGCATGCTCCAGTCAGTCCATGTTGCATCTCTGTAGCCCAGTCGACGCGGAATGTCTTGGGTTACACGTACCTGGAAATTGGTTTTGATTATGTCTACAAAGCCTTCCGAAAGCTTAGGTTCGCGGTATCTGGAAGCGAAGCCACTGAATGCAGCGTGTGGCAGGATAGTACGAGATTCACGGTTCGTCTTTTAGTGGGCATCGGATGTTAGCATGAGCGTTTCCCGTGTAGTAATGGGATTCTGAGAATCTTGGACATCCCGCACAACCAATCTCCACATCGGATAGCGTGAGAGTGAGTTTGGAGTAATGAGCAAAGTGCAGCTTCCGGCACGCACGCACGGGAGGTTGCTTAGCGGGTAAACTTACTTCTGGACCAATATTCAGTGCGCGGAACGTATCATTGTGCTCACACAGCTTTGGCGTGGCCGTGAAGAGTACGCATCGAATGGGAACTTTCAGCTTCTGCGCCAATGTAATCCACACGGCTCGTGTTTCTGGATCGGCATTGGTGTTATCTTTAACAAGTTAGCTGAGTATGCGGAATGTATTGGAGCCCCGGATCAACATAAACCTACCAATAGCTACGCTCGTGCCTTCTATGATGAGTGCAGTAGCAGCCTTTACACACTTCTCGCGCTGTTTCAAAATGTTACTCAAGGTATTGAATGGTTGCACAACATTTGCGCAGAGACAGATCAGTCAGCAACTCACAGTCTTCAAAATGTCTTGGTTAACGCGGCCGTAACCGAATGGCTGCAGATGTTTCCAATAAAACGATGATTTACCTGAACCGGGGCTACCGCAGAACATGACGATCTCGGGGGTTACCGGTGGTGTAAAAGTGTTTACTGCAACTAAAGTTAGCACATCTGTAGAAGTGTGGTGTATGAGAGGTTGGATATCATACTTACGTGCAGTTGTTGAGCCTTCAGCCCGCTCTTGCATGTAGGCCATCGGCTCGAAAGCCCTAACGAATGGCCGTGGATCCTCATGGCGGAAGTACTCTTCTGGCGTATGGAACGGTATACCGAGATTAGCAGCAAAATCTCTACATAGACTTGGTTATTTCTGGTTGCCAAGGCATCATTCGGGATCTTCACGAACCTGTCGACACACGAGTGGTCCTTTACGCCGCCAGCCACTGCCTCGCGACCACCAGCATCCCCAACGAATACTGAGTTCTCTAGGTCGACAGATTCTGCATTCTCGATATCGTAGTCTTCTAGCAGTTCGTTCCACATCCCGGTCCTGGGCTTCCTATACTGGTCACGACTTGTCGCAGCATATATCGATATAGGAAAGTCGAGCTGGTTGAAGACTGCTGTTACCTTGGTCTTGAAGTCCGCCAGTCGCTTCTGATCAGATTTTACGGTCTTCGGATCAGGTCTCAGACTGATGCCACCTTGATTGCTGATGATAGCGACAAGGAAGCCGTCTGCATGCAACTCTTTCAATCGTCCTGGAACGCTACTATCCCACCACTTCCAATCGCTTGCATCACGACTAAAAGTCTTTCCAGACGCAGTTGTAATCAAGGTTGAGTCAAAGTCAAAGGCTGCTACTCTGCGCTTGCCCTGCGTGGCTGACTGCGCGCCTAGGTTGAAGCGACCAACCAGCAAGCTGTCTTTGACAATCCGCCATACCATCTTCTCTGGCTCTTTCTTCGAAGCTGGTGTGAAGAAATTGGCGACTGCCTTGCCTGATTCAGGTCAGCGAATATTCCCACACCCTGCGACGAGTGACGAACTTGTTGTGGCTGACTGCTGCCGCCGCTTCGGCGGGGGTGGCGACACGTCTTTGCTGTTGGAGCTTGGCCGCTTGCTTAAACCGGGTCGAACAGTCATTTTGCAGTCTGTATCGTTGCCAATACTAGTGCATGGCAATGGAAGATGATCTCTGTTGACAAAGCAATGTTTGTGAGGTTGCTCGCTTGCGCTTTCCTCGCAGCGCGGAACGCGACCTCGCGCTAGCACGTGCTTGAACTAAGCTTCCCTTACATGAGGGCATCGCATACACGTATTGGTCACAGACGTTTCACCACAGACGCTTTCAATGTTCTTAAAAATACGGCCTACCGTTTTGAATCTACGCTGGAGGTTTATACGCAAGCTGGCCCGGATGATGCACATCAGCAGACGGCACTCATCCTACTTATCTGGAGCCAGATGCACTGCAAAAGACCAAACCCCTCAGCGTCCTGACCCAGCGAACGGACTTGTTCCGATCTTTATCGTCTCTCTACCAACATGATATGTTGGTTCGTTGGCACTCGCTGACACTCCTAGAGAGCTGAACTTGATACTTTGCCTCTATAGCCTTTGGAGGCTGACATGACGATTCCTAGCCTAAAACCTCCCTTCCGCTTCCCATTGCTCTCTGTTAGTATGAGAGCAGTCTTCATCGAGGTCGCGCTTGGGTGGCAGGGACTGTCGGAGCTTTGTACTTGACGCGGGGATCCAGTGCAAGTCGATCTGGCAAAGCCAGGTTCACACAGCCCTTCATTTGCGTCTGGAATCTCTTCAGCTCATTCACGCCTGCCTCCAGTACAGCTGCGTTGTTAAAGTCTTCGATGCGGACGGTAGACTGGAGCGTGTAAACACCGCTTGGATCAAGCAGCTTCAGCCCGTTCCATGTCGGTAGTGTGGCCTTGGGGGCCTTCTGGACATTGCGTATGCCGGGCTCGTGGAGGATGCGGTAGAGAAATATAACGACATTGCCGTGCACAAAACGGTAGCCTTCGACGTAGAACTCAGTCACGAACCTGCACTGTTGTTAGAGGTGAAGGCACGCATGGAGAGAAGATCTCACTGATTGGGCCCTGAGGCGATCATGAAAGCATGTGGGTCGCCAGACAGCAAGTCAGTGGTGTTGGTGAAGCGGATTGAGACACCTCTGTCCCCAGTATCCGGTACGTCTCGGAAGACAAACGACCATGCTGGCTCCTCTCCGTCTTGTACGTCAGCAGACAAGGTCTTTGTGCTCTCCTCGGGCAGGCCGTCTTCAGCTGCAAAGTCGTCTTCAGACAGCTTCTGGACCAGGCGGGTATGGTAGAGAACAACAGGAGCAGCTTGTTTGGCCTGCTTCTGCGCGACAGTCTGGGTGCCGCCGCGACGGCCAAGATTCGAGCCGGGCTCCTCCGGCTCGCGCGTAGGCTTGTAGATAATGTTGCGCTCGAAAACACGTTGGGGCTGCATGGCAGCAACCCCAGCCAGAATGTTCAGCACCTGCTCATAGCGCGCAAAGGTGACCTGGCCGTAGAGGCTCAACTCGTGCATGGTGAGCAAAGTCGGGTCCGCACCGCAGTCGGAGGAACGAATATCAATATGCAATATCCGCTGGTCAGGATGCGGAGAAGCTCGTGGGGTTCGATAAGGCGGGCGGCGTGTGCAGCGTCTCTAATTGGTGCGGGAGCAGAAAAGACAGCCGCCTGGATTGCGCGACGGGAAGCTATGGCCTGAAAAGTGAAAGAACACCTCCAAGTGTTGCGTGGAAGGCCCACAAACACCGCGCTGAACTGCCCGGCTTGCTGCAAATGGCTTAGAAATACACGGCGCGCATGACTTGAACTGACAGTCGTTCGAGCGTGGCCAGAGGCCGTTGGCGTGCGGGTGGGATTAGTTTGCAATCCTCAGGGCCTCGGCGATTGCATTGCTGCCGCCAGAAATAAGATTTATCTCCATTGTCACTTCCGGCTCCCCTCCACCACTCACCAACACCAATTCCCCAACAAGTCGTCCACTGCACTTTTGTCGCCTTCTTCGCTCTTCTTGCGCAAGCAATCCATCCAACACTCCCGTGCAAGCTTTTCACTACCTCGCGCCCCGTCGCAACCTGCACTTGATACTACCACCCGCAACCCCCGCATCACCTCATCACAAAATGAACGCAACAAGGGCTCTCGCTCATCGCCAGCCCATGATCCGCTTTCTGGGAAAGCGCAGCACCCCTCAGAGTACGTTTAACCGTCGCATCTTGCTCGACCGCACATCTAACATGGCGTTTCAGAGGTTGACCACACCCCGCACGTCCACCCTGCCTCTCCCATGAGCGAGCTTCCCTCATCTTTCAAATCCTACCGACAGAAGGCACAACAGCACGGCCCGCTCAACCACATTCCCAGCGCCTTTGTTGGCGGCCACATTGGCGGTGCATCTGGCAGGGACCTTGGCCCCATTGAGGCAGGAAAGGGCTTGTACTTCGATCGCTCTGAGCTGCCTGCACGCTTCCAGAACCTGTCATGGACACAGGCTGAGATGGAACTGCTCGAGTCCGGTGGTGCCAGCGCGTTTGCTTAAATCCAGAAAGCATCATGACGCGACGTTAAGATAGAAGCCGGACGTGCCGGATGACCTGCTGTACATACTTACACACACGCGCCTCGAGGCGCACGGGAAAGGGACTGCGATGATCTGCTTTATGAGGTTTGGACACGAGAATTTGCGACAAAAGCGATGAAGCGACAAGTACTGGGATTACTTTCGTTCTATACCCATCAAGATCGATACTCGGGATGAGATGAAGATTTGGAAGGCTGCCCTTTGGCTGGGACTGTACGAGAATCACTGTACGGGGAAATGGATTACCACATTTGTAATTCGAGACAAATTCAACAAGCATTGACAACATTCACATACTCTCAAGCTCCAATTTGCACGCTTAGCTTCGTGTCGCATGCCTCCATCATTACTTGTCTTCCACATGTAGCCGATCATGAATACCCCACCAAAACATCACTCACGGGCTACATGCTCCAGCGCCCCCGCGCGATCAATAGAGATGCATGAACAATGTCGTTCCTTTTGTTCGCGGCTAACCCGGAGCCCTTCGGAGACTCTTCGGAGCAATCCACCATCCCACTTCGCCAGCTGGCAGCCTCGGCTCGCCAACACATGCCTTCCACGTGCTTTCCTATGTTAGCACGTGCGCAACACGTGAGATACGTCAGATAAGGCACACTTCTTCCCACATACCAGAGTCAAAACTTTCTTTTGACCACCGGATGAGTGCTGGTAAAACTCACACCCGGTTGCATGAATAAAAATACCTGTTCCGGTAGGTAAGCGCATGAGCTGTGGAATGCAGGCTCTTCCGGCGGTTAAAAGATGCGCCTGTTGAGTGTGGGCTGAGAGGTTAAGTTTGGGTCGGCGGGTAAACATTGTGCAGACGCGAAGGAGTGATACTGGCAGATGCTGCTGAACGGTTTGTAAGTTAGGAGGTTCGATTTGCAATATGAATATCATAATGTATTGAATTCAATTGGCTTTGCCTCCCATTCCGGTCGTTTGCTGTAGTCCAGTATACATGGAAAGTCACATCTCTGTCCCGTACTTCCTGCTGATATCGACTTGGCTTGAGAGAACAAGTATCCATCAGGCTCTATCTGTGACATCAAGTGTACCTGGATTGTGCGCTACATCTTTCCCCTTCTGGTCCGTAAATAGTACCTAGTCAACCAAGTCAGCATCTCAATATCTCTGCTCCTCTTTCCGCAAACCATAAGAGTGTACCTTTGGCGGATGCTTTACATCTTCTGCATCAGCCTCCTCTTGGTCCGTCACGATCTTGTTAACCTTTCCTTGTTGTTGATTGTTGGGTAACGAAGTCGTGGAGTCGGATCGATGAGCGCTTACGTTCCCCTCGTGCCTTCCACCCCTTATCCTCGTATACACGTGGTCACCTTCTTCAATCTGCTCGCCATTCTTGGAGGCAACATCGTTCTCGGTAGCTTGCGCCTTGATGACGGGAGTGTGAGATTCAATCTCATTGAGGGAATGGGAGAGTCGATTCGCCATATTAGATAAGTTGCTGTGATATCCGTGTTATGGGCTAAGCTCTCAAAAGAATTGTAATGCTTTTTTTTTCGGTTGTTGGCTGTCATCACAAGCAGTTTTCATCTCTATTCTTTATTGTTGATCGTCGTGGTGTTGGTTAATGATCATGATGATGTCATTCTTACTGGAACTTTGAAAGGAGAAGTTGCAGTAATTGCTCATCCCCAATATCCCTACATGATCGGCATCCCCAGTTTCCCGCACAACATTCTGAGACTTGGAGACGCACAAGATCCAATGCTTGGATTTGGTAGACTGCACTACGCTCACAAATTCCAGGCTACACAAAGAGAATTATAGTGTTCACAAATGAAACAGCCAACATGTGGAGCATGCGACAGCACGGCCACCCCATGCTAGACCCTTTCTTCCCCGGCCCTTCATGGAAATTACCAAGGGGTACACACGTCGCACACCACAGCTTGGTTCATTTTGAAACGAACTGCAAGCTTTGTTTCGACGTCGGGCCTTCAGTCGGTTTTTGGTGTGTGACTTACGGCACAGTTTCCACTGTCGAACGTAAGCCCCTATTATTTAGGGGGGAGGATGGAGTCCGAGAAGGACTGTATCTAAAGCTGTGGCTGAGTTACTTACTCATGAGGTATGGTAGAGGGATGATGGCAGCAGGTGCTGAGGCGTAAGGTAGTATTTTCGGAGGATTCGGCGTATTCTTTTTTGGAAAAAGTACGCACGGTGGCTGTAGACATGAGGCGCAGCCATATTGCCGCGGCAGCATGAGTCGAGTGCTTGCGCGTTCGTTAATAGCTCAGCTCGTATCGGTAGGGAGGGCCTCGTATTAGGCGCCTGATTGCAAGCGTGAGAAGTGATGTACCTGAATGAAAACCTGCACAAATAGCGATACGAAACGTATAGCAATTCACAGAAGACAGAGAAGAGTGATTTTGAAATTGCGCGATGCGCTATGTATTTTCTTTTGGTAGCTAGGAACTTCCAGTATCCAACTTGCATGGGTATCTAAGATGTTGTCCCATGCACCAGCCCTAAGTCTTATACAGCGAAGCGAAAGAAAAGCTGGACAAGCCTGCTATAATCAACGAGTGACAAGAAGAGTGTGGATGGACACTCTGCTTAGCAAAACATCCCCAAATACAGCATGGGATCTGCGTTGCGACAAGTAGAGCGAGATCTAGAAGAGAAAAGCTGAACAAGAACCGCAACAAAACGGTTTTCCTTCCGTATACTCCAATCACCGGTCCCTGCCTGATGCGTAAAAAATGAGTCGTAACATGGTCGTGCAAAGCGCTGACCCTGCCTGCGCTAGCGAGATATCAGAATCTTGGGTATATGGATCGTGGTATGATTGAAGTAGACGCTTAGACGATCTTCCAGTTGACGCCATTGTAACGGGTGATCTCGGTCAGGCCAAGGTCCTTCCAGACAGCATGGGAGAGATCGATGTCGTATTCGTTCACGCAGCCAGGGCAAAGATCCATGATCTTAGCGTTGGCAGTCTTGCCTTGGAACTCAATCTCAATCTCCTTTCCGCACCACGGGTTGGTTGATGCGCCGGTCATGACGTCGTGCGTGGTTCCTCCCTGGGCGTTCCAAGCGCCCTGAGCAATGGCAACGACAGGCATGTCATCGGTAAGAGCCTCACCGCAAGCGCCAGCAGCACCAGTGTTGTCGTAGATGGTGATCTCTACATCCTGGAACGACGTACCAGAGGAGGTGCCGCCGGTGGTAGGGTAGCTAGGCGCAGCGCTTGAGGGAGCAGCAGCCTGAGAGTAGACAGGCTCAGGGGCGGCAGAAGTGACTGCGGTGGTAGTGGGCTCAGGCTTGGGAGCAGGTGCTACGTAAGAGCTCTCTGGGGCTGGGGCGGGAGTAGTGGGAACGGGAGTGTAGACTGAAGTAGGAGTTTCTACAGGAGTGTAGACGCTTGAAGGCTCCTCAGGAACAACAGGAGTGTAGGCTGGGGCAGCCTTGGAGGTGGTAGGAGCAGCCTTTGAAGGTGCAGCTGGGGGAGAGGCCACAACCGAAGAAGTGGGTGCAAGTACGGCAGTGCTGGTGGTGGATGGCTTGCTGGGTTTCTCGTAGAACTCGCCAGCACTGGTAGTAGCCTGGGCAACTGGCTCGTCATCCCAGACGGTGGTGTAGACAACCACGGTCTCAGTGACGACCTCAGTCTTGTAGACGAGCGCGCGCCTGTCGAAGGGCGCAGCAACGGCGTAGGAGCCGAAAAGGAGAGTAGCGAGGACAGCAGATGCCTTCATTTTGACGGTTGGTATTGTTGGATAGCTGAGAGAGTGGTGCTATAGATGTTGGTGTGAGGTTTGCAGGAAATGACTGAACCGACTAGCAGTTCAAAGGAGTGGTAAGTGAGTTGTGGGTTGTCGCGTTGACAATGGTTGGTGTCAGGAATGACAGTTGTAGACAAAAATGTCTTGAGGGAGTGAATGAATGAACAAGAAGACCTCGAGCCTGCAGAATGAGTGTTACAGGAAGAGGGAGCAGCTTGAAATATAGAAAGAGTGTGGGTGATGGTGTGGGTTAGTGAGTGAAAGAAAGGTGGGCAGAGTGGGTTCGCATGGCTTTTACGCTAGGGACAGCGCTAGAACCGGCCCCTGGCAACGTGCCATCGCTTGTGCATCGCATCCTCCGCTCACCACGACGCCCGTCTAGGCTGTTTCTGTCATCGTGGGGCCTGCCACTCCGGGCCGGCTGCTGGTGGAACGGCGTGCCATGGCGCCCTCAACAACGCTGACCTCGTCGAGTTGCCGCCACGCTACCGCACTCATTCGTCCATGGACGCCGCTCGATCGAAATTGTCGGCACTCATCTCCACCAGGACGAACTTCAGACTTTCTTTTCTCTATGTTCATGCGCTTGCAAAGGGCGCTCCTACGTGCGCTGATTCTGTTCTTTTTCCTTACACTGACAATGCGCTCGTTTCCAGCTAAATATGGCCAGGTTCGAAATATCGCACCGGCTGCAGAGCTGACGGGTTTCATACTTCCGCAAGTGGCATGGCGACGGGCACATGCAGCCAATCACAATGCTGTTCCTGACGATCACTGCGTCGCGGAGCTCTTCGCGCCCTGTTCCGCCAGGGGCACGGCCGGAGCTGAAGCCGGTAAACGAAACATCCCAGGCACAGCGTGTCTGCGCCTCGTTCGGGCACATGTCATCACCGCAGATGAGGCACCCGCCGCCCTGATTGAGCTGTCTTGGACATCTAACACACGTGTACCGCAAGGAGTCGCGCCATGTCTTGATGGACTGACAGCAGATGGGCCAGACCGCCAGAGCTCATGGCCACTTACAGCGCATGGCGATTGTGGACACGCTCTGGTTGTTCGACTTTGCTTCTCCATTTTCACGATTGGCTGTGTGCGCTCCACTGCCTGCCAGCGCCAGCTTCAACCTGCTGTGCGCCGATTCGCGACGTGGGACCGGCTGAAGAGCCGTCACAGCGTCAATGTGACATACACTCCTGCGATTGTTTTGCCGGACCGCCTCAACGAGAGCTGTCGTTCGCTCGCTTTTCCTGCACGCTGCAAACTCCACAGCTTCTGGGCTTTATGATGATGGCATTCACAAGCCGTCAGCATGCGCTGGAAATGAATTGTGGGCCCGCTGCAACTTCGGCGTTGTCTTACTGGTTCCGCGTGGCAGCCATGTGCGAGAATTTGCGCCCTGCCTTATCCACTTATCGATTGCGATACCTATCCATCTCCACAGCCATCGCATCGGGGCCTATCACATGTGTTAGGTGAACGTTCGAGTCTTGCTCTTGGGCTGCAAAAGAGTTTTCATTCATCGTTCGCTTCTCGGCAGCATGCTCCTCAAGCAACCTTGACATTCACCCGTCTTGCCCGACCGCGCGTCCTCACAGAAGGCCTTAGTCACTTCTAACACACAGTTCGAGAAATCGCATTTCGTCATCGTTGACCGACTTTTCTTTTGGAGTCAACGCTTGAGAAGAACTTACAGTTTGTCGGAGGAAGCCGCAGAACAGGAGTTGACGCTACGGTAAGTCGGATGCGCTGCTTTTTGGCTCCTATGGTTCATCAGGTTTGGCTTGAGGAAGCCTACCAAACATGTTGGATTGCTGAGCACCGATGTTTGCCGCATCGTTCTAGATTCAGAACTTTTTACTCTTGCGTAGGATCGGATCTCCGTCAGTGTCCGTCATCTAGAAGTCCGGGAGAACGCTCATGTGCTGAACGACCATACGCATTGGATGTCACCCTTGGCTTGTGCTACGCTAGGATGTGTCAAGATGCTTTTGCCGTTAACCTGCAATGCACCGTCATCGTTGAGACTTAAGCAACGGGTTCCCTGTCGACGATATGCGTACCAAGAACATGAGTGTAAAGGATGAAATCCCTGGTAGTCGTTTACAAACGTTGGTCCAGCCGATCACCGTGTAACGGATACTTTCTCTAAGCGATCTACGATGCTTGTATGCACAGCATCTCGATCTGCTTTACATGCTGTATACTGGCAGACTACGCTAGAACTTTGTGCGGCTAATTACCAGCAGCAAAGCATGGCGAGATACCTCGATACACAGACATCAATCCGAACCAGAAATCACATCTACTGGATGCTGGATTGGGTACATCAAGATGAGACCAGGCACATGCAATCGCAATCTTGATCGTGGCTGTGATGAAGACATTTGTAAAGGAGCATCAGGTATTCCTCGTCTGTTGACCTTCGTCATCACCTTTAGGATTCTGCAGACTTGCTTTTTTTAAATAGTCTACGGCTGCATGTAAGACTCAGTTTCAACCAATGCTTTGGCGTAATTTCTCACCTGTTTTCGTGATGCGTCAATTTCAACTATCGACTCTACCGATGACTGCATCTAGTTGCTGTCAGAATGCAGCAAGAGCTTCCCTAGTCTGTTAGCCACACGACTATCGGCAGTTATGTTGTGGGAAGCTGATGTTGAGAGTCAAGGCGTTCGGCTGTATGTCACATTGTGTTGACTGAAGCGAGAGCTCGTAGCTATACAACTATATGCAAGCTGTCAGTTGTTGCAGAAACGAGACATGCTAGTCTTCTCTCATATATCTGCATCAAATTAAGAGAAGCCTAAGGACCATGCACTACGCAGTACGTCTCTCCGCATGTACATCCAAACACTCTCCTCTTATGATTCTAGATCCTTGCCAACTCGCCTCTCTTCGTAGATACTATCCCTGTAAACCATCTCCCCACCATCCTGTGCCTGCGAGGCTTTGCGGACAGCCACATTTTCAGATGCTCGCCTTGGAAAATCACCTCAAACACTTCCATCCCTCATTTGCCTTCCTTTCTGGTACCCTCCTGGCTCCTATGGTCAGTGTATTGGACCAGAAACCCGCAATTCATGTATACCCAGGTACATCACCATGTTAACAAAGGCACGCAGACAAGTTCTTGCATCTTTATAAACCAGTTCGTTGCCGTATCCAGCCGTGACATACCATCCTCGTCCCTAATGATCAATGCCATATGTAGACGTAGCTCTTCATTCACTGAGTGTAATTCTCGCATCAGGACACGTAGGAAATGCATACCCAATCTCTTTGACAGGAATCGAAGCATCAGTCGGTCGTAGCGGCCTGAATGGTTACACGAAGCCCGATTCTGATCAAGTTCGACACTTGCTAATGTAGCTCATCCATGGATATTGATATGAACTTCCAACTCCCCCAGTGGAGTCTTGTCTTTGCCGTTGGCTGCACACAACATAGTTTAGGCGCGTCGCACAAGCTTTGCAATTGTCACATCCTCCACAACACGTTCATCTCCGACTCTTGAGGTCAATACATTATCCTGCATGGAAAACTGTAAATGACGAGCAAAATTCCCGGCGGTGACATCATCCACCAAAAGATCAATGACCCCTTCAACGAAGCCCGCGGATTTCAGAAAACAGTCCTTTTCGGTAGATACATCGAACAGCGTTACGAGCTTCCTGCTGATAGGGGATTCCAAGATTTCACCATGTGGAGAAGCTCTTCTGTCTCGCCTCAAAATTGGGCGATTGATACGAAGCAAATGAGTCTTGTATCACAACGGAGACGTTACAGCCTCGAACTGGATGCTAGCGTTCTGTGGGTGAATCCCAAACGTTATATAGATGGGTGGCGGACACACGCTTGTCTATACGCAAGGTGGCTGCGGCGCTAGAAGGAGATGCTTGTTGGTTTAGATACCTATCACGTGTTCCTTTCCTTTCACTCCACTAGCGCCTCCCTTCCTACTATATAGTTCAGGGTTTTCTCCCTCTTACATAGAACAATCACATTACACTCTTCTTGTTCTACAATGCTCCAGGTCTGAACCTGACTTGTGATGTTGAAGGCACAATGGCAGCCCATATGGACCATTTCGAAGACGCTGCAATATCAGTCGACTAAGCAGAATCGTCAAATATTATGCTTTGAAAAACTCACCGCGGGTGCCAGTCACATAAGACAAGAGACATGGGAATGCGAACACATGTTCTGGCTATTCGAAGGTATGTAACCTCCTGAGGTCATGTTGTTCGATCTCTACTTCCATTCTCTCTTTCTAGTATCTTGCTACAGCTCCAAACACTCACCGAACGCTATCCCATGGGCAATTAGTTAAACATCGATATCGGTCGTGCAAACATCATGGACGTTTGAGTCTACATTCGGCGACTCGTGCTTGAATCACCTGTCATATTGTTTCCAATGTGTAAGTAAAGACACAACTTTGTTTTGATTTGACCTGGCGAGCCTTGCTGGCTGTAAAATATGGTTGGTCTAACGCTGCTCTGCCTTCGGTACCGAGTGAAAACACCTTTCTTGTCAATATTGAGCTTCCGATTCACTCGTTTCATGGGCCAATTTAGATCAGGGGTGGTCTCGGTAGGGTCCTAGCTGACTCCAAAACCATAACATTGACGGCAATCACACAGAGGAGAAATGATGGTATCCGGTTTGATTTGTTTCTACATGATGTTTCGAAGCTTGTAGCACTTGTTGAAGGGCAATGCAGGTGAACTCCGCTTTGCGTCCTCAAACTCTGACTTTGCATGGAATTTATTTCGCTTACTGTGATTGCTGTAGATGTACTGAGTGTTTCAATGTGACTAGCAGCAATGGTACCGAGGTTGTGATCGATCTCCGTCATTGTGAGCATGACTTGGTGGCCAGCAACCTAGTCTGCCGGCCTTATGGACAAGCATGGGAACAATACACTACATACGCCGGGTCCAGAATTGCTTTAGGGATATAAGTAATAAATTGTTATTGATCATGCTAATTGTTATACGTAAATGTTCCGATTCCACATCATGAAGTATGGTCAACCAATCCTTACTCCAGCCCAGCCTGCGTTGTAATATCCATTAACTAGGTACGATTTCCAAACTCAACTTGTGTTTCGAGTTTAGCCAACCTTCAAGGGGCATCCAGCGTTCTTGAACACCGGGTTCAGCTTTCCGATACCGAAATCCAGCACGGCACCAGTGATATCAGTGACGGTACTCAGAGTGCTGGGAACAGCCATGACACCCAGCTGGTAAAGCAAGCAAAGCAGCTGCGCCGCTGTAACATCGTTGGGTAGCTTGCCGTCGACAAGAATATCGAATGGTGTGGACAAGGCATCGAAGTTGTTCGTGCCCACGTTACCTCCGAATAGCTTGGGATACTTGAGATACTGGGCCAGAATCTCGTTGGTAACATCCATGTTTTTGTAGGGCTCGACACGCGAGAACCAGTTGTCAGGAATGCGCTCGGGGACGTGACGCCAGCCACCTGGTGCAGACGAGTCTTCGACAGCTCCAAAGAAGGACTGGATACGATGTCAGAATGTGTCGCATGGTTTCAAATTTTGGGGACTTGCCTTCATTGTCGCAAGATCCGGTACGCCCTTGTCGCCGTAGCTGGGGAAGAGTTCGTAGAGGAAGGAGGCGGCTCCGTAAAGCAACAGAGACAGGGGTCCAAAGAAGAAATTGGGGTTCTGAAATCTAGCTGTAAGCATGGGAAACATATGGCTTGAAGGCGGGAGTTACATACCTCTTGAACAGACTCTTCGTACCGCTGGCTGCGGTATGCGGCGAGAGCATTGCGATCAAAGTTTCCACCAGAAACCTTGTCAGCGACTGCCTTCATCTCTGCGAACAGTGTGCCGTTAAAGCTGTAGTTATCCCCGTCTGCGAGGAAGAAATCGTTACGCGTGAGCGACGAATCTGCCTCAAACTTGTTGTGGCCATCAAGACCGGGCTGGGTGCCCAGAATAGGAAGCGTCGCAGTACGAGATGTAGCATCGCAACCGATACTCAAGCGACCAGAGAGTACGTCACCACCAGCCTCGATACCAAGGACTGCGAGAAGGACAGCTAGGTCATAGCCTACGTTATAAACATTCTGTTGGGCATCGACCAACTCCTGGAAGTTGGTTATACCATCATGCGAAAGGAAGTTATGCTATCTCTGGTCAGCGAGAATATCGTACACATTATTGTATCGTATACTTACGTTAGCTGCAGCGTTCAGACCTGGGCATGGTCCACGAATATCGTTAGGTCCGGGAGGAGTGTAGGCATGAGCCGTATCGCCGTCTGCTGGGACTTTGATACCACCCTTTTGGCTACCAGGTACACCGTTCTTGGCCCCAGTGTAGGTGTAAGGAGCAGTGTATGGAGCGGCACCCTTATGGACAGGGTTGAAAGGGCAGTTGGCCTGGCGTCTTTCGACAGTGCGTGCGTTCCTGAAGAGCCCAGAGTTGACACCCGGCTGGCCAGAGACCCAGGGGTAGGCGACGGCCGCCGAAGCCTGGAGAAGTACGAGAGAAAGAGTATGCATTGCAAAGAAGCAATCCTGAGATGAAGTGGAATGATCTACTCAAGATGACTTGAGAGAATGATTCCTGTCTTCGGTCGCATGTGTCTTCTACTTATAATCATTTCCCATGTTCTCCTATATCCAACTTCTTGTTCCTCGATCATACAAATGTGGAGCGGGACCGAGGCAAGTTCCTCACGCCGTCACACCCAACATCGCCATCATGAAGTCTTGGATATCCGCCTCTCTCCATTGGTTGAGAGCTGTCTTGCCCCCCTTGTTGCACAGTGTGTAGTCGATGATCGACATACCCCGGAGTCGATCGGCGACCGTGTTGCCCAAGTTTGGTTGATGCAAGGTACCTAGGAGCCAGGTCCGAAAGGGAGTTGACAAGTTGACAACCAGCACGAGACTATCGATGCAGACCCTTGGGTAGCTTTACAAATGGAAGTGGCGTCGCGCCTGGACAGAAGGTTCGCGCCCCACGTCGGCTAGTTCACGCCTCTTGCCCGAAGTAGTTGGACATGACGATCCTTTTCCAAAAAAGAGCCAACCATGCCCCAAGGATCCAGAGTGGTGGTTTGCGGGGAAAAGAGGTACCCAATTGCGAATGACTTATTTCCGATCTACTATGGTCATGTTGCATGCGCTCATAGGGAACGATCGGCGGCGACTACTATAATCGACAAAATACCGAGGCAGCCTCTATATTGTAACACCTATAGGCCAAGATTGAAGTTGTAAAGACGTAATTGGCGTGGGAACTGGCTGTCCTCGGTATAGTAGAAGTTGCGCTGGCTCGACATCTACCCCAGTATGTGCGTGCATGTGGAATCTGCCGGCAGGCGTAAAGGAAGTCGCCGAAAAGCCGTGTGGGACGATGATCTACAGTAGTACGTTCAACCCAGGTTTGACGATTGAATAGTGGTCCAGCTTACAGACACATGGTAGAACTGCATAGCACTGAGAGCGACGCCAGGAGACTCCTTAATTGGAATTTCTGCTTGGTTGCTCTATGATTCTCAAATAGCGAGATCACTCAACTCACGGCCTTGCAACCCGCTATGGAGCAACGGTGTCAACTTCATCTCCGAGACCAAAAATACCAAGTCTTTCCGAACAGGTTGATGAAATTTCATCTCGATCTAGTTTTGTCCCCTCAGTCTTGACTGACACCATCTCTAGGACCTCCAGCCTGCCGAGGCAAGTTCTTATTGTTCGCGAAACTTGCCCCCACGCTGCAGAGAATCGGACGGAGAAGGGATCAAGTTGTGCTGAACAGTTGGATAGGTTAACACCATCAAGAGCCGGCTTGAGGCGACGTAAGAGCGTAGCATGGGCTACAGAGTTGTGGCGTGGCACTGCAAATACGTCAACCTTGGATTTTCCAACGAGGCCTTCCTTGATGGAGCATGTTAATTGCCCGGTATGCAAGTTCATCGTCATAGGCAGCCCACTTGACAATTTGGAGTATACTGGGCGGTCCAGAGCATGACAGACCATCCACAGCACTCATGCAGCGATTGAGTAGAACACACTCTGGCTTCGCTAGGGTATCCATGGGGAACCATGTGCCACAACGGAAAACGCGGAATTTCAACTTGCAAGTTTCCAACACTTTCGCCTTACCAATAGAGTGCATACCGAACTCGCAGTCGCGCTGACGTCGTATAGGAAGGCACCCAAGGAGATGACGCCATATCGGAAAGTCAGAAGGGGTGAAAGCCTTTGCTCGTGTAGCAAACCCAGGGAATGCCAGAAGAGACCAAATGAAGTAAGAGAACCAAGAGCTGAGCAGCTGATAGTAGATCATTTCCCGACTCGATTTCATGTATGCATATCTTTCATGCCGTGCGCGATATCGGCCCCATGTCCTCCAGGGAAGATTGAGGAGCGAAACCTCAGCAGCATCTCCGCGGACCATTTCTGTTGTAAGTGTGACTAACTGAAGTGTATTGAGGTAACAGTTGTAGTATCCTATCTACGCGTGAAGTAGTCCTTATATCCCTTAGATCTTCCTTTGTCTTGAAGTTTGACTGTATAGTCGTTTGTCTTAGACAACAATTTCCTTCCCTCCACCACTGGCAGCAGAAAAATAGGCGACAGCAGTATAAGAGTGCCAGTCACATATCAGGAGACATTTGTGGACAAGCCTGATGGCGCGGTAATACATACGTGTTGGGTACGCAAAAAAAGCGACCACGTCCAAAAAAACCCCCCATCCTGCACAGCAACGGCAAAAAAGAAGCGCGATAGTAGTACTCTCCAGCGGGGAATTGAACCCCGGTCTCCCGCGGATTGTCAAGCAGCCTAGAAGACTTGGATGACAAGCGGAAATACTGACCACTATACTACTGAAGAAGAGTTGATATCGCAGATGTGGTCGATGGCAAGGTTGTAAAATAGAACAAATATAGACTTGAACTGATACACAGCCCAGCCATGGCTGATGGGTTGTATCCACTGCTCTGGAACGAAAAATACAGTTGATGTGGCGGGGATGTGGATATGTGTGGAGACTGAAGAAACTAGCGAGCGGTGAGAGCAGCATGCCTCGGCAAAAAGAAGATGCATCGATAAAAACATAGCATCTTAAGAGCTGAATGGAGCTTACTCTATTCTTTCGGGCAACGCTAATTGTAGACGATTATATACAGATCGCGATGGAGAAAAGGACGCCAGTCATGCGGATGGTATCGAGCGCCAACATGATGCAAGTCGAGTCGAGTCGACTCGTATACGCCGCGCGCCGATTAGGATGGTACAATATACGAGTGGTGTGTACGAATCGGATATGACAGGTCCTTCAATTACACTATAGCTGTAGGCGCGTGTCTACACGCTTATTTGTTGACCTTGGATTCACGGCCCACGACGGGGTTGTGGCCGCTTGGGAACTTGCTGTCCGACTGCAGGAGCTCATCGGGTTTATCTGCAAACAATTCATTTAGCCTAATCCCAAATGCAAAGAGGTTTGCACAAGCTTCCTCATCGGAGGTTGACATACCATGACGAGCGTAGAGGTGGTAGTCCTCATCTGTGTACTTGCCCACGTGGCCGCTCTCTACATCCTTGCGGGTGAGCGAGAGCTTGTTCTTGGGCAGGCCCATGGAGCCGAGGTAAGTGATAGAATTCTTCCACTCGACCTCCTTACGCTTGTTGTCCCACTTTAGCTCCTCGCCCATGATGTCAATGACCTTGGGAAGAGCTTCGAGAGCGGCCTGGGCGTTCAAGAAGGCGAGACGCATGCGGCGCGCAATTACGTCCGTAGCAGTTTGAGCATATTCGTGGCGGACGCAGTAGCGGACCTCACCGTCGATGTATGGGTAGAGCTCAGCCATCTTAATGCCGCGGACAGGGAAGCGCTGCTCAGTGGGCGATGCAAGAGCTGCGACAGTCCACGCACGGTCACCGTACGCCTGGCAAAGGTATTTGGCTACGTCAGTCTCGATGCCGTAGTGCTGGATGAGGTTGATGAAGAGAGTCTTGGAGAAGCCGTGTGCACCGACAAGTCGGACACGGTGGGTTTGGCAGGTGCCGTCGAGAGGAGCTTCATCCTTGACCTCAGTTCCGCTAACGAGAGTGGGGTTCACGAGCGGCTGAGTCTTTAAGCTGTACTCCTTGATTGCCTCGTCGACAGTCTCTTCGGCCATCTGGCGGTAGGTAGTCCACTTGCCACCTGAGCAAGTCATCAGACCGGAAGGAGAGGTAGTGACCAAGTGGTTGCGGACAAGACCCTCGGTCGCACTCGCGTTGGGGTCACGGACAAGAGGACGGATACCGGACCAAGCAGCAAGCACATCGCCTCGGCGAACATTGATTTCTGGCTGAAGGTAACGCTTAACCTCCTTGAGAATCCAGTCAATCTCTTCCTCGCCAGCAACGGGATCCCTCTTGATGTCACAAGCGGTGTCTGTTGTACCCGCAATGGTGTTGCCCTGCCATGGCAGGAAGAAGATGACACGACCGTCAGAAGTGTTGGGATCGATGAGACCCATGTTTGCAGGGCTGTAGTAGCCAGGAAGGATGACGTGAACACCAGAGCTAGGAGCGACAATTTCAGGCACCTCTTGGTCGTCCATTTTGCGGATGGAGTCGGTGAAGGGACCGGTAGCATTGATGATACCCTTGGCCTTGATCGAGAACTCTTCAGCCTTCTTGCCATCGCGCTCAGCGATGCAATCCTTGGCCTTTGCTCCGCACAGACGACCGTTAGCATCCTTCTCGAGGCTGGTGACCTCGAGATGGTTGACGACAGTTGCGCCGTATAGTGCAGCAGTCATTGCGATGGAAACGTTCATGCGAGAGTCGTTGTGCGCACCATCTGATGGAGTCAGTTGCTGCAACAGATCAAGTGACTGCTAAGCTTACCGTAGTAGACCAGGGCGCCAACAAGGCCTTCCTTCTTCAACATGGGGAATGCGTCCAGAGCCTTGCTCTTGGTCATGTAATATGAGCTCTCAATGTTCTCTGAACCGGCAAGGAAATCGTAGAACTTGGTACCAGCCCAGAAGTAAGGCGCTTGCCACCACTTCTGGATAGGAATCATAATTGGCAGCCATTGTGACAGGTGAGGAGCGGTATCTAAGAAGTAACGACGCTCGCGAAGAGCTTCGACGACGAGAGCGTATCTAAGCTTCAGGTTAGATATTGCAGGAATAACTTTCTTGAGCTACTCACTGGTTGTAGTCCAGGTTCCAGACAGCCTTTTCTAGGTATCGTACACCGCCGTGTACCAGCTTTGTGCTCTTACTGCTGGTACCACTGCTGAAGTCGTCGCGCTCAACGAGCGCAACCTTGAGACCTCTTGTAACAGCGTCGAGCGCAATACCGGCTCCGGTCGCGCCACCACCAATGACCAACAAGTCGTATGGCTCTTCTTCCGCCTTTTCAGCTGGAGTTGGTGTAGAGCCGCCGCCCAGCCACTTCTTTGCCTTCTCTGCGACCTGCGAGACGACGCCAGCGCTGCGCTTCAATTGTGCAATCTGCTCTTCGCGGCTCTTGGCAGAGGGGAACTGTGGCGGTCGGAAGACACCTCCCTCGCCATATGTAGGTGGTGGGACTGCGGCGGCTTCTGAGCCAGGGATATCGCGAGGTCGTAGGGTAGTGTATAGGGCGGCGGTACCGACTGCTCCAACACCAGCTGTATAGAGCAGCGGCTTGATGAAGCGGCTTCCTCGTCGGGCAGCCATGATGAGTTATGGATGGGTATAAGTCTCTGGAGATGCAGTCGCTCCAGGCGGTGTTCGTATAATGTACAAAGGGTCGATAAAAGTGCTACAAAGATCTGCTGAGGCTCGAGCCTGTGAACGTCAGGCGCGGCCGCGCAACGGAGCTGGGGAATTGAGGGATGCGGATGGGGATTACTCACCTCGAAAAAGGGTTACAATGGCATGGGGAACATGGCATTCAAGGGAGTAGGAGTTTTTCCGATGGCGACCTAGTTGTTAAGAACAGCTAAAACTTTGTAGGGCAGGATGACGAAAATGGTGGAGCGACGTGACGCGACTCCACTTGTACAGGGTCGGCTTGCAATCGCCCGGATAGGATCCGTCTCTGCCGTCAAAGGCGCCGAGATGAAGCAGCGGGGTCGTGTAGATACGTCTGGAAGCCGCACGTGGCTGACAATTCTCTTCGCGGCCGCGCAGCTTCCAAATCTCGAGCAAACTCAAGAAACCGAACGGTGGCAGAGTTGTGAAATGACAACTAGCGCGGAACCTCTCTTCCGGCCCCCATCACGATTTGGCGGAGATAGCCACTGCCCATGGAGTGCAATGCCAAGAAGACCCACGCAAGTGGGGCAGCAGAGCCTCATGATGATCTCATGCCATGTGGAGTCAAGCTTGCAGCTGATACTGTATGTGTCCATGGTATTGATTCTTGTTGAGTATTGATGCGACGATCTCCTCCTGGTCGCCTTATCCCTTGCCGCACATGACAGTATATCCAAAGAATGGTTGCATGGCCGGATATGCAAGGTGTTTAATGTTGTCGACGTCGCCTGTAAACACGTGGAGAAAGGGTCCGCGTTGACTACGTTCTCAACATTTCTATATTTCTCGATAAGGACCGTATGTGACCCATGTCGGTTTGGTGCGAGACTGTTACTCAAGGACAGTTTCAAAATTCTAGTCTCCCAGACAGTCATGCGCAAAGTATGGTCGATGCGACAGTATGCCTTGGAGAGTTGGCGAGTCATGTTTGTAATACCGCGCGGATCGCTTTACCATACACGACGTGGTTGTGACATAGAAACAGTGGTCAAAGGAGCAATTGACAGCATCATGCTTACCTGGAGCAACATCTAAATCCAGCAAGTCTTATATAACTTTGTTGATGAAACGGCTTCTCATAGCGGTCGCAAATGTCATGAAAGGGGATCGTAAGTATTGTTTCTCTCTGCAGATTCGTGGCTGCCCAAATGCTCGGCAGCTGGGCGTTCTGGACGCCGGTGCGTATATTGTGTTTGAATGTCAGGGATCAATCTCGGCATCGTTCCGGTGAGCCATAATTGGGCTATTTGGCCGAGTTCGGTGTGGTTTCTAAGGGACAGTTGGCCACCAACGCAAACGGAGGTAGGCTGAACGACTGTTAGCTACCTACCCAAGTAAATGGATACCACAGAAAACAGCTTTGTGCATAAATCCAAGCATATCTGTAACAAACGCAGTCAACTTTGAGCGTAGTGAACATACAAAGGCGCCGCAAAAACAGTCACCACGATCGGCGCGCAGGACGATGGTAGTTACCCCTTTGGGGCTAGCTCATATCACACTGGGATGCTCCTTAGGTATTCATAGACCCACCGGATCGGCTGCTCAGCCATAACATGGAAGATCCAGAGATCTAGCAATCATAAGAAGACCTAGCTCACATGTCGAAGTATTCTTGCTCGTACAGCTATAGGCAAGTTGCGTCAAGCTAGCTTTCACTCGCTACTTACAAGTTCGGATAATTCCAAGGTTGTGAATACACAACCGTGGAAGAATGCGCTGCTTCCGACCCAGGCCATTAAGAATCTGCCAGCGATAATGAACACGAATCTACCAGCGATGAGAGGATCTCCTAACGACGACTACGATAGAGTACAGAGGAGGTCACACAGGGGCACTCGTTGCTTGTAGTAGAAGGATCAACATCACGAGAAGCTCTCCGATACCGCCGTTGCGATTGGCAAGAAAGTAGAACGGACATCATACCTTGCTCCTGCTGCATCGGAAGCCTGTCCTTCCGAAGTGAGCTCAGCACCCAACTTAAACTACACCATTGCACGCTACAAGTAACGCATTACAAGCACCTTCAGGGTAAGCTTTGACGTAATGAGCCTCATATTCATAATGTGCTCTTATGCGTCTACTTGTTCCTTATGTTGAGGTATAGCTGAATTCCATGGACAAACATGCGAAGCATCTATCTATTCATTCTCTCGAAAGGTGCGTGAAGCTTGTGTTTGATGAGCTGTATCCAAACGCCAAGTGCTATCATGAAGATATTCACAAGTTTCTACGCTGACGCAGAATGAGCTGAACAATATTGTACAACTTAGGGTATATTTAATTCTGCGTGTAACACATTGAAGACCTACGTCGCTGTCATGTGAGCTTGGTCACCAGTAGCATTATGGCACATATTCACTGCCTCATCCCAAACACCTGGACACCTAGCTACCCAAATGCAACAACGCATATGCAAATGCCATTCCCTATATCCTCAACACCCACAAAAGCAACAATACGTCCAACGCCACAACCGCACCAGAGATACTCAGGACTGCTCCCTGGTGAACCAAGCCCAAACGGTCTTGGCGTGTCCGCATACTGATAACTGCTACAACGCAGAGCATCAGCGTACAGATAGTACCTAGCAAGACAGCAGCGTCGACAACACCTCGTTCCTTCTTCCGGCTTGTCATTGTCATGAGACCCAAGATGAGGTCTATGACAACAGCCGCGCCCAGTGCAGTAGAGTAGAAGCGCAGCTTGGTCATTTCAATCTTGTGTTGATGAGTCTCTACCTGACCAAGCAATGCGCGACGCTCGTGGAGCAGGTCGGCATCATGTCGGGGATCGCGGAGGGAACGAAAGAGTGTGCTGAAGTAGCCGTTTTGGCTCGCTGCTTGGCCACGAGAGTCTATTGTTCCATAGTTTGCGGCGTGTATTATGGGCGAGGAGTCGACCGTGTCGTCATCATCCGAGTCCTCGGCAGTGGAAAGCGATGCCTGATCAGCTTTGTCGTTTATACCGAACAACTTCTTTGTCTTCTTTGCCAACGCTTCGACGAAGTCTTGACCAGGGTATTTGATAGGCGCGTCAGGATCCACATAGATGTAGTAACCAGTCTCTTCATCCTCCGGATGGTCGTATTCGTTCCAATACCTCTGCTGCACTTCCGGTTCAGGTTCGTCCCGGTTCATGGGTGGAGGGTATTCAGAAAACGGTCTTCGACTCTTCTTCCTGAAGGCCTGTAGTGGTGGTGGGTCGACAAATTCATGTACCGATGTTGCAGAAGACTCCTCGTAACGGGAGGCAAGTGGGCTGGATTGACCGTCATACGATGTGTTGGATGTCGAGGTTGCTGGAGGCGATAATTGAACTTGGGAGCCAGTCATACTGTCTCGCGCCCTGCGGCTCCGCTTCTTCACCGGCTCTGGAAGTTTTCGAATGTCTTTCTCGAGGAGGGAGATCCAGAAAGGAGCGGACATGGCGCTGGGCTGGCAACAAGTCCACACAGCGTGTGCTTCTAACGAGAAGCCTCGAACACGTTCAACCTGCCATTGTTAATTTATCGATCGTGTACAATTTGGAAGCACGTACCAAATGGCTCCGATCAAGGGTCTGGATAAGTGCCATTGCTTGGTTGCCTTCACGGCGGATCTCGAGAATAGCGTGAGGAAACCTCTTTGCTGATTCTGCTCGAGCAGTTGAAGTCCAATCATCGTCTGCCAGGTCTTTGTACAACGAGTCTTTCATGTAAACATCTTTGTCTAGCGTCGCCCATATACCTCCCGTTGAGTTGTTGTGCAGCCCCGTGAATCGTGTGCGTTTGGAGACCACACCAGCGATGGGCCTAGTAGACTGGTGCTCAGCAAGCCATTGTCGGACCGCCGAGGTATCATCATCGACTGATCCATTCGAGTTTCCAGTATGCTTCGTGCTACCCTCATTCGCGGATTTATCCAGGAAGTTTGACAGGCGTCTGCGGTCCATCTTTGCTGTCTTGACAGCGCCCGGCGATTGACCTTGTGAACTTGTCTCTGTTGTGCATACAACGACCGCCGCTTCACCAGTGGCGCAACACCGCACCTGACCAGCCGCCTTGATCCCGATACTCCCCTGTAGTTCTTCCGTCGCTCCAATTGTACTTGCGTTTTGTTTAAACGCGAAAGCTTCTGCGTGATCTAAGACAACGAGACCTGTCGTATCTTCGTTGCCGAAGTACGGGTCAAGATTGGCTGTGGAGGAATGACGGCGGATAGGCGTTCCCCTAACAGATGCGTTTCGCCTGGTTTTGCTGATGTACAGACGCGTATGCTGGAGTAGCAAGACTTGTGCCTCAACGATATGGTCCGGATGTATCCAATACGTTGCTTTATTGCCCTTGGAGCCCAATGGTACCGTGTTCAGTGCCAGGTCAAAGTCTAGGTCGTCGCCCTTTTCAAGAATTCTGGATATGCGAGCAGCTGAGGATTGACCGTTGGCGTTCTCGGCATTGGACGTAGAGGCACCATCCGCATCAAAAGCGGAGCGGAGTGCGTCGAGCACATCGATGTATTGATCCAAGAGATAGCCCAAATCGAGCTGGAACAAACTATCCGGCCGACCGCTAATTTCCTGCTTAAAGACATGACTGAGCTCCCTGTCCTTTGTCCAGCGCTTGTATTTCTTGAGTATCTTGATAAAGCCCGTTCGCTGGGTCACTTGGAATCGGGAGAGCGACCTGATCTCCTCTCCGGTTCTGCAGTTGTGTTAGCGAGACTTGTTCCGTCGCGTGTTCCGATGCTACCCGCGTACCTCGCGACATCTGCATCGATCTTCGCATATCTCTCCACAGTCCGCGCAGGAAGACGCCCGCTCGCCGGGTCGCGTCGTGCGCGCAGCTGGTCTAGGGTCTTGCTAATGTGCTCCAGTCTCCGCTCAATCTCGCCGCTCTTGCTCCGCACAAAGAGGTTGATGCGATCATGTTGTTGCGACAGGACATTGAAGAAGGTGTCGCCGAATGCGCGCTCGGTGCTCTCGCCCTGGCCTGGGATGGATACAGCCTTGTTCGTGCCCGGCGTCGTCTGGTGTTTGATGAGGTCTTTAAGGTAGTCGTAGTCGATGTTGTCTGTAAGCGCACATGTGTTAGCGGAGAGCGCTCCGCGTCGCGTAGTAGGACATAGCCGTAGTACTCACAATGGCCCCATTCTGGTATGGACCGCTGTCTCAATGTGTCGCCGTACTTCATGCCAACAGGTTGAGCAGTGAAAGCGGTTGAGCGAGGATCGGGCGGAGCGCGTTGTTGGGTTGCGTCACAGGAACCTTGGAAGCGAGCGAGTGGGTCTATTCACTGTCAGATAAGAAGCCTTCACGATAGCGTGGCCGTGCAATATATGGGCCTTCGACCGCACGTTCGCATAGCAAAACGATTGCACCGTTGCACCGTTGAATTGCCGGCACATTGCGCCAGACGGACTGCTTACCGTTTCCCTCAATTGGATCAAGATACCTGGGTAATAATAGCGCCGCAGTTGTGCCAAGATCTTGGGCTGATGATGCGCTGCTAACCGGGATATATGGGAACTTAGATACAAGAACAATACCAAAAAGTGATGAGAAAGAGGCCGAGCGACATGGCGCTGGTGGAAGGATGTACCCAGGTAAGTACTCCTGCCCGATTGTGAGTTCGATAGCAGAGAACTGGCTGCGATTCACGCTACCAAGGAACCTGCATCGGCGTCATCCTATTCAGGAGGTTCGTGCGCAGGGATCATCGTTACCGTTACCCACAACCCATATCCGCCATGAATCCCAGATGGCCCACTAAACATTCAGACACCGGCTATCGTATGACGAAGAGGGAACTATGTGCTTCGTGGACAACGAGCCTCGGTATTCTGGGATATTTTTTTCTCTCGCTTGGACGCCTAAAGCACAACATCGACAACGAGTATGATCGACTACAGCTAGCAGCCGGACACGCTCATTGTCTCATGTCTCCACCTTAGGAAGCATGTGAATTTCCCGTACGTCAGATAACGACCCGGCATTGGCCAAGACACGTTTGCACTGTGGCGGAGAAGCATTATGATCTCAAGTCCAAGGCGGCAATCGGCAGTCGTGGCGCGATCGTAACAGCGCTCCATGTCCCAAAGCAAAGCCTCAAGTGTGGCTTCCAGATGCGGTCAGTCTAGATCCTCAAACAGCAGGAAGTGTTACCAGAAGGAGGGATGTCAGAATGTCATTGATCTATACCGATTGGTGGAGAAGGGTATCTGGAGTAAAATTGGAGACGAAAAGCTTGCATCGACATAAAGCATCCCCACCTGCGTGGGGCGGGTTGTGGGACAACATGCCACCCGAAGACAAGGTTATAATGCGTGTCACATATGAACACTGCCACAGGATGCAGAGAAGAAATATTTTGTGTTAACCGATCTCCTCGGCATAGTAACACCGAAATGCCGACCCTACCTAACTTGATAGTCGAGAAACAACAGCGAGAACCTTTGTACTTGTTCTCTACATGATAGCAACTGCGGCCGCCGGCCACCCGTCGCAGGGACTTCGACCCATTGCCAAAGTGGACCTTCACCATGGCCCGCAAGCCCGTGGAGCCGCGGTAGCGCTGTTCGAATTGAGTGACTCCGTGGAGCCACACGACTCTGGACTTGCTAAAAGACAGACACCAGTGAGTCAAACATGATGGATGCGGGATGTATGATGAAGGTAGCCGCTAATGTTTTATCACTAACTGCACCTTTTCACATCACTCGTAACGAAGAGACGGATGTAGTGCATGTTAAATCGGACGCATGTACGATGTACGATGTATGATGTACGCTTTCAATCGGACACCTCCGATAAGCTGTCTTACTTTACCAAAGGATCAATATGCATAGCCGAGTTCCACGGGTTACGGCACTTGGAAGCCACGTTGGCGTTGCTTGTCTTAATGTCTGTATGCGTGCCTGCGCGTCTCCTATGATACCAGCCCTGCATGGTGGCATAGTGAGAGGTCGTGTGCTCACCTGCCTATATCGGTCCCGCTATAACGAACAAGGGTCTTGCATATGTAGGAATCACTAGGACGATCCTATGACATGGCGCTTGCAGCCTCCAGGCCCAGACGTCTGGAACACCAGGAAGGCTTTCTGCCACTCGCTGTGCGTATGCTGCCCACGTGGGTGATTGGGGTGGTTTTCGACACCTGAACGTAGCATGTAAGTCCGGAAAACTGTGGCAAGCTTGGATGTCATACTGCCGGTGGTAAGTTGATGCGCTTTCTGATTTTGACTCAAGATTGAGGTTTGTGGGGCAGACGCGTCGCTTGCTTGCTTGCCTGCTTCATATGGAGGACTTATCAATCGCTCTACGGTTGATTTGTGTAAGTGGAGAAACGGTCGAGGTATCTCCCAAGCGTATCACTAATGCTGATACAACAGCTTATACCTCGATACGATTCCTACGGGTCCTTGCACTTAGCAAGACCCCCTGATACCACAGTAACTCCATAGCCACCCGATCGATCTACAAGCGGAGCGTAGTAAACGTGCAATATCAGTGCTGCACATACCGAGGAGAGTTTCAGGTACATACATCACCCCTTAACACTTCATCATAGCCCACAGCAAAACTCCCTCACCGCCATCCTTCCCTCTTCCCTCCCCATCAACCTTTCCCTTTCCCACTGTGATCTCCTCCAGAATCTGAAATCCCAAATGCGCATACACGTCCCTACTCCTGGGTGATGTCGACTCCAAGACCACTGGCCAACCTTTTTCCTTTGCCATGTCAAGTACCGGACGAATGAGATCACTCACTTTGGCTGGCGTGGTAGCGGAAGGATGACTGCGGTCATTTGCTACCAGGACTAGATGTAGCACGTGAGTTGCTTGAGGTGGTAGAGCGCGCTGCCTTGCGTGGTGGGCCAGTGAGTTAAGTTCGGTCACAGCGGGTGGGTTGTGCGGCTCCGGGGTGTATGTTTCTGTGATTTCTTCTAGTTGCCTGAACCGGTATCAGTGGACTTAGACGCGAGATAAGAAGACTTTTCAATATCCAATCTCTTAAATATGTGACATTTCATGGTCAAATAGGTTTACTCACCACACACTAGCCACACCACTTCCAGGAATTGTGATCATCCTTGCTCCGCCCTTGAGGAAATCCGGTACTACAAATCCAAAAACCTCTTGATTCAACTCAACTCCTATGTCGGTTTTTTCTGATCCTTGTAGTTCATCTAAAAGAATGTAGCGTTGAAACGCATCGTCGTTGAATTGCTTGGCGAGAATTTCGATTGTGTGCTCTAACGAGTCCTCTTGAAGACCGGTGGGAATAGGGATTTGCGACATGGTCTGGAGGCCACTAGAACAATGATGGATGTTTGTCGTTGGAAAGTAGATTGTCGAACAATTTTTTTCGGGTGGTGATGCAGATGGAGGTACATGTAGGTTTGGTAGTACTGTAGTGGTTGATGGGGTCGGTCCGAATGGGAGAATGCGCCGGTCCGATATTTGACTAAGTATGACCCGGCTGGGCAATGTATACTCTGGCATGAATAGACGTTACTAGTCTCATCTCAACAACTGCTTCTTTCCACGAGGCTTTACCGGCTCGCCCTTCGGTACTTGTCAAAACGCCGTGGTTTGCTTCAACCTCACGCACAGCGACTGGGCTCGTGGGGTAGGAATTGGGGCATATCATATGCATGTAGATACATCACTCATAGTACGTCTCAAACTACTTCAAAGAGAAATGTGATTGGTCTCAAACGAATGAGCCATGCTTCGCCTCCATTGAACGCTATACTATACACGTACATCAAACGCCCGCATATGTTGACACTGAACAAACTCGATACCACCCGTGCCTCAAGATATTTAGCCTGGAGGGAGCAGGCTGTTATCAACAACGTCCTGTGCCTCCATCTCCTCGACCTCAGCACTGTTGTGGAGCGGGGAACGCGGTAGGGCCATGAGTCCTGTACTCGATTAGCGATTTGGCTATACCGGGATATCCGATCCTGCTTACCGGTCCTTGCAGATTCCAAGATTCCGAAAGGAGCAATCAACTTCATGAAGGAATCAATCCTGGTGGGCTTTGCCGATACCTCTACGATGCAGTTGTTTGTGCTGATATCGAGCACCTTTCCACCGAACTGATGAGTCATGAAGGTGATGGCGCGCAGATGCTCGTGCTTGTGTCGGAGCGCCTGGCTCACCGGCAGGTTTGTCGGGTGGTAATCTTTCCTCAGAGACTCGCGAGCAGCCTCCTGCGCCATTGCGTTGCGCTCCTCATCTGTCATGTCTGGTTCATATGACTCCTCCATGTCAGGCGCCTGGGCCATCTCTCGGTGGTGCGCAAGCAGCTCTTCGAAGTACTCAGGGCCGAGAATAGAGACCTTTGCAAGGAGAAGTTCGCGCTGAACGAGGGGCGATTGGGTGTAGTCCAGCACAGCCCACACTGGGACCAGGTCCTCGAGCTGGCGGCGGGCTTGCTCCACAACACCATCTTGTCCTTGCAGCACAATTGTCATGCGGGAGAGGTCATCCACCTCGGTGTTGCAGACAACCAGACTGTCGATGTTGAAGCCACGGGCGGCCAAGATACCGGAGACACGGGAGAGCACACCGGGCTCGTTTTGTACCAGACAGTTGAGGATGTGACTCTTTGGGGGAGCTTGGGAGGGGAGCGGGGTTTCGTAGAGGATGTTGCTGACGGCAGCCGGCGCTGACCAGGCAGGAGGGCGGTCCTCGGTGGGAAGAGGTGCGATGCGACGGTGAAGGGCCTTGTAGGCCAAGGCCTGGGTGGACGAGGAGCTGGATGCTCTTTGTTGCTGGCGGAGGGAGCCGGCGCATTGTCTGTTGAGCAGACTGCGCAGAGGCAGCATTGCCCGCCGAGAAGCCATGACGAACAGGTGGTCACGGGTGAAGGCGGTTGAGGCTGCTTGGTGTCAATGTCCAAGTTGGAGGGCAGCCCCAGAAAGTGAAATAGAATCCCCGGCCGATTGTCGGAGTAGGTGCGAACAGGCAGGGCCAGCCGCGGCACGCTAATAAGCGAGTCGCTCCTGCCAGAGCCTAAGATTCATCTCCAACACCAACAACTGCGAGCCTCAACCGCAACCAAGACGTCGACCATCACTACGAGCAACTGCACCATGTCTGACGAACGCCGTCCCCGATCGCGCTTCGACAGCGACGATGGCGAGCGCCCTGCACGCTCGCGCTTCGATACAGACCGTCGCTCTAGGTCGCCGTCGCGAAGGGAGTCCGAGTCGCATCGCGCCCGTAGCCCTGTCGCCCGTGAAGGCACAGACAGCCCTGCATCGTCCAACTTCAAGAACGACGCTGCTGCGAGGGCGGCGGCTGCGGCTGCCAGGATCAACGCGCAGATTCAGGCGAAGAAGGGCATCCAGCATGTCGACGTGCCACCTATTCGCTCTGTATGTCCACTCTACCCATCCATATGCGGCCGTCGCTGACAGACTCCAGGCCGCTACTCCTCCAGTCGCCAAGTCGCCTGCCTCCAACTCCGCAGCGGCCATAAACAACGAGACGTACCAGCAGGATGGTGACTACATCAAAGACATTGAGATCAATGATCTCCGTAACCGCTATACACTGACCAAAGGAGCTACACAAAAGAGGGTAAATAACTGTTTTTGCTGTCCACTGATCGTCTAGGATCATGCCTTCTTCATGCTCTGCAGCGCTACGCCTCTGGTGACCGTGTTGCGGGGCTGAAGTTGGTCCCTGTTTGCGCATCTCTCTATGAGAGTCAGAGCTTACTTGATCTTCTAGCGCCCCACCCATCTATCAAATGCTAACCTCCATGTGCCATCTAGATCAAAGACGAGACTGGCGCCGGTACGCATATCCCGATTACAATCATTAACCCTTTAGAATACCTGCTTATACATGCAAGATGTAACCACTCGCGGAGAATACTACCCTGACAAGAACATGGCAACTGCTACTGTACGTGAGCAAGTCACACATTCATGGGCTATGCTAATCTCGCAACAGAACCCGCCGCTGTACCTCCGTATTACTAGCACCTCCAAAGAAGGCCTGGACAAGGCTGTAGAAATGATCGAGGAGATGATGAAAGAAGACCTTCCTAACCTGGTAGACGAACGTCGCTTCCGTCGTAGGGAGCCCGAGAACTTTGAGCGCGATGAGTTTGGTCGAGTACGATATCCTTGTCAACTCAGCAAACATGTTGCTAACTGTTTCTAGCGCAAGTGGCCCGAAGAGAAGATCTCTGTAGGTCTCGAGCCCATTAGCGGCTTTAACTTGCGCGCACAGGTTGTCGGTCGCGGTGGCGATAACGTCAAATTCATCCAGCAGGAGACAAGCTGCAAGGTCCAGATCAAGGGTCGCGGTTCTGGTTTCATGGAACCAAACAGCGGCCAGGAGAGCGACGAGCCCATGTATCTCCACATCGCGTTCGTACACTGGTGCCAATTCCCTTGTTCGCACTGCTGACAGATTTTAGTGGACCTCGTCCTGAAGGTGTAGCTCAAGCGAAGCAGCTTTGTGAAGAGCTCCTCGAGAAGGTAAAATCGGATTACCACGCGTACAAGGAGCGCCCACCACCCAACCGTTACGGCGACCGAGATGGCTATGGTGGCGGACGACCCGGATACGGTGACCGTGGTGACCGCGATCGCAGCCAGAGCTACGGATATGGTGGAGGAAGCGGCGGGGGCGGTGGCTACGGCGGTGGTGGCTACGGCAGTCAGGGAGGTCACAACGGTTACGGCGCACAAGAGACTATCATGTCCCCTGCTGCTGCTACACCGACCGCTGATACCAACCAACAAGCCTTTGACGCGAATGCTGCACAAGCATGGATTGCTTACTACCAGCAAAACCCAGAGGCTGACCCTTATGCTGCGTATGGTGGGTATGCGGCGTATCTCGCACTTCAGCAACAGCAGTACGCTGCGTACTACGGCCAGACTGGTGCTCAGACTGGTTATGGACAGACACAGTCTCCAGCTCCCGGTGCTGGCGCGGCTGCACCACCTCCGCCACCACCTTCAGAACCTGCTTCTGGCTATGGCTCTGCTCCGCCGCCGCCTCCACCAGCTGCATCGCCCTCCAACTACGGAGCGGTCCCCCCACCTCCTGGCTTGTAAGTGTGGAGCAACGACTATGATCTCGCGCTTACGACAGCCTTTCAACTTGACTTGATTGATTCAACCTAGTTCGATTTGCCTTTGCGTATTGACTCACAGTGTGGTGGATTTGGTTGCAAGAGTTCCTCTATCGCTTCGGCGCGTTTAGTTTCGTCATTGTTTGATACGCGCACGGAGCACCGTCTTGGGCACGGTAATAGTCTGCCGATTTGGAGTTGGCACTTTATGCAGGATACCGATGCCATTGCTTTAGTATACAGCTTTAAAATGGTTCAGCTTCGTATCATACCATGTACTTTTGGTGATGACTTTGACGTGTGGCTTGATTGGTCGAAGTAGCAGGGGTCGGTCGTTGGTTCCCCATGCCCGGCTCGCGTGCGTTGACCTAGTCTTGGTGTCCATGCCTCGGAGCGAAGTCGCTCGGAATCGTCGCTCGGAGCATTTGAAAATGATGATTCGTACACGCCACAGACAAACTACAGGATGCGGTCGAATATACTTCGCGCCGGCCAAGCAGCCAACTGCAGAGTGAGTGTTCTTGTGTGCAATTGGCAATTCAAGCAGCCTTGAAACTCGATGCGACTTTTGTAGTCATCGCCGTCGCATTTCTTCACTGGACGTACAAGTGGCACAGAACGCTGACAGAACTCCAAAGCCTCACCTACTCTCCTCTCTGCGCCAATCGTCCTTCCAAGCGCGAAGATGTCTAGCCACGAGCCACGACCCGCCCACTGCCCGTAATGTCGACCTCGCCTCCCGCACCCCACCCTACGCCAAGTTGCTCTCTCGCCTTGAAGAAGTACGGCGCGTACTGGGATCTTCACGACAATTGACTTTGGCCGAGAAGATTCTCTACTCGCATCTTGAGAGTCCGGAGGAGTCGCTTATGAACAACACAAATGGTGGAAGGAACATCAGAGGTCAGGCAAACTTGAAATTGAAGCCGGACCGCGTTGCTATGCAGGATGCCAGTGCCCAGATGGCTTTGTTGCAGTTCATGAGCTGCGGGCTGCCGAGCACGGCGGTCCCTGCTAGTATACATTGTGAGTAGCCCTTGCGAATGAAACATCGTCTAGGCACATACTGACCAAATATATAAGGCGACCACATGATAGTAGTCAGTAGCACCCTCGAGGCCGTACAAGATATACCATGAGCACCTCGCTGATCAGACTTCACAGGGAGAAAAAGGTGCTGACACCGACCTTCCACAATCGATTGCGGGTAACAAGGAGGTCTTCGATTTCCTCGAGTCGGCAGCGAAGAAATACGGAATTGAATTCTGGCCACCAGGCGCTGGTATCATCCATCAGTCTGTGCTGGAGAACTACAGTGCCCCTGGCTTGATGATCTTGGGCACAGACAGCCACTCCCCGAATGCTGGAGGTTTGGGATCAATCACAATCGGTGTCGGTGGTGCGGACGCAGTGGACGCCCTAGTGGATGCGCCATGGGAGCTCAAGGCACCTAAAATTCTGGGTGTGAAGCTCACTGGAGAACTCAGCGGATGGGCTTCCCCGAAGGACGTAATCTTGAAGTTAGCTGGCGAGCTGACCGTCCGGGTATGTGGTTTTGAGTAAAGCGAGATATTCCAGGCTAATGTATGCTTAGGGTGGCACTGGTTTCATCATTGAGTACTTCGGACCTGGTGTGCAGTCTTTGAGCTGCACTGGTATGGCGACTATTTGGTAAGGCTCGTATATAAGCTCCACGCGCATCATAAGTTCTAACACATTATAGCAACATGGGTGCCGAAGTCGGCGCAACTACCTCGCTCTTCCCCTTCTCTCCTGCACACATCCCCTATCTCCAAGCCACACATCGAGGACCGATCGCTGAGGCTGCTCAAAAGATTGCCAATTCACCAATGCAGCAGAACCTCCTCCGTCCCGATGCGGAAGCCGCTTACGACAAGGTTATTGAGATTAACCTCTCAGAACTTGAACCACACATCAACGGACCATTTACTCCTGATCTATCAACACCTCTTTCGAAGTTCAAGTCAGTAGTGGAAGAGAAGGGGTGGCCACAAACCTTCGGCGCTGGTCTCATTGGTAGCTGCACGAACAGCTCTTACCAGGACATGACCCGATCAGAAGAGATCGTGAAGCAGGCATTGGCAGCTGGCCTTAAGCCCAAGGCGGATTTCTTCATTACCCCTGGCAGCGAACAAATCCGTGCAACGTTGGAACGGGATGAAACCCTCCAGACGTTCACTGAAGCTGGAGGTACTGTGCTGGCGAACGCTTGCGGGTAAGTTTGTCAATATACCTCGATGGACTTCCAGTGCTAACAACCTTAACGTCCTTGCATTGGACAATGGAAGCGTACCGACGACGTAAAGAACGGCGAATCCAACGCTATCTTGACCTCATACAACCGCAACTTCCCCGGTCGTAATGACGGCAACCGAGCAACAATGAACTTTCTGGCTTCTCCTGAGCTCATCACCGCTATGTCGTACTCTGGCTCCACGACCTTCAACCCAATGACTGATTCTATACCGACGCCAGACGGCAAGCCTTTCAAGTTCACGCCACCAAAGGGCTCTGACCTCCCCTCTGCCGGTTTTGCAGACGGTAATCCTGACTTCATGCCTACACCGGGTGTCCCAGACCCTAGCGTAGATGTTATTGTCTCACCCACCTCTACCCGCCTGGCGCTCCTGGATCCGTTCCCAGCATTCCCTGACTCCGACTTCACAGGCCTAAAGGTACTGTACAAGGTCAAGGGACAATGCACAACAGACACCATTTCGGCTGCTGGACCATGGCTCAAGTACAAGGGCCATCTGCCCAACATCTCTGAGAACACACTTATCGGCGCTGTCAACGCGCAGACAGATGAAGTCAACGTCGCCTACGACTTAGATGGCAAAACATCAGGGATCCCAGAACTAGCAAAGAGGTGGCGCGATCAGGGCATCGAATGGCTCGTCGTAGCAGAGCACAACTACGGTGAAGGCTCTGCACGTGAACATGCTGCCTTGCAACCCCGGTACCTTGGTGGTCGTGTCATCCTCGCCAAATCCTTCGCCCGTATCCACGAGACCAACCTCAAGAAGCAGGGTATCGTCCCTCTGACTTTCGCCAACGAAGCCGACTACGATGCGTTCGAAGCTTGCGACGAAGTCGCCACAAGGGGATTGTTGGACGTACTGAAGAGCGGTGGTAAGGGCGAGGTTGAGCTTGTCCTCAAGAAGAAGGATGGTAGCGAGAAGGTTGTCAAGACCAAGCACACTCTGTCGCAAGATCAGTGTGGCTTTGTGCTTGCTGGTAGCGCACTGAACCTTCTGGCCAGAAAGGGTAGGGAGATGAAGGAGGAAGTCACTCGGAGTGCCGAGCTAACTGACTGAGTCGTGTGCAATAAGTTTGGATGTGTAAAAGTGAGCATGTAAATGGCGCTATTGGTGTCACGGCGCATAGACAATCCTAGCAACAACAACCTTTATTTCAAGTCAGATGTACTATCCTTGATGAATGACTTGCGAAGTGTGATAGATGACGGGCTCCTGCGAAGCTTTAATGTTCTTATATGCCTCCCCACCAAGCAAAAACTCATGTCTAGCAAACCTCACCAGTCCACTCACTCCATCGCTTCTTACACAAGAAGCATGCAACCAACAACACATTGAGAGCATGACGCAAAAAAAGGCAAAAAAGCATCTCGGGCGGGGCTCGAACCCGCAGCCTTTGGATTAACCATGGATACAGTTAGTAGAAGTCCAACGCGCTACCATTGCGCCACCGAGACCGTCAAGCGGAAATAGAGACTTCTGGCAAATTTCTCAAAATTGATCGATTATATACCACTCGTGTTGTGCTTAGAAGCACCATGTAGATGGTCATCAAGTTCGGTTGAGTGAAGTTTCCATGCGAAGGCTGCCACGTCACACGCCAAGTGGGGTGTGCAGACATGGTTCTCCTTGTCCGATTCAGGCATGTTGTACCGAAGCAAAACCAACGTGTGTGCGATGTTAGCACGACCAAGCTTACTTCGTCGCTACTCATGGTTCTAACATCGGTATAATTCCTTGAGCTTCAAGGTAATCATTACGCATATCCTTTTATACGCTTCTAGCACCACGATACAGTATGTCCTAGTGCTCGGCGAATCATCAGCTGAGCTCGCACGCATTATAGGTATTCTAGTCTGCTTAGTCTAGTCGCCATGAGCTCGCGGTTGATGGGAAGGTCAAGCAACTGGTATCAAGACTCCCCAATCTTCTGAACCATCTCTAACAAGACCTCATCCGTCAGTTCTAACCTAGTTTCATCGTCACCCTTCTTCCGCTTCCACACCTCCTGAAGCTGTAGGCGGTTTGACTCCCAACTAACCCATGCAGCAGCTTGTAAGAAACAGTCTGTGATATCATCCAGCTTCTTGAGTTGACCTTGTGTGGGAAGTGTATCTGTTGAGACTCTTTTAGCTTTCTTAGGCTTTCTTGACTCTAGTGGTCCGCACAGCGCTTCACGGGTAGCTTCGGCGCCTGGCGTTATGCTGAACATTATGCTTGGTATCGAATCGCGTGTTACAGATGCTGTGGAAGCAGGTGTTGAAGTGAGCCATGAGCGAAGGAGAGCGATCTTGGCTTGTTTCTCTGCCTTGGTTCGACTGGGCTTCTTTTTTGCAACTGACTTGTCTCCTTCCTCTCCGCTTCCCGCTTCTAGACCATCCCTGGATCTATCGGTCTTCTCGTCCATTTCCGGAGAGTTCCTAGTCGCCCGAGTGAGCCAGTATTGTCCCACACGTTTCGGATCTGCACTGAAGACCTCGTACACATTTCCTGTACCCAATGCTTCAGCTCCCCCATTCAGCCGCTCTGCATTCATAGTTTGCAGTACCGCCCACAACATGCCTTCTAAGGTGTTGACGCGGAGAGTCCACTGTTGCACTGCACTGCTACCGCCAGATCTCCACCTCTGCTTTTCTATCAAGATGATATCTGGTGACCCTGTCAGAATGGTGTTCCTGAGCAATCCATACGCTGTCTTGGACAAAGCATCCACAGAGTATGGGTCTGACTCTTCATCAGCACTCGCCGTATCTTGCTCTGTAGTTGTAACTTCTGATCGTTCGTGAATGTCATCATGTGTGGCTTTAGTAAGATTGATCTTCTCCCATCTAAGAATCTCCATTCCCGCATCTAGGCTATTCGTGAACGGATAGGAAACTTCTGCCTCACAGAACGCCAGATTCTTGATTCCCATATCGATGCTCATGATGCGGAATTTCTTGCTTGCGGACTCTAATGTTCTCCATGGTGATTGGCTGTCAGGAAGTCGAGGCTTTCCGATAACGCGTTGGAAACGCTCTTGGAGTACTGCCTTTGTTCCTGATGATGGTGCGCCGATATGTACGAGTAGTGATTGCAGCGCTTTCGCCGTTATAGCGCGGGATTTTGGTGCCATTGGCACTGACAGCCTTTTGTCGGCGTTCCAGGGATTGAGCAATTCAGATGGTCCCCAGAAAGGTATTCCATTGACTTAGGCGTACGGAGACAGAGAAAAGCGTACTAGGCATCGTAAACCGTGATGCGTTGATAGAAATATGCAAGATGAGCAGCGAAGACCGAACAAATGTAGTCATAGTATCATATCCTGGACTTCATCGTGTGAGGATGTGTTGGCGGAGAAAGTTCGTAGGTGGAAAGATGGGAAAAAAGTCGCAGTAGACATGTCTTGATTTAGCGTGGAGCGTATCCACGTGACGCGGTCACTGAAACTACAAACTTCAAGTTCAAATACAAGTTTGTTGTGTCAAGAGAAATGTGTCTTATTCTTCCGGGGATATCATATCGTTATCATATTCCTAACACTCATGCGCTCAATGCAGCATAAGCCTCCATCTTCCTAAAGCTAGTACCAAACTCGGTCCCCATACACTACGAAATGACCCATCTCTTTTCCTCGGCTACCCTTCGCAGATGAGATCAAAGTCTGGGAAGTCTGGATCAGGCCCGATATTTGTACTCGCAACTGCACTATTAAAGTCCTTGACTTGCGCGTTCTTCTGCGCATCGTTGCACTTATCTATCAAGAATGTTAGCTATGCTTGCGCTCTTCACAGTCGACTTCCTCCCAAGTCTTAGAAACGGAAGAAAAAGCTTGACTCACTTTTCTGCTCGTCACAGTCGTTCACGCTCAGACCGCTGCCATCCTGCCTCTTCTTCCCCTTCTTCCCCTTGTCGCCACCTCCTCCACTCTTGTTTGCAGTATCACTACACCCTTTAAATTGATTATCGCAACTTCTCTGTGCCGCAGTATCGAAACTGGTAAACGTATCCCCGTCGACTTGGAACGGACGTTCTTTGTCTCCAGAATTTGTGATGGCGGATGCACGCGTCCCACCAAGGTTGCCGTCGAAGGTCTGCAAGTTGGACAGTTGACGAAGGAAGAGTTGATGGCGGGGTACCAAGGACATTTCCCAGTCTGAGGAGATGAGAGCGGGTTGTGGAGATGCGTGGGAAAGGGCGGGGAGTGCGAGGTGGATCAGAGCAAGGAGAGCTGTGGGGAGAAACATGATTGCGTACTAATCGTTCCCGGTTGAGAAGTATGCTTGAGGATGATGTGCCGGGCGTGGTTCCTGTCCGTCGAGAAGACTGCCGGACGTGAATCTCGCCGTTAATGAATCCTGCCTAGACGGAACGATTGCGGTGCTCAATGATATAGCCGGGCGTAAAAGTTATCGGTAATGATTCTTGCCGGTACTCGAAAATGTCGGTGTTTAAAGATGTTGCTGTGCGTGAGAGAGGACGGTACTGATTATCGCTAGGCGTGAAAAATGTCGTACGTAAATCCTCCTTAATTCCAGAATCGGTAAATATCCTATTAGAGTATATCGGCACTGCCTGTATATACAAAGAACTAATCGCAGCCAAATGAGTGTGAATATCGAACAGTGTTCACGGAGAAACCCAGAGTAAAAGACCAAATCCCAGCCTCAAAACACCCACTGGGGTCAACTGCATCTAAGTAACGCCAAACCCCTCCATCTCCGAAGCGCCGAACATGCATTTCTCATGCCAAACGAGTTTGGGGCCCAGCGGTCACAAAGCTTGTTTAGGAAGCATCGTGGTGGTTGCTGCGACAGTGCTGAAACACGACCATGGCCAAACCCCTGGACACGCATGACATGCGCACACGTAGACATTCGAAGGGAAGAACAACACCCTGTATGAGAATAAAGGAGCGCATGAGAGTAATGATGTAATAGATGAATGATTTTGACAATCTGATCGAATTCGCTATGGGGGGTATGACTATGCTAAAACAACAAAAGAAGGCAAGAAAGACATGCCACGCTCGATTACAACAAGTTAAACAGGTGAACGAAGCAAGTGCGACGACACTGACAGGACGAAAAAAATAATGCTTGGACGAAAGTGGCCAGCTATCTCTTCCTGAATTGATGGTATACGTCTAATTTACATGTGTGCAATCTTGTACAGACTGACCACGATGCGACGGTATACACTAATCTGCATCGCGAATCAGCACCTGTGATGTACCATACTCACGCAAACCATATTCAGTAATAAAAGCACCACCTCCAGATCCGACTGTTAAAGCCGTGTTTGCGCCGTATGTACAAGCTCCATATTGCTCTCGTCTCTCAAAATCGTTTCCAGTTCAGACAAATTCCGCAGATAGTCGTTGGTATCATAACGGACCCTCGCAACAGGCCTATGTACTTTTTGCGGGCTGCGCTTCGCCTAGAAGTTAGCAGCCGCATTGGGGCGTCCTCCAGGGTTGTGGTATTGCTCGAGGTTCGACTGGAAGGGCGACGATCCAGTGCCGTTCTGTGGCTTGTCACCAAGGGCTGAGCCAGTGCCGGCCATGAGGTCATCGTCGTCTTCGTGGACACGCGCTTGACGCTTCTTCATGCGCCAGAAGACGAGAGCAATACCACCGAGGAGGAGGGCACCGCCTACACCACCGACAACGCCTCCAATGACCTTCTTGTTGGAATCGCTGATGCCACCGCCATTGTCGCTGTCGCCTGCCTGTGCAGTAGGTGGGTCTGTGACAACGGCTTGCCCAGTGGTGGCAAGGGAAGTGCTGGTGCCTGTCGAGGTTGCGGTGGTTACTTGGCCATTCTCGAGAGTCGAGGTGACGGTCCTGGTGTACTCTGAAAGGGAAGTTGAAACGAGAGGTGTAGTCCTGACAACCGCTGTTGTCCTTAAGGAAGAGCTGGCCTCCCGGGTAGGGGTTGCTGAGTTACCAGCGCTCCCGCCACCACCGGTAGCACTTGTGCCTTCTGCAGACGTTCGGGTGTTGTCGTTGTTATTGTTGCTATTGTTGTTGTTATTGTTGTTACCGCCATCGGTAGTTGGTGTTGCTGCAGGAGTCGAAGCCGGAGGAGCGTCAGATGTGGGGTCATCGGAAGGTGCTGGATTGTTCGTGGTTGAAGGTTCTGGCTGAGGAGTCGCTGACGTCGCTGGTGGCGCGGCTGACGATGTGGCAGGAGGGGCGGCGGATGAAGCTGGCGGTGCAGCTGATGACGTTGCGGCAGCGGCAGATGCTGAAGAGGCGCCGGTGCCTTCGGCGTCTTGCCTCTTGCCCTGGTGGATGTACTGATTGATGCCGTCCATGTGAAGATCCTCCAGCGTAAAGGCCGACGATGCGACAGTGAGGACAAAAACCGACAGCCAGGCCTTGGGCAACATGTTGTGCGGGTTGTTGAAGGAAACAGGCAGAGAGTGGTAACTGGTTTTTACTCTGGAGCTGACGCGCGTTTCACGAACAGGCGATTAGTTGTATTAAGGGGGGGCGATACGGGTGAAAGGCGCGTAGGCTCCTGTAGTTATGTGTATGTATATATCAAGCGAATAAACGAGGGCACGAATGTGAAGTGACAATAGAAGACTGAGCGAGTGTCGAACCGGAAGCCGGTGGATGTGCTTGCTAAGGTGACGAGGAGAAAGTGGAGCGACGAGTGATCACGTCTACACCCAAATTTAGGTCCGGAGAGCGCACTAAGCCGGACCCGACGCCCTGCAGCGCACTCAGCCGCCCACAAGGGTTCTAGAGCTTTGACAGACGGACCCTCTAAAACGGCCAGCAACAGACGAGTCATTTCCCCTTCGAAGACTTTGCATAATCAATCATGTTGACGGTGAGTAGTCTGAGCATGCAGTGGCTCCATGGCTTTGGCGCGTGAATAGCAGTGTTGCGTGTCCTTGTATAAGCCACCGCCTTCAGTCTTGTGCCACGCTTCACAAGAGTTCAACACCCTACAGTGCAAGCCAAGCGCATTCCGTAAACATGTCGACAACCAATTGTTCGAGTGCAAACATTCTTCATAGAAAGCCTCGCGGGCGCGCCTCGGGTTTTAAAACAAACCATGGCAGTGCGCATCGCAAAGTCTAGGCAGTCCAGGAAAACCCCGAATGAAAAATGTGCATCCTCAACAGAAACGCCAGCAATTTGCCATAGGCATACATGACCCCGAATCCCGTACTACAGCACTACTAGCCCACTGCTGCTTTTTGACCCTTCCCTCGTCTTCAGCCTGGTCGCATGGTGCCTTACAAAATCACCAAATACCATTCGTCAACAATCTTTCCAATCTGCTACTTCGGTTCCCGTCTCCACTCCCTAAGAGGCTACCTCGGCTGGACTGGTCTGCTTCCGGCATTCCCTCCGTCTGGACCTGCGTCATATCGTCAAGCCTTGCTGCACGATTTCCTGCACGCCCTTGTAACAGAAGAAAACTATTATTGCGTCTATTTGTATAGGTCGCACGACGCGCTGTGTGGGCAAATACCGTAACGCACCATGCTCGCTGCAGTCATGTCTCATCACAGTCTGCCGCTGACTACTCACGAGGCGCTGTCGGGTGTCTTCGGCTCAATCTCGTTAGCTTCATGGATCTTCCTGTTGGTGAGTAACAATTGATACAACCTCGTTGTCCTCATCTCCCTAAACATGGGTGGCTTTCGCCATGTATCTCTGATACTGCCTGTGCTATTCATGGAACCGCAACTAGATCTTCGGGCACGCGACACCATACATCACCGTACTCTAATCTAACCACCAACTGCAGGTCCCACAACTAATTGAAAACTACAAATCTGGCTCTGCAGATGGCATCTCCCTCGCCTTCCTCGCCGTCTGGTTCATTGGCGACGTGACGAACCTCGCGGGGGCTCTCTGGGCCGGTCTCGTCCCTACCGTCATCGCCCTCGCCGTCTACTTCTGCTTCGCAGACCTCGTCCTCATCTCGCAATGCGTTTACTACAACATGAAAAACTCGCGCCGTGGCGATCGCAAGACTTCCACGCAGTCTACCAATAGCATCGAGGCGCCTTTGCTCGGTCGCCGCGACAGCAGCAACATTGGCTTGCCTGGCAGTCACAGGCGCGATTCTGCTGCGAGCCGCAGGCGCCGCGCAAGCTCTCTCCCTACAATCCCCGATGTCGGTGACGGTGCCAGTGAGTGGGTAAAGAACGCGTTGAGCATCGTGGGAGTCTGTGTTGTCGGCGCAGCGGGATGGGCTATCGCGTGGAAGACTGGTGTTTGGGTCCCGCAACCCCAGCACAACACCGAGGATGCCTCGGACAACCCGGTCGGCGCAATGATCTTGGGATACGCGAGCGCAGTGGCTTATCTTGGGGCGCGCATCCCTCAAATCATCAAGAACCAGCGGGAGAGGTCTTGCGAAGGCTTGTCGCTGCTCTTCTTCATGTTGAGTTTGCTGGGCAATGCTACCTATGGCGCAGGAGTAAGTCCACCCACGTTGTTACTCATAGCTAGAAATACCAGACTAACATCACACAGATTATCTTCCATTCGCAGGAAAAGGACTACATACTCACCAACCTCCCTTGGCTCATCGGCTCTCTCGGTACAATGGTCGAAGATGTGACTATCTTCGTCCAATTCCGCGTTTTCGGTAACGGCGAGGCATCTTCTGCCCTTGAGGCTTGATGCGTTCTGCTGCGTCTATAAACGATCATTCGTGTCTTACGGTTGGCGTTGTTGCATCTACCGCTGGATGACGGTATGATCTACTAAAAAGTTTGTGTGTGTACGTACTTGCATCATCAGTCTTGGATACCCAGTACAAAAAAAAGAGACCTGTGTTTGAGCGCCATTGGCGAGGTAATGTTGTATCATGAAGCTAGATTTTGTTCACCAATCTAAAGGATTAATTACATCCCATAGTTAGTCGTCACGACGTTGCGCATCATAAAGTTCATGCAGAATGATACATTGATGTGCTGAAGACAGAACCTTGACAGACTCCCCATGGGGTATATCTCACCCCTAAGCAGTCTATAAGCGCCAGAAGAGACATGAAATAAGATCCATAGCTTCTACCATATAAGCCCCGTTCCATAATGCCGAAAGAACTGTCTACTTAGCATGGCTGTACTTTTGCTCGTGAACACCGATGGCACTGTGATATGTTAGTCTTGCATCTAGCACAACATGAAGAGGGAAACTCACCGTCCAGAAGGATCCGTCTGGTTGCTCCAGGTAGGTGTCCATCGCATAACAGTATCGGCACAGTAGCTGGGGAAGTGCTCGTCAAACATGCATCTGTACCAGTATGCCTCCTTAGTATCGGGGATGTCGTTACCCCACTCCTTCTTTGGGTTCTTCATCATCTCGTCGGTGACGTGTAGCTCGGCGTTGTCCTTGAGCGCATCGATCCATCCGTAGCCTACACCGTCAGAGAACTGCTCCTTTTGTCTCCAGAGGATCTTCTCGGGAAGGTAAGGCTGCGTCTCTGGCTCGTCGGTTGTGTCGAAAGCTTTGCGTAGGATGTACTTTTCAATACGGCCGGCTTCGCGATCGATAATCTTGTCCTGAGGATCGATGTTCATTGCTGTGTTAAGGAAGTCCTTGTCGAGGAAGGGCACACGCGCCTCAACACCCCAAGCAGATGTTGACTTGTTGGCGCGAAGACAGTCTGCGAGATGAAGGTTCTTGACACGGCGGATACATTCTTGGTGGAAAGCAGCCTTGTCAGGCGCGTTGTGGAAGTAGAGGTATCCACCAAAGATTTCGTCACTGCCTTCTCCTGAAAGAACCATCTTGACTCCCATAGCCTTGATCTTTCTGCTGAGAAGGAACATGGGTGTTGAGGCGCGGATAGTTGTTACATCGAAAGTCTCAAGGTGGAAGATGACATCTGTAAGTGCGTTGAGTCCGTCTTCGATAGTGAAGGTGAATGTGTGGTGCTTGGTTCCGAGGAAGTTGGCCACTTCCTGCGCAGCGATACCATCGGGAGAGTTGGGCAAGCCGATAGAGAAGGAGTTGAGCTGTCCTAGGAGCAGATCTGTCTGAAGCTCGTTGGAGTCATCGATACCGACAAGTTGGTTCTGCTGTTCGCTGGCGTTGCCAGTCGATGCAGCAGCCTTCTTTCTTGTCGCCTCGTTCAACCGCAGAGTTTCCCGCTGAGCGATCGAAGCCACCAAACTTGAGTCAAGACCACCAGAGAGAAGTACACCAAAGGGAACCTCCGCCATCATGCGTTTCCGCACCGATCGCTCCAATGATTGCCTCAGCTCCTTGTAGTCTACAGGTTTTGTAGGAATGTTCTCGGGCTCGACGAGCCACTTGGGGTCGTAGTATCGTGTGAGCGAGTCTGTCTTCGAGTCGTAGACATGACCGGGAGGGAAGGAGATGATGTTGTCGCAGACGGGATGTAAGCACTTCAGCTCAGAAGCGAAGAACACGGCGCCTGGTGTAGTGCTCGATCGACCCATGTAGAAGGTAGTGATGCCAATGGGGTCGCGTGCTGCGATCACACGATCTTGAGCCTTGTCGTGAAGGACCCATGAGAACATGCCGTCGAGTTTTCGGGGAGCGTCGATGTCATGTTCAAGATACTGCCGCCAGTCAGCCTCTCTCCGCCGTAAAACATGTTCCAGGTCTTACCAGAGGAATGATAACCTCGCAATCTGAGTGTGTCTTGAAGTTGTATGGGTTCTTGAGGGACTTGCGGAGAATTCGGTGGTTGTAGATCTCGCCGTTGACAGCCAGAGAGACGGTTCCCTCATCGTTGACGAGCGGCTGAGCGCCAGAGTCTAATCCGCGTAAGCTTCCGTCAAAAGCAACGATTTCTGTGTGACTCCTTACCGACGCCGACAATGCTCAAGCGCTCGTGTACCAGAACTATTCGTATTTAGTACTGTATATGCCTAGAGGCTCTTACAGTCACTCACTGGTGTCGTTCGCAACCCAGTTACCAGCTGCAAAGTGTCAGTCATCATGTACTTGATCGCACAGAGAGTCATCATGATGCTTACACCAATCTGGACCTCGGTGGCTTGTCGATCAGTCAGCATAGAAGTCCTTGTGGTGAATTTGGCTAACTGAAGGTTTAGGCGGATTTACACACCGGACACTGCGCGCAGTTAGTCAATTGGAAACTCTCACGGCTTATGGGGGGTAGACTTACGCCTTGCCCATTTTCAGGGCAGTCGGCTTGAACTTTTGCACATCGGGGTGCCTGTGGGGAAGTTAGTCATGTATCAACATAGTCGCAAACACCTGGTGTTGAAGCAATGCAACGTCTGGAGGGGCAATTGCGGGCGCAGGACGGGTGTAGCATACCTGTAGCAGGCGAAGATACCACACATCTTTACTGCTGGATTGATTTGGAAGGGGAGGGAAGGCAATGTCAGAGCGAAGAGGGGAGATCAGGGACAGCCTTTATCGTGGCTAGAAATTGTTATAGAGTCATATCGCCCGCCCGAAGTCGCCGCAGGCCAGCTTGTGCCCCACATTTTCACTGCCAACCCCGAGCGCGTTCAGACCGCGGGATTGGCAGTATCCACTATCTTGTACTTGTAAGGATATGACGTTGGGAACCGTGGGCAGTCCGTGACTCCACAAGTTTGTTCGCACTCGTTTTGTGCATGCTCAAACGCAACCCCACAACTGCCATGGAGGAGTCGCATCTTCCTATTGGCCAGTGCACTTGCGAACATCGCCGTAACGAGAGAGTCACCACGCGACACGGTCAGGGTGCAAGGTGAAATATACGTAGACATTATCTGTGTGTTTAACAATTTCAAGACTTTGCAGCTCCGAATTATGTAGCTGTTGATACATGGATACTTTCCACACCAATGTGTTCATGCCTCCCAAGCAGCTGCTACTCCGTGTGCGTAACCAACGACAGACCCTTGTCCAAGCAAGAAATACCCAAATGGGAAAGAAATGCACCTATCCATCCTTTCGTCCAGCGCCATACTACCGCCCTATTTCTTCGTCTTCGCGTGTCGAAAGATGCCGTCTGACTCTCCACTGTCTTTGTGCATTGTAGATCCGGGGTCGCAAACGGCGCACGGTGATTTTACTGGTACTCTCATAGAATGTGTTATGGGAAGGCGCTTAGAAGAGGAAGTAAGCAATCAGGAAGCTGATGAGGCACAGAAGGGCTGTGATCTGGACAGACACACCGCCCGCGGGGGCTTGCTGTGTGCTTAGCGAGGACGATGTTTCTTGCTTCGAGTCCTGCGCGGATCCTGTCTTTCGCTGGCGGAGACCGGTCGCCTCGCTAACTTGCTGTGTCAATCGCGCAATCTGCGCCTTGGCTTCAGCAAGCTGAGCCTCAACATCGCTCGAGGATGGTAGAGCATTAGAGACAGTCCCAGCGGCAGAGCTGAAGCTCGACTGCATGTTGCCGCCCGTTGCTGGATTGTATGCCTCGTTCCTAATCTCTCCCAAGTTCTTGCTGTCTGATGGGCGGTCCTGGGGAACGGAGACAGGCCCCGAAGCGTCTGATACGCCACGCTGGGGAGTCACGGCCTCGGGTGACGGAGAGGAGAGCATCGAATCGCGGCTAATACCGTTGGTTCTTGCGGGAGTTGCGCTGGAGGAGGCATCGTCGGGAGCGAGGAAGAGAACCCTGATCTTTTTCTCTTGAATGGAAGACTTGGCGGTTTGCTCAATATGCGACCACTGCAAGCAGTTGTTAATATGCATCGACCTGTTGCTGTTGGTCCAGAACATACCAGAGATCCAACGTTGGTGAACTCCTTATCTGCGGTGACAAGTACAGATTGCACCAGGAACTTGTCGCGGCACTTCGCATCTGGCGGTGGGTCCTCCTTCATGGCTTGGAGGAGAACTGGGCGCATGCGTTAGTTTGCTGCAGTCTTCGAAGGGATGCGCGCATGGAGGGCATGCATACTCTGAACTTCGACATCCTTGCCAGGCTCGATGCGTCCGCTGTTCGGTCTCACGCAGTATCTAAAGCACCCGTTATTAGCTGTTGTGGGGGAGAGGTGTCGCGGGCGTCGTACTGCTTGGGGGCCGTGGTTTTCACCTTCCATGTGTCAGCTGCTAGTCCAAATTTCACAGTCTAATCCAGCAATTGATAGAGAAGCCTGCTTACCTTGAAGGCAATCGGGTCAGAGTGCGGGTTCTTCAAGCGGAGGGTCTGCGACACCTCGTGCTGGAAGGGTCCTGGCCAGATTAGTATCCTTGTGGCCCCAATGCTGCATGCGAAGCTTACGCTTGAAACCAAGCTCTACGGGGTCGAGCTCGACGGACATGGTGGACGCGCGTAAGCTGTAGGTATGCGGTGGTGATTGTGTCTTCCAAGGTTGGTAATCAGATCCGCGGTACGGGGTAGAGTCGCGATGAACCTCGGGAGTCTTGGAAAGGGGGGCGGGCGCGTGGAGTGAATCTAGAAGCTAAAATCCCGGGGATAGAGTGCGCAAACGGTGAATATCGAGGCGGGTGTGAAACTGGGTGGTTGCAGATGGTAGGGAGGAAGGGCGGATGGGTGAGGACAAGTAGCTATGACGTCCCGCGACGCCTCTTGATTCTGGAATCCCGAGGTGCCTCTAGTGTCCACCTACGCAAACAATCACAGCCTGCAAGCATCGCTCACTGTCTAGAAATCATACAATATCTCATCAAAGAGACAGTGACTGTCTGATCTCCCTTCTACAAGAGTAACATTGTATTGCTAAGACTAGGCGCGTCTGATCTACGGTTCATCTTCTCCAAGGTTCCACCGCTACCGCCGCCGCCTTACATCCACATTCCATATAAAGCGGGAGCCTCCTCCACTACAATCACTTCTCACATCGACTTGCTAATAAACTACAACCTTGTCGAATCAAGCACCCAAACCAAGACACTCCAAAAAGAAAAAGAACCCCCGAAACTTCTCACAACTTCGACCCTCGTCCTACGCCGCATTCAAAATGGCCTCCTCAGATCTAGATACCCTCATCGACATGGGCTTCCCACGCGAACGCGCAGAACTCGCTGTTAAAGCTACTGGTGGCCTCCAGCCTGCCATCGACTGGCTCGAGACCAACCAAGACAAGTCTATCGATGACATCAAGCAAGAGCAAGCTACCGCCGCCGCCAATGCCTCAGAAGAGCCTCCCGCGCTGCAGCCTGGCGAGGAAGCCAAGTCCCTCGTTTGCGATGAGTGCGGCAAGAAGTTCCGCTCAGTAAACCAAGCCCAGTTCCACGGCGAGAAGACCGGTCACGAGCAGTTCTCCGAATCCACCGAAGAGATCGCTCCTCTCACAGAGGAACAGAAGGCGCAACGACTACAAGAGCTGCGCGAGAAGCTGGCGGCCAAGCGCGCGATGCAGTCAGAGCAGGACAAGGAAGACCACAAGAAAAACGAGCAGATCCGCATGAAGGCCACAAAGGAGTCACAGGACATTCGAGAAGAGTTGCAGAAGAAGGAGCGCTTAAAGGAAGCTGCTGCCAAGCGCGCAGAGAAGAAGGCAGACGAGGATGCGAGGAAACGGGTTTTGGCCAAGCTCGAAGCAGATAAGCAAGAGCGAAAACGCAAAGCTGAGATCGAGAAGGCGAAGCGCGCCGGCCAGGCTCCCCCCGCCGCTCCTGTACAAGCTCCCCTGGCTACATCCTCCGGTCCCACTACCAGCAAGCCTGCGAGCGCGTACACTGAGGCACGATTGGCCCTGCAAACACCTGGTGGGAGGGTCATGAAGAACTTCCCTGTAGAGACTACGCTCTTCGAGGTGGCACATGCGCTGGAGCAGGATGGCATCAGCGTCTCGACGTTTACTACCAACTTCCCCAAGAAGACGTACGATCGCAGTGACTTTGGCATGACTCTCAAGGAAGCGGGTATGGTACCTAGCGCGGCTTTGATCATCGGATAGAGTACAGTGACTGTTGTGCTGTCAGACGATGATGGGTATGAGATTTCATGAACTGGCGTTGAGGTATCGGTGGTGAATACCCCAGAAGAGGATACATGGAGTGGCGTTGATGTATGTTTCGGCAACTGAAAGCCAGACTGTAGATGATATAACGACCAATGAACCATGAGATACATAAGTCACAGACGTAGATCAGGTCATGTATCCTAGCGCCTACTCATGCTAATCCGAACACCCACCAGTATCCATCCAGTGCCGTCACGATAGAACACCTCAATCGTACTCGTCGATATCATATCTCCCCGCCTCCCTTTGTGTACTACACCACTCCTCACTTGCCAACCCACCTTCCTTCCGTCTCACCAACGCCTCCGCATCCTTACACCAATCGCATGCAAAGTCACACTCGGGCGTCTCCTCATCGGCAAAGTACGCAGCGATAAGTTTGTGTCGACACTTGTCCGTCGCCTCACAATAGCCAACCAGTGCCTGTAAGCTCTTCGCACGATGCATCATCTGTTGCTGCTGAGCCTGTAATCCCGCCCCTTGTTTGGGCTGTCTCGCAATATCCCTCGACAGCGAATGCGCAGCGCGATCACGATCTTCGCGGCCGTAATACAAAATGCAAATTGATGCTTTGCCGTCTCGTCCTGCACGCCCGGCTTCTTGGTAGAAGCCTTCAAACGACTTGGGGATTTGCCAGTGGACTACAAAGCGCACGTTTTCTTTATCAATACCCATACCAAATGCTGTTGTGGCGACGACGACATCGTAGCCGGCTTTATTGGCTACCCAGCCTGAAAGTGCGTCTGCACGTTCTGAAACGGAGAGACCTGCGTGGTAGGGCTTTGCGCCTATACCGTCTGAGCGGAGACGAGCGGCGAGAGACTCGCAGTCTTTGCGGAATAAAGTGTAGATTATGCCTGGTACATTGTCTGAACGTTGGTTCTGTGAAGCTAGTTGAGAGGCACGCTCAGCGTTCTCGGCACGGCGCGCGTGGATCGATTTAAGCATTTTGATGAAATCATCATAGTGGTCTTCTTCGTCAGATTTGAAGCGGACTTCATAGTGAAGGTTCGGTCTACTGGTGCTCATACGAAACATTTTTAGCTTCTTCGGGTCCAAGGCGAGCGTAGTGATGATATCGTCTCTAACACGCGCTGTTGCCGTTGCTGTCAAACATATGACTGGTACATCGGGAAATTCCGTCTTGAAGAATGACAATTGCTGAAATGAAGGTCGAAAGTCATGCCCCCATTCACTAACGCAATGGGCTTCGTCGACGGCGATACGAGCTAATTCCCCTTGAGCGTGAATAACTCGTAGGATCTTGCGAAAGTTGTCTCCTTGGCAGAACTCAGGTGTTACGTAGAGCAAGCGGGTCATAGGATGGCCACATTGAAGGTCGGATATGATCCTCTTTTTGTCTACGGGTGGTGTAGTGCTGTTGATTGTCTCAACACGGATGTTGGCGTTGCGCAGAGAGGCGACTTGGTTGTTCTGATAGCTAGTCAGACTCTATACTGCGATGGAACAGTGAAGAACATACCATCAGTGCTAGCAGTGGAGATATGACGACAGTAACTAGCAACATTAGCAACACTAAAATCTCTCATCTTGTTTAAACGTACTCCCAAAGTCCACTACCGCTGGCAGCTGATAACACAGGCTCTTTCCGAAGGAGGTTGCTGCCTGAAGGAAGACGTCTTCGCCCTCTAACGTAGCCGTGACAACCTCGCGTTGTAACGGTCCGTAGAATAACTTAGTACGAGCAAGCATTCATTAGGTGAGTGGCATACCGGAAGCTTGCCTTCTTGAACACCTTCTTCAACGTAAAGTCAAGGTTCGAGTACGGTCGTTTCCTCTTGCCAGCCATGACTCGTGACATGAGGTACAAAGTTCAAGACAAGGGGGCAGAAGGGTTAAGGGAGTTGAGTTGGACTTTTCACCGCCCGTGTGGTTGTTGCGGCGGCCTTGTTAGGGAGCGGATCATGTTGATCCAGACGTCTGGCCGATTGAGAATTGTGGGGACCTTCAGAAGGTGTGTATGTGTTGCAGGAGCGACGCGTCGGTGCACGTGGCGGAGAACATATTCAGTCGCGCTAGCACGTGGGCCCCCACTACGAGATCTAACCTTGGAATAGCTGACAATCTTTTACGTCTCTGCCAGCACTAATCCTACCGAGCTCGTGAATATTGAACCATGATGTGAATTGGATGCGGCATCCATGAAACCGGTGTAACGCTGGCAAATCCTGACCTCACGTCTCAACTGGAGTGCTTGTACCGGCGACACCATGAATGATTCACACTCTGCAGCGCATATCCCCTCTGGTTTTGTGATCAAAGATTTCTCTACCCTGCCGCCAAAGACTCGCTCAACAGTCGCAGACAAAGTGGCCAAACTTGAGAGAAAGGTCTTCCCAGCAATCGAGCACTTCAACTACGACGTGGAACTTAAGAAAAAGAACACTGGACTACTCTTGGTCTTCAAAGAAGATGACACCGATAAACTTATTGCATATCTCGTCTATCAACGGATGAAGAGATTAGCGTGGCTGCATAAACTTTGTGTGATCGAGCAAGAAAGAGGAAGAGGTATCGGAAAGGCCTTGATTTACTACCTTCGCCGTCAAATGGGAAAAGGAGGCTGCAACAAGATCTTCTTATGGGTGGACGAAAGTCGCGGGCATGCCAGAGCGTTGTATGAGTTGTGCGGCTTTCAACAGTCTGAATGCCGTCCTGACTACTACGGTCCTGGGCGGACAGCACTCAAGCTTGAACTGGAGCTCGGAGACTGAACGAATACATGGAAACTCGAAACCAGCCCTTGCGATGTCGACTATCGTAATTTGCTAAGAAGATCGTCAGGATGAGAATAGTAATATTCCTACGAGGAGCGGAGAAGGGTCACGATGCGGGACCGTTCTCCAGACAGGATGTGATAGCTTGACTCCAGCCTTCGATCGCTGGCGGACCATCTAAAGTTCGACTCTACTGTGTCATCATCTCGGACAGGTCACCCGCTAGATTTCCTGCCCGAGTCTGACAGGAGACGAGGCGAAAATGCGAACGCACACTGTGGCGTTTTGATGAACAGCCCGGCTCTCGAGAGGAGAAGAATATGTGGTGATCTCAAGGGCCGTAAGAGAAAGTCTCAGAAGAGCAGCATTTGGTTCAGCTGTAGAAGTAGAAGTAGGTGTTAAGATGCACAAGGCAAGGGTTGTCAAATTTGTATTCAAGATCTATGATGGCAAGATTCATTCATTTGCTTCGTTATTCTGTCGTCCATATCTCCAGAAAAAGCTATGTAGCAACGTTGTCTATCCCAGGTTATCGTCCGCCTACTCCGTACGCCGAGTTATGCAAGTTTGGTCCATGTCTTGAGTCCCTACAACTGGATATCGTTGTTAAGCAATCGCACCTCCTCACCCGGTTTGAACGCCGGGAGACCAATGTATGGGCATCCGTCGCACCTGAACGCATCGCCCAGTGCGCAGTTTCCACAACTGCCAACCTTTCCCTGCACTGTGAAGTCCACTTCGGCGAGGTCATCGGCGTCCAACTTTAGGGAGTTGAGCGCTTTATCGGCGGAGGAGCGTTTAGCGGCGTCTTCGGCTTCAATCTTCTCTTTCATACCGCAGGTACAGTCTTTGCAGGCGCGTCGTCGCTTGCCGGGTTTGGGCTGGCATTCGAGTGCTGGAATCATGTTAGCAGAGTGACGCGAGGTAGCAAGGAAGAAGTGACGCACGTTGAATGACTGGACGTGCCAGATCTGCCTCTGTAATGAGGTCGTCCTCGTCGATTAGGTCGTCGTCTTCGCCTGTGATTATTGGGTCGTCAAGATCATCACTGAAATCGACAAAGCCTACACCGACTGGCTTGACGGGCTCAGCCTGAGGCTGGTTGCGCTTGCGGTTGAGGTTGAGCTGGACGGAACCGTCTGGGTTGACTGTATGGTTCGCACCATTTGTGCCGTTTGTGCCGTTTGCCTTCTTGCCAAACTTCAGCGGTATCGACACAGGCTCCTCTTGCTCGGGCTTGGTCATGCCGTCCGCGGTCTCTGTGAGCCCTGCCAGGATAGCCTCGGTCTTTTCTGCGCCTTGGAATGGACCCGCCTGACTTTTGAGTACTCCTCCAACCTTCAATGCGCTGACAACTTTGTTCATGACATCGCGTGCCAATAGTTTGTGGCTTTCGCGCGTGGTACCGTCGGCGTCGGCGAGGAGGAGGACAACATCGTATGTGGAGGCGGGGAGATTGACCAGACCAGCAGCGATGCGATCAAGCATTTGCAGGTCGGTCGAATTGCGGTCGTGGATTTCGTAGACTTGGTCAAGTCGCTCTGGGTGCGCCGCAATCGACGGCGTGCCGATCAGAAGGCATCGCGGGGCCATGGTGGGGTATCGTGGCACTGTACGTTGATGGAGGGGCAGGTTGGTGTCGCAAAATCAGAGCGTAAAGGCAGAGTCACTACGAGAAGAGCGAGAAAGGTTGCGAGAAGAAAGGAGTGTAGTAATTGAGAGGCGCGCCCGGGAAACTTTTCTGAAGACGGTCTGCGGCCTCGGAGGCGGAGAAAGCGCTGCTGACGAAATCAGGGAGAAATCCGCGGCGATTGGTCATACGACGAAGGGCTGATTGCGAGCTGACCGAACACGTGATTTCGAGTCAAGCGGAATGGCGGCATATGTATGAGTGGATCCCAGGGCGCATTAGCGTGCGAGGAGCATACATCCAGAATCCGGGGTAACCATCGTTGCTGTGAAGCCATGGAACCACGAATAGGCCGTAGTAGACACAGTATAGTACTGACGCGTCGTTGGCACGATATGCATCTTGAAATTGAGAGCTCCAAAAGTTTGTGCATGGCTGTGCTGCTGTGTCGAAAAGATTGCAGCCCACGCGACACCGACCGGCGAGATCCAGGTACCGGTGACGTACCTTCCCCCTCGTTCCTTCCCTACATAGCTCTGGAACCGAAGATCCGACTGATAACAATAAGTGTCAAGTTACTCTATACAGGTAGAAGCTATGAGCACAATTGAAGTAGTCGGAGCTGGGCAGCTGAAGGCGAACCTTCTAGAGGCGCATCTTTACAGGGTCCTATCTTGGTCGCGATATAAAGGCAGGAGCTCCTCCCAGCTTCCCCGCCTTTGCCCAAGCCGCGTAAGATGCACTGCACCAGCCTTTGACAAACAAACCAACAACCATCGTCCCTGCTAACATCGTCGTTGCTAACATCTTGCTGCCACTTGTCCACAGATCTGCAAGGTACGCATTCTGGCCGCGTTGCTTCACGCAAGAAGACGCCATCGGGTCAAAGCTTCCATCACGAGACCATGTACTGACCCGCTTGAGCTTCTTACAGTCGCAGTAGCTCCGAGCCCGCCGCTCCTGTCTACTTCAACTCACGTTGACTCTCTTCCATCACCATTACAACAAACCCACATTCAATCCATCCACTACAGATACCAAACAGTAAGTACTGCCTTTTGTCTCATGTCTCACGCACCTGCCTTTGTTGTATTGAGCATGTAACGCCTGGAACCACCTCAATGGCTCATCGGCGTAAGACGGCAGGAGAACTATGGGACAACATCAACATGTTCGTACGTCATGCTGACTTCCATAGTGACTCGCTCCCACAAGTTCACTGACCGTGACCACGCCGGCATTGCTGATGGCACTGCCGAGCGTGAAACGAGACTTCCCAAGTTCTTTGGCAAGTCTGGCCATGCTGACACCGACCCTACCAAGACGAAGAAGGGTGGTAGTGGCAAGGGCAATTGGTGAGTACAGTCAACTTGCTTCCTTTCGATGCCTAGCAAGAGCATCATGTTCTGCAAAATAACCTAGCTCTGCCTATCAAGATACTCTTATATCTCAGAGTCAGTGACTGACCACACCTTCACAGGGGCGCCGCCGGCGATGAGGTCGAAGACATCAGGCCCAACATGGCCTACGCCCGTCGTCGAAGCAACTCGTCCACCCACAACATGAAGGACTTCAAAACCAAGTTCGAGACCATTGAGACCGAGCCCGTCTTTGAAGAGGAGATTCACGGTCCTCTCGGCGAAGAGCTCGAAAAGCAGAGCACCACCTCAACCGAGAACAGCATTGCTGAGGAGGAACACGACAAGAAGATGTAAAGGCCAAGTGCGGAGCCTACGGGCAGTGGCATGGCTCCAAGTTGACTGTGTGGCCGGCTTGTGGGAAAACCTTGCCCGCCTTGAGCAATTTGATAGAGCAGATATGAGCGTCTTTCCAGGCTGATATGCTCGCACATGTACCATGTTTCTCTGGGAGGTATTTTACGTTCTCTAGTACAGCCATGAGTGGTCAGGAGAACATTCATGGTTGGAAGCTGATGACGACGGCGCTTTTGGACAACTGTAATGAGTATGATAAACGAGATACGAAATAAAACATAAATCGAATGACTGTTCTGCCTGACGTGTATAGTTGAAAGATGGTGCTCTGCTCCAAATCGGCTGGGATGGGCTATGTGCGTACAAGACTAAAGACATCAGTAAACACTTGCACTGATGCTCCTGTGTGCAGCCTCTGTTGTTGTGTGAGTACACAGCGTAGAGTGTGCAGTAGGCAGAGAGTTCGTAATGGTACTCGACAGCCCTGGGGGTGAAACCAGGTTGCTAAACTCCGGCTCTAGCGTGGCACGGATCCCTGCCCATCATCAAAGCTTCGATGCATTCTTAGTTGTCACCCACAACACAGCGAAGAGCCAACACCATCACCGGCGCGCTCTATCGCGTTTCCAACCAGCCCTAATACTTCCTTCATCATGTTTTCACCAGAGGCTTCTTCGCTCGCGAGCATACGGAGCGCGCGCACACGGCGGCGCCAGCGCAACGACTCGGACGGATCTCAGCAACAACAACGAAGCCGCAAGCGAAGCAAACTCAACAACGAGACGTTCAAGGACCCGGCCGGTGCCAACGGAAATGGCAGTGCCCTGATGAATGGTCACGCTGTGCAGAGCGTAGGCGACTCGGCCGTCCTGGTGGATATGCCTCTAGTTGTTCGCGAGAAGAAGACAGCGCCAAAGCGCGCGCTCAAGGAGGACACCGGCACATACCTTGTGCGTAGATACGCATCTGTACAGTCTATTCACTGCTAACACGAGACTGTAGACCAAGAACGCAAACTACAGCGTCAAGAAACTGCCCGGGTTCCCGTCAGCGCTCCTCCGCCCGTCGAGTACGTCTTCACGTCGCCCAACTCGATGCGCGCTTGCTAACATACATGACTAGCCCCGATATATGCAACCGCCCTCCCGTCCGCCGGCCTCGCACTTGCCCTGACCTCAGATCGCGCCCTTGTCTGGGACTACAGCGCCCCCAACGGCCCTACAAAGGTCGTCTCTCTAAACCTGAACTTCGGCCTACGCCAAGGTGAACCTCTTCCACTGGGCGCAATCGTTCGTAACGGTCCAACCAACGACTACGGTATCGTCGCGCTCGCACCTTCGACAGGCAAGATTAGCTTCTGGGAGAACATCGACAGCGCAGACGCCCGAAGCCTATACCCCCAGCGCCAGCAGGGAGTAGAAGGATTTGTCAAGTTGTACTCCGGAGAAACCATAACTGGTCTGGTCGATGTGGAGCACGCAGGCTATGTCCTGGTCTTCAGCAGTGGTAGACTCGCCCAGCTGACCTTACGCGATTCCCAGGGTAGACCAAGCATTGCGACGACAGTCTTGAGCGCACCAAATGGCTCGGGAGGCAGCTTCTTCAGCTTCAAAGGCCTTCTCGGAGGATCGATCCGGAAGACTATCGCCTCAGTCAAGGCGCGGACATCGCAGTCCAAGGGCCATATGGAGGTTATCTCGGCGACACGAAACGGCCTCTTCCAGACCTGGGACTTGAGCTGGTCAGGACAAAACAACCACCAACGAGACGTAGACGTACACGAGGCGATCCTTTCGGCAGTTCAAGCAGACACCGTCCCAGAAGTACGGAACCAGCAGGACGTGCAAGTGCTGGATTTCGCCATTATGGACCAGCAACAGGGCCAGGACGCTGTGAATCTTTTGGTTTTGGTGGCGCTGTCTGGCCGGGATTCGTTGGAATACTTCCTTGTTGAGGTGGATCTGTCAAGGACTGCTGGTACGATCAGCAGGGCGATACCAGTCCGCAACTTTCACCAGAACCAGTTACCGAAGGAGCCTACCGGAACGCTTCTTCTGCCACAGCCCGGACACACAGCCTATGTCCAGTTTCCAGGAGCAGTGTTCATCGCATCCCTCGCTCAGCCAGAGGAAAGCCCTGAAGCACAGCTGCTTGCAGATTCAGGACGTTCTAGTCTGCCCTTCCAGGATACCGTTTACTTCCGGCCAGAAGTGACACTCGCGGGCAACGCATTGGAGACCTCATTACGAAAGGACAGAAAATCGACAGCCCTAATCTTTGTCCAACAATTCGGTCTTTTACAAATCGGCGCATTGCCCCCCACGACAGACAATCAGGATAGGGAGCGTGTGAAGGTTACCGCACGCAGCAAACTCGAGCAAGCCACCTTCTTCAGCACGATACCCGCAAACATCATAGACTTTTCTGTCAAGTCACGATTCTCATTCGCCGAGGAGGAGACTGCCGAAGCTGCTCTTACAATCAGCGCTGGTATCTTAAGCTCAGCGTACGACTATCTCGAGAAGGGTGTTTCTAACTTGGACGACCAATTCCAGCAACGCTTGTTTGCTCTCCGAACCCTGATCTCACAGCTACAAACCGAATATCCTCCCGTGGATTTTCAGACAAGGTGGCGGCTCTTGTGGCATGCAGAGAAGCTCGCAGCTTCACACAAACTTTGGCTCTGGTACCAGGATAAGCTGCATGACCAACAAGCTCATCCGGATGCTTTTCCCGAGAAGATTTTGATGGGCGATATTGTCAGAGCTCTGAATGAACGCTACAAGACTGCCATTGATTCCGAGCTCGGCGAAAACGACACGATTAGACAATTCTTCGTCAAGGACGTTGACAGTCTCCACACACTAATACCCTGGGGCTGGTTCTACCTGCGGACGTTCTATATGAAGGAGGGCCTAAAGCAAACCCCGTCCATCATGCAGAGGCTCAGTGAGGGCACTGATGTCATGCTTGTCACTCTGGAAACAGCGTTCGAATTCCGGCAAGCAAACGTAGAGGTATATGGTCTCGACCCCGATTGTCTGGACGACGGCATCCTGAAGTCGGCACATGGCTATGACATGCTACCTCAGTTCTGGACTTCATCTCACAACATTGTCAGCTCTATTCGTAGCCTTATCGACGTTGGCCGCAACCTTGCTGTGGACAACTATGAGGAAGGCGACCAAGAGATCCTGGCGCAGAAGATCGGCAAGGATAACCCTCGTTTGGTGAAGCTAGGATGTCAGACTCACATCGAACGGTTCCAGTGGGCTCTTGCACAAAGCGATGAAAAGACCCGAGCCATGGGGCGTAGTCTCAAGGACGAGTGGAACAACAACGTCCGGCCGTCTCACATCATGGGTCTGATGGAGATTGGACTACCCACCGAAGGAATGGAGCTGGCTGAGCAGTACCGTGACATGTCCACACTTGTCAATCTGATCTGGGAAGAGTCGAACTGGCTAGAGACGGAGAAAGCCAACACTCGCAGCAAGATGGAGCAGGCCGAAAGCACAGTCAAGCTGAACCGGATAAAAGAGCGTATTGCACGCTACTTTGACGTCTATGGCGACGAATGGGCTGGAGCGTTCTACTCAAAGTACATCAACGAGAACCAAGCAGGGCAGCTTTTCATGAAGGAGTATCTCAACCAGCCGGCACTCACCAAGTTCTTGCGAGCTGAGCCATCGCGTGCCCGGCTCGGATGGATCAATGAAGTCTGTGGTGAGAAGGATTACGAGGCTGCTGCTGAACTTCTTTTCGAGGCTGGCTCAAAACAGGAAACCAATGCGTGGTGTCAGCGCGTTGAGCTCTCCATGGCCAAGCTCGCTCTGCTCTGCAAGCAGGAAGCAAAGCATGGCGATGACCAGCCGGCGGTTGATCCGCGCAGAGAGAAGCCAAAGGCATTGAAGATGCGTGAAGCCATGTACCACAGCATCGATCAACAACTGGAGTACACAAAGATACAGGAGGAGGTCTATGAGCGGCTACTACCCATCATCACTGGAGCTCTGGACGAGGACTCTGCGGTGGAACTTCTCATGGCTGAGTTTGGTCAGGGCCGTCTGAGGGATCGACCAGCACACCAGGCGATTCTAAAGGAGGGTTTTGAGAACCTGGTCCACCACAAGGTCATCGATCCTGCCCTCATGATTGACATACTCACTCTCATGAACGCAGATGACAGCGAAGAAGGCGTTACTTTGCTCGGAAACGATGAGTTCATCTACGCTTTCAGGGTCCTGCTTGTCAACTGGAACAACATCCACCGGACGACTCGTGATGGCCTATTGAAGCTTTTCTGGAAGCGACTGTGTATCAAGGACAACTGGGCAGCGATCAACACTACCAAGGAAGTTACTGATGCTGCGATAAACGATGTGTTGCAAGATACAATCATGGCATGGACATTCCGGACCTTGAGCGGCATGTGCAGTAAGTTGATGTCCACTACCAGATATTGATCAACGATTAACATGTTATAGTCAACAACCCTTTCGTCAGGACGCTATGGCCGAAGAACCTTCGCGATCTTCTAGGCGCAGGAGGAACACATGGAGAACTCTGTGTTCGCTTTGCTGCCGAAGATCTTCGCAACCCGATCATCAAGGACAATCTCCTGGACGACGACATCCTTCGCGAGCAGGTCAACAAGAACAGGCTCACGGATTGGTTCAAGGCAGCTTGGACAGCGGGCAAGACGATGTACGCACGCGAGCTGAAGCAGCAGGGTAAGCCCACTCCTCAAGACGTGGCTGCAGCCCCTCAAATTGCGGAGGAAGATGCGGAGGACGAGGCGGACCAGGAAGCTGCTGGGTCCGAGACGTTTGATGGTGACGATGAGGGTGCACAGCAGGAGCAAGACGTGGTGATGCAGGATTCATGATAAGTTGCGGTCGTATTCGGGGGTTTATCGGGCGCAGTACATTCAAGGCAATCAGGACAGGCGCGCATCAAGCATTGGGCACGGCGTTTCAAAACCTGTACTCTGCAGACGCGGACAGAGTTTATTTTCTTCTTTGTTATCAAGTGTATTTGTAGCGATGGGTTTCAAGGTTTCCCGACGACAGGCGTCACATGTCTTGACCGTGTCAGTGCATGACTAGAGCAGGACGACAGAGTTGGCACCAAATGTATAAAGAGTCACTATTTGGGTAATGCATGAACGGGTAGGGGAGAAACATGAATAGTGACTTGCATAACCGCCTATCGGCAAGGGTCTCGACTGTGTTCTGTGGAGTCAAGCGACGACAAGCGTTCATTTGCGCGGTGGATACCCAGCCGTGTCAAGGAACCGAGTGTGGCGCGAGCGAGAGGGCGCGGATGTGGACGCGCACCAATGGCTGACTCGGTAACAGCCGTTGGACGATGGAGGCCGGGTTGTGAAAAAGTGGTGCTGCAAGTTGAGATGAGAGATGGCAGATGGCAATAGATAACATGTCAAAGAGGCTTGCGCCTGCTTTGCTTGTTCCTTGTCACACCAAGACCGTTGGCCACGCCGTGAGGCGAGCGAAGCCACCGAATTGACGTAGGCGGCATGCATGAACAGCAAGAGGCACAGCAGCGGTGAGGCTGGACAAAACACACGACACGCAAATGCATCCTAGTCCGGAGTGATGCAGCTCTACAGCAGCAAAGATCGTCACGTGTGCTGAGTCGGCTGTCGATGCACGATGCGATGGCGATGACGAAAGACAGAAACTTCGCTTTGCTCGATGGCAATCGCGATTCCGCAGACCAGGCTTCCCCTTCGCGCACACGCGCTTGTTGGCTGGGAAAGGATGTGTCGAATTTCCGAGGGCGTCCCAGGGCTGCTTTTGCTCGGAGGATGGGCTAGTTTGGGTGTGGACTGTGCATGCAGGTACAACAACAACTGACAGCTCAGTGGGGAAAGGACGACGCCTGCGCCGCTGCGAGGGGGGGAGGCAGGATGAATGAATAGACAATCGAACCGCTGCATTGGGACCGCGCCCACGACGACGGCCAGCGTGCACTTCTTGGACTCTATGCAGGCGGGTGTAAATAGCTCAGTCGTTGCAGTCCCGTGCTCGCAGTGAATTGGGTGCTACTAACAGTCTAGCGAAGAGTCGGTTGATAGGTTGCTAGTGCACGCCCCATGCTCAGTCGCTCCTTCCCCTTCTCCACGTCTTTTCCGCGTCGAGAGTCGGTCGCTCTTTCTTCACTATACGTCCCTGTCCTGCGTCCCTTCCTCTGACCTCTCCGTCTCCTCGCAGCTGCTTCGTTGCAGCACAAGTCGCTTCCGACTCGACTTCGACCCGCCCGTCTCAGGAACGCCGAGTCGCGTTCTTCGCCGGTTGCATAGCCCCCAAGCCTCGTTACCGGAGTACGGCTGCGGCCCTGTCTCGCTGCTGTCACAACCACCAAGCCACGCACCCTCCCTACCACTACTCGTCTCCCACATTCTCTCCAGGCGACCGCCAGTAACGACGCAATCGACACCATGGCGAGCGGCAGTACGAGTTCCAACGTCGTCGGCGTGCACTACCGCGTCGGCAAGAAGATCGGCGAGGGCAGCTTCGGCGTCATCTTCGAGGGCACCAACCTGCTCAACCAGCAGCAGGTCGCCATCAAGTTCGAGCCGCGCAAGAGCGATGCTCCCCAATTGCGCGACGAGTACCGCACATACAAGATCCTCGTGGGCTGCCGTGAGTGCTGACTTTCCTTGCCCCTTTACCGCTTGTTTTGTTGAACCTTATCAACACCAACGTCTATATATATCTCCGCACACCCGACAACCATCGTGACTAACCTGAACCTGTGCAGCCGGGATCCCTAATGTCTATTATTTCGGCCAAGAAGGCCTCCACAACATTCTGGTCATCGACCTGCTTGGTCCCAGTTTGGAGGACCTGTTCGACCATTGCAACAGGAAGTTCTCCATCAAGACTGTTGTCATGGTAGCCAAGCAAATGGTATGTCCCGACACCACCGTCGCGCTCTCACCTACTCACACCTCATCTAGCTGTCACGGGTTCAGACCATCCACGAGAAGAACCTCATCTACCGCGACATCAAGCCCGACAACTTCCTTATCGGCCGCCCCGGCTCCAAGAGCGCCAATGTCATCCACGTCGTCGACTTTGGTATGGCGAAGCAGTACCGTGACCCCAAGACGAAGCAGCACATCCCGTACAGAGAACGCAAGTCGCTCTCTGGTACCGCTCGTTACATGAGTATCAACACCCATCTTGGGCGCGAGCAATCCCGTCGCGACGATCTCGAGGCACTTGGCCACGTCTTTATGTACTTCCTGCGAGGTGGACTGCCATGGCAAGGCCTCAAGGCTGCTACCAACAAGCAGAAGTACGAGAAGATTGGTGAGAAGAAGCAGACCACTCCCATCAAGGACCTGTGCGATGGCTTCCCTGGTACGTCACGCGTCTCCCCCGTTCTTCGTTCATACTAACAATGCGTAGAGGAATTCAACAAGTACCTCAGCTACGTCCGGAACCTCGGCTTCGAGGACACACCCGACTACGACTACCTACGGGAGCTGTTTACTCAGGCTCTCAAGAGCACCGGAGAGGTCGAAGACGGCGAGTACGACTGGATGAAGCTGAACAACGGCAAGGGCTGGGAGGTCCTCAAGTCCCACCCATCTGCTGCGCAGGCGATGCACCACTCCAACGCCAACCCCAACTCGTCCATGGCTGTGAATATGCAAGGCCAGCAACACAGGCAACAAAAGACGCACTTGCCCATTGACCACCATCGTCTCAACGAGCCTCTGCCAAAGCCCGGAGCGACCCGTGCTCAGCCCGGACGAAGCCCACGGGAGAACATGAACCGTGATTCGCAGGTGAAGCGAAAGAGCATGGGCGAGCTTGCACCGCCCGAGGGCGCTTCGACGCAGGCCCAGTTCCAACACAGCCAGCCCAACCTTGCGCAGAACAACCGCGCTGCTCCTGCCAGCAGTCCAAACCCGCAGCAACCGAGGCAACCGTCTGCCGAGAAGCCCAGCTTCATGCAAAAACTGGCGAATGCTCTGTGCTGCGGCGCGAGCAAGTAGTAATCGCGGTCCTCAAGCTTGGTTTTCTTCCCTTTGCGTTGCATCATGGAGTCCGTTCTTTGAGCGATAGTATTCCCTCGGTCACGTTTTCTTCCTGTATAGGTATCTTGTAATGATTGATAGACGGGATCGAAAATCTCCTTCAACGGTAATAGTTACGACGACCGATCGACCGAACCGCCTCCCACACCAGCCTGGATTCCTCATCAGCGCCGAAAAAAACATCATCACCACCATCACCATCTCCTTCATCTCTGCGCTCCCGCGTCGTTGCGAGACTACATCAGCTGGCAGTACATGTGGGAGTGATTTCCATTGGGCGCTTGCGGCGTTGCGGTGTGCTTGGGGAGGCTCGCACTTTGTGGCATCTCATTTTCATTATTCATTTTTTTGGCACGAGGAAAATATAGCATGTAAAGGAGTCTCTTCTGAAGGCGCGGCCGAGGCCTACTGTATCGCGTGTACAGGGCGACAGACGGGCCTCGCTTTAGTTCAGGTAGAGTAGTTGGGCGAATAGACGCACTCACTACGCCGAAATTTCATTTTTGTACCTCAGTGACGTTTGCCATACTCAGCATCATGTCTGCGTGTCCCTGGCCAGTAGCTGCGATCTAGCCGTTGAGGGGATCAAGTGATCATCTCAAGGCAGGAGCTATGGCCTCTTTGCGCATGCGATTGGAAGGTGCCGTAACAGCGGCAATCCATGACTCCATAGCTGTGCGTACCTATAGCGCAAGAACTTGACTTGTAGCCTGGTTACTCTTGAATCTCTTCGAAACCCTTCGCGCAATCTCTTGAATAAGTTTCCCAGCCCATTTTGATATTTTTTTTCTCCGGCATACCAATATTCCCACACGTGAGGTACCTGCGCAGGGTCCAACGCGACTTCCCAACAACGAAATTAAGCTCGTCCACTCAGCCCGGGGCCTGCGAATCCATCACCCGCACCCTCTCCTACTACCGGCTCATCGATCAGCGGCGCCTTGCGAAAGTTGCGATGGCGTCGGGACGCGATGTGCGCGATATGCTCGGGCTGCCTGCTGCCGGCGGTGATGCGCCAAAGGCAGTAGGTCCAGCAGCAGTGGCGGCGCAGACACAGAAGCGGTCAAAGCCTGCAGGAGGGAGCAGGAAGATACGTACGTTTGGCAGTCCTTACGTCTTTCCTTGGGAAATCGTCAAAAGGTCGAGACTGACTCTCATTCGACCAGAGGGCGTTGCGCGCGAGGTTGCTGCGCTATATGGCGAACGCCCACCGCCTGTCGCCGTCTACGAGGAGAAGAAAGCGTACCGGGCAAAGAGACAGAGCACAGGGCCGGCGAAGCGATGGTATGTAAGGGTGAGGGACCTGTGGAAGATTGGCTAATTCGCGTCTCTAGGATACAACAGCCGTTTACGAACCCAGCGCGCAGCGATGGCCTCGTTCTGAAGCATTGGCGGCGCAAGCCGACGACCGCACCGCCCGTACAAGAAGCCGACGACGCGATGATGCAGGAAAGCGACACCGCCGACAACTACCTCGAACTGTGCGCCGACTACGCCAAATATGACATCAAGGTAGACATGCCCGGCTTCACAGATGAGGAATACGACCAGTACCTACGGAGTGACGACTGGAGCCGCGAGGAAACAGACTACCTATTCGAGGTAGTGAGAGACTACTCGTACCGCTGGCCTGTGATATGGGATCGCTATGACTACAGGCCATCGCAACCACATCCACCAGAAACTGCCAACGGCGAGGACCAAGCACTAGCCACGATGCCTTTTGCGCCGTCCAAGAAGCGATCACTGGAGGACCTGAAGGCCCGCTTCTACGATATTTCGGCCAAACTCATGAAGCAACGTATACCAGAAGTCTCAATGGACGCCGACCAGTACAGTTTATACGAGATGCTTACAAAGTTCGACCCGGTTATGGAACGGAATCGAAAGATGCTGGCCACGGCACTCATCAACCGCACAATGGACGAGGTCAAAGAGGAAGAGTTCCTACTCACAGAACTCCAACGCATCAACATGGCCGCCAACCGACTCGATGCTGAGCGCGAGGAACTTCGGGCACGATTGGACGCACCGCCCCAGAACCAGGCAGTCTCCGCAGGGCTACAGGCCTTTACATCATCACAAGCCCTCCAGGCTCTCTTCCAGCAGCTATTTCAGCAGGATCGCAGCAAGAAACGCGCTTCGGGCGGCGGGACAGGACCTGGCCGCCTCAGCCTCTCCGCAAACGACATGGTACACACACCCGGCTCGGCACAACAACAACTCTCAGCAGCAAATCGACGGCAAAGTATGGCACAGAACCAACAACCCACGGCGCAAACGCCTGTCAAGCACCTCTCTCCACATCAAGAACATCGTTTCAACGTATCAACACATGACAGACTTACGTCGGGTGTTACGTTTGGTTCCGACAAGCTGCTCAAGATGCGACAAGCAAAGAGTAACGTTCAGACCCAAAAGATCGGCCAAATGCTGGCGGCACTGGGCGTCAGTGATATCGTCAGCATTCCAACGAGTAAGGTCGGTGAGGTGTTTGAGAATCTTGTCACGAAGGTCAGCAAATTACTCGACGTACGCAAAGTTCGCGAGAAGGAGGAGGGAGAATGCAAGGTTCTGCTTGCTATGAAAGCTCGGCGAAATGAAAACGGTGAAGCAGAAGGAGAAGGTCAATTGAAACACGAAGTTCCTGACTCGCAACAAACGCCAGGCGGGGAAGTCGATGCCGATGGGGAGAATGACGACGACGAAGATGAGGACGATGTCAACAAAAACTATGGGGACGACGCCGAGGCAAATAGGGATGATCAAGAAGACGACAACGACGGTGATAATCCTGATGATGACGCTGAGGGCGAGGAAGATGAGGGAGGCTTTAATGGGGAAGACGACGATGGAGATGTAGATGCAGAGGGGGAGGATGATAGTAAACAGCAGTCAAGAGCGACTAGTCAAGGTGCATCGGGACAAGGCCATAAGAGAAGTGCAAGCGTGTTTTCTCAAGGCAGCGAGGTTAGCAGTAAGAGGGCGAGGAAGTGAGTACCTGACTAGGGGTTTGGTTTATCTTTTTGCTAGCATAGCGATGGCGTTGGATGGCAAGAAAGGGAAACGTTGGGATATGATATGGGATTGGATATAGATATCGACCATTGGCATTGTTATCCACGATGCGTTATCCGTCATATACGCACGAATGTACAACATCCTCCTACTTATTGAGTACCCGTGTCACGTCATATCTTCGCCTTTGGCTCCCCCTCCTGCTCCAGCCTCGCAAACAATGGCGCGTTTCTCCCCCCACGAAACAGATCTAACATCTCCTTACCCATCCACGCCTGCCTGCTCTTCGCCAAGCCTTTCTCCAAATCCGCAAATCGATCTGCTTGGATGAATATGCCCGCACCGTTCGCCTTGGTCCCCTCATTCAACAACCAACACACCGCCAAAGCAACAGCTTCCGGTCTGTTAATCGGTACACCCGCTTTCGCCATCTCCTTCGCATATACATCCGGCTCCATAGCCAAGACGCTGTTGTTCGCCGTCAAAATAGGCGTGACCGTTATCGCAGGCGCAACAACCGATATGCTAATGTCTAGTTTCGCACACTCTTGCTTTAACGCTCGCATCAAGCCCACAACACCGTGTTTCGCCGCGGAATACAATGGTGCCCCTGCTGAAGCTAGATAGCCTGCCAGACTAGCTGTTAACACAATTGAACCCCCGTCTTTTCCATTCTTCCGCAAGTAGTGGATAGCGAGTTTCGTTGTATCGGCCGCGGCATCCATATCCAGGGTCAACGTTCTCCGATCTGGCTCAGCGAGTTTCCCATCACTATCGAGCGTGTCGTTGAAGAATTGGTCGCCTTGTTCGGCGATTCCTGCGTTGACGAAGACGCAGTCTATACGGCCGAAGCGTTTGTGTGCTGCTTCAAAACCAGCGCGTTGGGAGACCCAGGAGGTGATGTCACACTCGTGGAATAGAAGATTCGAGGAGGGATGGTTGAAGGATCGGGGCGGGGGTCGCAGGTCAAGCACGACGAGGTTGTGGGAGGGGTTCAGGGTTGAGAGGAGGGTTGATGTTGCCAGACCAATGCCGGAAGATCCTCCCGTTATGAGAATAGTTTTTGGTGTTGACTTTAGGGTGTGGAGAGCGGATATTGAGGGTGAGAAGAGGGCCATGACGGTGGTGGGTTCGACTGCCTGTATGAAGATGGAGGCGGAGTTCACTTGATGTAGCAATTCAGAGGAGGTAGATTTTCTAGTAGACTTGAGAGATTGTGAGGGGGTTGGAAATGGGGACTAGAACTGTTGATGTAGTCAATCAGCTGCAGACGATTCGATTACCTAGGTTATACGTTGTAGCTGCGGGGTTGGCCTCGGAGGTGTCTCAAAGAGGTGGAATTACCTGTATCCTCGCCGCTGACTCGGCTAGGGGAAACGAGAGGAGGAGTCAATTGCCTACGCATGTATTCGACGGTATGTAATAGAGTACTACATCCTTTTCGCGCTACCATGGTAGTGCTCCAGGCCTGTCATGCACAATCCGCGTCAGCGTTGGTCTCTAGCATTTTTGAATTGCGTTTCGAAAATCAGGCCTCTATCAGAGAACGCTGTCGGGTTACCGGTATTAGTCCTGAAGCCAGAGACATGTGCGAGTCAGACTGGTGCGTGGTGTCTACGCGAAAGGAGGGAGCGATGCACGTGTCGGAGGTCTAACCGCTTTCGGAACGTACACCTGGAGTTTCGCGATCTCGAGCATTCGAGCTTCAAGATTCCCAAGTGACCAGCTCACCCAACACTCACCTCCGCGCTACAGCCAGTTTTCCGCAGGGTACCAGAATCGCAGATATGTGGAAACCAACATTACTGCTCGCCGCTGCGCTGGCGGTCCCGTCACAAGCGCTACACTTCTTCATGGACGGTGCAGTCCAGAAGTGCTTCTACGAGGAATTGCCCAAGGATACACTGGTTGTTGGTACGAGACATACTCGCAAATGAGTCTCTTGGCCTAGAAGCGCCACAAGGCCAGCGCAAGAAACACGACTAACATGACCAGGCCACTACCACGCCGAAGCATGGGACGACGCAACCAAATCCTACCAAACCAAGCCCGACGTCGGCGTCTTCGTTACCGTAGAAGAGACATTCGATAACAACCACCGCATTGTTGCCCAACGAGGTAGCTCCGAGGGCCGCTTCACTTTCAGCGCTGCCGACAGCGGCCAACATAGGATCTGCGTGACACCCCAGAATGTACCGAGCAGTGGTGGCGGCTGGCTGAGCTCCGGCGTGCACGGCACAGTCAAGTTCACACTGGACATGGCGATTGGCGAGACCAGCAGGATCGAGAGCACGGACAAGGACAAGGTCGAGACGCTGGTGCAGAAGGTCAGGGACCTGAACTCGAGGTTGCAGGACGTCAGGAGGGAACAGGTCTTCCAAAGAGTGAGTCGGACACCTACAGATCGCTGCATAGGTGCAAGAATGCTGGCTAACACATTCTGCAGGAGCGCGAAGCCGAATTCCGCGACCAGTCCGAGCATACCAACTCCCGTGTCGTTCGCTGGACCCTCATCCAACTTGTAATTCTGGGTGTTACTTGCGTTTGGCAACTATCGCACTTGCGAGCTTTCTTCATCAAGCAGAAGCTTACCTAGAGTCGTCGAAATGACCGTCGTGTTTCGTTTCTGGCGCGTACAAAGACATGAGGGACAAGTTTGGAGGAAAAGGCATGTTTTACCTTGGTTCGGTGAAATGCTCTTGCATCTGTATTGCGGAATACGGCGTTGGAACAACGGGTTGGTGGGGTTAGCGTTTGTGATTTTGAACGAGGCATAGCATCACACAAAGTACGTGTTGAATAGCTATGCGCTTTTACTGTCTGCCTCTTTCATTAGTCCCGTATATGCCCAGTTCAAGTATATGTAGAAGGAAGCGCCTGTAGGAGCATTCTCGTCAATGCTGACAGGAAGTAGGGACGTATCTGTTGTATCGAGATAGTCGGAAGTGCTGGTGTGTACGAATCAATACCAATAACGTATCTATTATCAGCACATTACCATCCCCCGCACTTGTTCACTATCGGCATATTCCAGTACCGGCAAGTTTCACTAACAGCATCAGATCCAATGCTGGTACTGCTAGGTATAGGACATTACCATACTGCCAAACCGATTCGGCACTAACACATTGTCACTGTTCAACACAAGTCTTGTCGACAGCCTGACTCAGACAGCAACTACCGTCGGACTCGATCAGCATTGAAGAACCGAGTCTTGGTTCCGGTAATTTATGCGTCCACAAATCTGGCTGAGTATCGTCGACGGTGCCGGCTTACAATAAGATTGGACAACACCCACAGTGCTATTTCTGTCATACCAAGCAGAACGATGGCAGTGTTAACTCAACATTTGGGTAGAACGGCCTCTCCCGAACCCGTCTTTCCGTTCCTCGTCTGCTGCAAGCGACTATGCGCTTCGCCCCCATCCAGCCTCGCATGGTTGAGCCTTGCTCCTTCCGGAACTAAACCAATCATACGACTTGATAGTTATCTAGTGGCTGTCAATCTTAGACTCACATTCCTTCAGTTAACCTCATCTGAACGCTGATGACGCTAGAATCCTACGCTTCATTGTTTTTTGTGAGATAACGAGCTGCCCCCAAATGCGAAATGCTGCTGGCGAGAGCATAGTCTGTTGAAGTCAGCCTGACCTCAGGCTGTTGACAACCATCGGAGTACCATAAAGAGGCCTACTAGATACACAAACGATTCTCGTCGATCCTATATGAAAGGTCTGTGCATGTACCCACAAGAATCATGAACTCGACACTGGTCCACGGCTGGGTTGCTTCGCCAAATGAACGCGGTACAATCGATATCGTCTGGAGCTGCATTGTCACCATGTTTTTATGCAGTTGGTCTGTTCTGTTTCTGAACGTGCCCGACAAACACGACTTCCGGTCATATCTAGCAACAAAGCTCTCATGGGTTGCCTTCACCATCTTCTTTCCCGAGATCCTAGCGTCATTCGCCCAGGTCCAGTTTCTCTCCGCCCGAAACTCGGTGTCCGCATTCACCAAACTCGGGTATCGTGATTGGTCCATGACACATGCGTTCTTCGCCGACATGGGAGGCTTCATGCTTGACCCTCCAGATTACCCGCCATTTCCCGTCAACGCCCATCAGATTCACTACCTTGTCGAGCACGGCTTCATCGATTTCCCCAGTATTCAACGAGACACCATCCAGGACAGGAACAAAGCAGACGCTTTCGTCCGTATCCTTACATCCATCCAAATACTTTGGTTCGCCCTTCAATGTATCGGCCGCGCCATTCAACATTTGAATGTCTCTATGCTCGAGCTGGACGTTGTTGCTATCGTGTTGTGCACGTTTCCAACGTTTTACTTCTGGTTCCACAAGCCGTTGGACGTTGATACGACAGTGACTCTATATCTCGAAGGATCACTAGAACTGAAAGATGTACTGGTACTAGCAGAGGGTGTAGCCAAGCGACCTTTCGAACTCACTCCGCTCGACTTCATTAATCCGCCTCCAGATCCCTATCAGATTCTTGACCCTATCATGTGGGGCCTTGAGCACTTGCTTCGACTTGGTACAAACTCTGCACATGTGCCAATCACACGATTCAAGAACACGTCACGGATGAATCCTGGGAAAGTGACGGTGTCCGAGTGGGCGATCTCAACGATCATATCACTCACGTTCATTTGTATACACTTCGTCGCGTGGGACTTCAACTTTCCATCACCATTAGAAAGAAACATCTCGCGAAGTGCCTTTGTCCTACTCCTCGGAACTGGCTTTACCTTTGGTAACCTTTGGTTCCTGACCATGTGGCAACTACCGAACCTTTGTCGTCAATTAGGGATACCGCAAGTTGACACTGTAACACAACTAATGTACCAGATACATCCGATTCTTCAGTACGCTCTAACTATCCCACACTTTGGGGCATATGGACTTGCGCGGTTATTCATCATCATAGAAGGTTTTGCTAGTCTAAGAGCGCTTCCTGCAAGTAGCTTTCGTGGAGTAGAGTGGTCCGACATGTTTCCTCACATCTAAGAAGGGCGGACCATGATGCAGCGCCAGAGCGATGTCACATCTCGATCATAACTATTCTGTCGTGCCAGTCCGCCTGTGGTTCACTTACTGAGCGCAGGAGATGGGCTACCTGGGGTAACACATTGTTATTAGGACTCTCAACCAACCCACACCACTAGTGTTGTTGCGAAAGCTGTAATGAGATGTTTCAGTTGCTCAAGTATCACTCCATGCCATGCCAGCTCCGAATAAACGAAAACTCGATAAGAATTCTTGTAACATGTAAGATCAATGTATTATTTAACATGCGTTTGAGCATCATTTTTATGTTATTCTGAAGGATGCCAGCACTCTCACATCCAGCCTTCCCAATAGCGCTAGGGTACGGTTCGAGTCTATTCTTCAGTGAATACTCGTTCCTAAGACAGTATGGTTCTAGTAGACTACTTTGAGATAAGATGTACCACAAAGATTGTTAAGTAACATGGCAGCATGACACCAGAAATGCTCAAGGTCTTCCTGACAACTAGATCGGAACTTTGAGATGTCATCTGTAACAGAATCGTGGCACGTTCAACAACTCGTCCAAAACCTTGATATTACCGCGGACATGATGGCTCACACGCCGTAAGACTTTGTACTCATCAGCCACAGCCCAAAGACTAACCATTGCCATCAATGCCAACCCGTCTCAGATCCTCAGAACCCATCCAACAATACCGCATGCGCGTGATTTTTCCGTGGAACAGCCGTCCACGCGCACATCCCAGAGCAACCGCTGGAACCAATCACCTGGAACCACAAATGAGCAACGCATCATGATCGGCAGACCTTAACGCGATAATCTGCTTCTAGTGACTTCACTACTTTTTCACATCAGTGGAACCTTATGCTTAACCTTGCATCGATAGCTGTAGCCAAGAAAGACTTGCGCCGCGGAAGTTCGGATTGACATGGAGACAGATTGTGGATAAAGGTCGTCATTCGCGTGGAGCTGGGAAAGGGTATCCGGTTGACATTGCCGGCGATCTTCAAGCGTATATACCGTGTTAGAAAGCAATAGCCGTATACGCATCATTGGGCGAGTGTGTTTAATCCTTCGTTGCGGTAGACATCGAGAAGCTATCAGCAGCTTGCATGAAACCGTTCTTGTCAAGTTTTTCTTCATAGCTGACATCGGTTGAAACTGCTTAGATGGACCGGATTTCGACCGAACTCTATACTTAAAAAAACGACGTCAATAGCTTCATCCGCCAAACTCTAGGAGTCGACGATGATGCGAACTTGAGTTTGGAACACAAGCCAATGAAACTCTATTGCAACTTCGGATGCCGTTCCCGTCAAAACTGCAAACGCGCCGTTGCTATCGATAAAATGCACTGCGCGATCCCCAGCGCTCTTTCTCAGCCCTATATGACGCCATGCACTCGTACTGCATCGGCGGCGGTTCCCCATCATGCTAAATCCACCAAACGTCTGTCCCACATCCATCTCGGATCCGACGGGACAGCAGTAACAAGACAGGGGCCAACGCACCTTTCATTTCGTGCAAGCCAGGTCCGACATTTTTCGGTGGAGCCACGGATTGGGTGAAAGTGTACCGAGGAGAGACCACACCACTATGCAAACTATGTGCTGATATGCAGGCTGTCAAATTCGGCACTGCAGCTTCTGGTAAATGGCCGGTAAATCAATGATACCATTGCGATACTCGCCATGTCCACATTTTCGCCCGCGGGCGTCACGCAACCATGGAATCATGGATCAATTGCTGCTGCATTGGGTACACACACCACCATCGCTATCCCCGTGCCTCGGTCCGATCAAATCCTTTTCTTCTGCTTTGAAATCCAACATCCTCGTCCACATTGTAGAAGAAAAAATGAAGGCTTCTAGAACGAAAACTTGTTCCATTTGATAGGAGATGCGTGGAGATGCGTGTGTTGGAAAAAGAGAGGCTGAGCCCACTAGCGTGGCCCGCGGGGCGGTAATGGGCCCAGATCTCGCGGCGCTCTCACCCTTGTGTGCAGTTCAGCCGTGCAGCTGTGCGTGCTTTTGCTTGTAGTATGCATAGCCGACGATGTTACACTTGGAACAAGAGGCTGAATCTAGAGTGTGAGACTTGAAGTGTTGTCAGCTTGGGTTGTTCAAGCTGCAGTGTGAGGAGACGTACGATGCTTGCAGTAGGTGGTTGTCATTTGAGTTGAGACCGGCGTTGCCGTCGCTGTGTACAACATGCATGGTGGCAGCTCAACAAGCGTTACTGGTTAATGACAGCAAACGAGGCTTCATGATGTGAATAGATGGTCTGAAAGAAGAATACTGTTTGACGTTGATATTACTTTGGGGTATCATTGCTAGCTACAATGGATTCAATACATCCGCTTGTCCGTCCCTCCTCTTCTGCCATAACGTTGCTGAGTACGGTGTGTAGACAAAGAAGTGGCTCCGACAATCTGAGGAATAGTGAAGTGTTGTACAGCATTAATGGTGCTCCAAATGGAGTCAGGTATATCGAAAATAATGAAATCTAATCCCAAACGTAACCAAAGCCCCTGGAGCCGGCGATGCCGTCTATGAAATCATCGCTTTTTGTGCACATACGAAAGCCATCTCTTTCATCAAATCATCGTCCCATGCGCCCGCTTGTTGGTCGCTGAAAAGTCATATCCGCAAAAACGTACTAGGAGATCAAAGAGGAATACTGTACAGTCGAAAGGAAAGAGCCCAAAACACCGAATGATTCAGTTCCGACCAGCGACAACTGAATGCGATGCAACCAGGTGCGTGACCACAGATGGGAGAGACGCGGGAATAAGCACCCCTCTTGGCTGTGTCCAAGACAATGAAAACACGCTTGCTGTCGAAGTCCAGATCGGCAAAGAAGAATCTTCGTACGTAGCATTTCATCCGTGTGGCCAGCTGCGTGCCATAGAACAGCCGCGACTGTTCTGGCGTCTGCAGAGCGGAGATGATGCAGGGGCACGGCTTCCGCGGAAATCGGTGAACATTGCGCATTAAGCTATGCTCAGTCGTGGTTACCTCCACGCCTGCGGTGCTTTCCGGGGAAGTCAACCTCGGGATGCACGACGCGCATATGGCGTGTCAATGCGTCATTGCGCGAGAAAGTCTTTTCCTCGACGCAAAGTGCGCAGCGAACCTTTTGCTTGCGCGCGTTGTGTATTGTGTCCTCGTGACGTGTGAGGTCATAAGGGCGGGAAAATACAGTGTTGCAAGGCTTGCCAGTCGTGGGGTTGATGCGCTCACACTTGTGGGGTCCCGCTTGCGAATTACGCTCCAAAATAGCCGCCGACGTCATAGCCGTGCTGAGATTGGCACTTCGATGACCCTCACGCTTATGCTTCTGAAGCTTTTGTGGGGTCTCGAAACGCTGGGAGCAGCCATGGTACGTGCATGAGTAGGTACCAGACTCAGCAGTGGTAGATGTTGGCTTTGTCATGTAGCGGTCGGACAAGACGCTGTTCTGGCTGCCGTTCGGTGGCTCAGCTTCGCTTGCGCTAGATTCCATCGACGTCAAGTGTGCAGGAAACTCGGGTGTCTGGTCGACAGCCGACGCCATAGTGTTGGGTGTTGATCGGTACTGAGATGGTGCGTTCATAGGCAAACTGTGCATGTTCCCTATTGATGGTGTGGCGAAGTTGAAGCTGGACGACTGTTGTAATGATGGAGCGGTTGCAGTAGAGAAGTTTGGTGAGAATTGTGGTGTTGCCCAACTGTCGCGACCGTAGGACTGTGATGAGGATGGTGCGTCGAAGCTGGATTGAGTAGCAGTCCTATATTGTTCGCCACCGTTGTATTGGCCGTCGTACTCGCTAGCGCCACTGTCTGGGAACAGTGGAACCTTGGACTCTTCGTCCGATTCCCGGAAGTCCAGCAGGGCATCCTTGGGGGAGATGGTCTTTGGCTCGGAATCATCGCTCGGTTGCATCTGAGACTTCATAGCATAAGCCGCGTCAGCCTGGCGATTTTGCTCACGTGCAGCAACAGCAGTGTTCATGGGTGAGTTGAACGAGTTGCTCGGCTGACGGTAAGGTGAGCTCTTGCGGAAGGGTGAGTCACTTCTTGAGGCAGTGCTGCTTGGCGACTGTGAGCGCGCGTACTGTGCTGCCTGGAGCGCTCGCTGTACGTTTTCGTTGGCATTGCTGCGGTATGGCGAGAGCAACGAAGACTGTGCTGGCTTTGATTGCGACACTGTTTGGGTGACGGCACTGGGCTCGTAGAAGCCAGTGTCGGCAGCAATGTCGGTGTATGTCCTTTCGAACTTGGGTACAGGGCGCATATCTGGTTCATCGTAAGCACAGAACTGGTTGAAGAGCCAGGAGTCTATCCTGCAGAGGTCCTCACCATTGGCAGGCGTCTTGAAGTCCATGTCGTCCTGTGCTGTGTGTGGCGTAGCAGGAGAGTCGTGACCGTAACTTGATACTGATTGCCCAGTGGAGTGCGCGTAGTCTGGTACGTCATCACTTTGGTCCATGAGCGCTTGCTTCATCGACATATGGGCTGACATGGTGTGGTCCATGTTTGGGGCAAAGTTGCTGCTGAAGTTGTTGCCGTTCATGAAGGAGTCCTGAGTAGGTGTTTGAGAGGGTGTAGGCAGATGGTTCTGGAACGACCTTTTGGATATGTCAGCCATGTTAAATGAGTCAGCCAGCGCGGTTTCGTGCGAAGGCGGATATTCAGGGCGAGCGACGTACTGGTAGCCTGATGAAGGTCCGACGGCTTGGTACTGCGAGGCACTTGAGCCTACAGAAGACGATGATGAGGCGCGCTGGTGGCCGCGGTTGCGGTTCTGGTTCTGCGAAGGTGTCTGGAGAGATTGACCTTGCACGTTACCATAGTTGTTCCAGGACTCGAGTCCAGTGTTGGTGTTGTTGGCCGAAAGCATCGGGGGTTGTGCGAAGCCCTGAGGAAGCTGTGGTGTTGGTGTCGACTGCTGAATGCGGATGGCCGGGTTTGCGAAATTGGTATATGCGCTCGTCATGTACGGGTTGGGTGCACTACCAGACGAAGTGCCGTAAATTTGTTGCTGAGACTCGACGTAGTCGTTGAGGAGCTTCTGGTCGTAGAGGTGTTGTGCAGCGAATTGCTGGGGTAGTTGTTGATAGGAGGAATGTGAAGATGGTGGTGACGGTATGGTTGAAAGGTGGTGACGTTGTGTGGGTAGCGCTAACATAATGGTCGGGAGGAAAAGTAAGGGACCAGCGTGGGTGGCAAGTTACTTATACTAGTGGGCTACCGGCCGATGACTCGGGTAGTCTTCGCCGATTTGAGTGAAAGACCACTTGATGAGGTGATCTAGGATGGCAGTCGGTGGAAGACTGTCGAACAAAGCTGTGTTTGCGTCGGCTATGCTCGGATTATCGGAATTAAGAGCCTTCGTGCGTGTCGTATGAAATTGCAAATTGCTGAGCGATAGTTTCAACGGCTTGGGCTGCTGAGAATACGCGGATTCGGTTTCCTTTCATACCTCATCCTATGACGCAACGTTGGAACCCAGGTTGTGTTGCTTTGCAGGGGTATATACGCTAGGGATACGCCAACGCGCAAGAGCGGCGCGATCGACACCACCCTCACACACCCTGCATACGGCCGCCGCGGGCCCTGTCCGACCGAAGGCTGTGCAAACCCCGGCAGACGAGATCCTACCATACAGAGTTTTCCACATGCACTCGGATAGCAGCCGAGATAGCTTCACTCAACGTCCATGAGCTGCTCCCAAAATACCGAGCAATCGCCTGTATGCATCCAGGCGATCTCTGCAGGCATGCACTCCACGTGAAACGGAGCCCTGCGAACCGAACCGTTATTCATCGCTGTGGCCGTCCGCTTAGTCTGTAGTCGACGTGTAGCCTGTAGGCCACTGTGCGACGGACCATCTCCAGGCGTCTGGCTGTGGTGATACGGCCGTGTCTGGTCCAACAGCTGGCCGCTTCTCGCAGGGACTACAACGTTCCGAGACGGGCTGAGCAGCATCGTTTACATGCCGAGCTACTCGACAACGCATAGTGGATTACGAATACTGCTGGATAGTAACAGATGGAGTACGCGAAAGCACCAGCCACACCTCTGGCCAGCGCCTGTATTGGTCACATGTTTGTCCGCGTGACTCACAGACAGTCACTGCCATTTGAGCATTGGCCTCAAGACCACGATATGATAGTGCTTTCAGCTTGTGTCTGTCGGCACGTGAGACCATATGGCCTCGTTTGCAGACAACCGTCAATAGCCCTACCCCATACTCTGTACTATTGATAGCTGGATCTGGTGGCCAAACGGCTCCCGAGGACCACTCTGCTGGCTAGCACAATGCACATCTCTTGATGAGATGCTGAAACTGGAGATCGATCCACGAACCAATAAACTGGGATACGCACATACCAGCTGCAATACTACTAGATCAAGCCAGACTACCATCTATTCTGCAGATGGAAGCTACACTTCCGTTTCGGCACTGGCAGCATCCTCTACTCAACAACGGCACTGCCGTGCAACATCCCTACAGGTCGAGTACAGCCAAGATCACACAAGGAAAACTCTTCACCAAAACTCTCCTTGCACAGGTGTGCTGAAAAACGACATATGCAACGTGTTGCAGGCATCCTGTGGAGTTGCATAGTAACCCTAAACCAACGTGGCATCGCATCGAAGGCCCCGAATGGGCAAGATCGGTGGGGAAATACTCGGATATGCAGGGTCTCTTGCGCCACTGTGTGGCAGTGCCAGCCCTACCGTATTCACGGGTAATGTAACTCGTCGCTTGCTCCGAGATCTGGACCCTTATGCATCCATCGAGAACACCAGCCACATTTCTAAGCCGGTGCGCGACCATCCGAGGCTTCTGTAGCATTCTGAAGCCACATGTCGAATACTTTTCTTTTCTGTGATTCGCATACTGATTAGATGTTGTGTCTTTTCTGTCGCTTTCGTGTTGCGTCCCCCTCCGTCGGACCGAACAAATGCTATTTCTTCGCTTACGATAATAATGACATCATCTCCCCGAAGTTTCCTTAGCATCCTTTCTTCGCATTCCATCCAAAACGACTGCCGTGCAGAACTCCTGCTTTACGCTTCTATTTTTGCGAAGCAATACGTCTCCAATGAATATCCTTTCCCTGACGTCTTAGTTGACATTCTGCTGGTCATTGAAACTGCCCATCACTTCTCGAAGGTCGCTCAATGCGGTCATGGATCGCCAACGGCTGAGCGGGCACCATCCCTAGCCTTTCTGCCCGCCAATCCGCGAGCGCGGGATGATGAGACCCTGCGTCGGCTTGATTTCGACAAAGTTTCTGCCGGTCCACCTGCTTCCATCGGCAACATGACTGTCGATCATGACGCCTGAGGCACGATAGTCGCGTGTCTTACGTTCTCCACTCACAGCGCAGTTGTGACATACTAAATGCACCGATCAATACACTGTACATCTTCCACTTTCGATATTAATGCTGGCTCAAGTATTATATTGTCCCTCTTTTCTTATCAATACTCCATCTGCCGGGATGAGAAATTTTCAACTTCTGCACGCATATGCAGGGCACCTGTCTACCCGATGTTCTGCCGCCCAACGCTTCTTTTGGGTTTGTAGGGCTTGGAAATGTAACAGGGCGTTGACCGATTCCGGTTTTGCTCACCATGGCATTTCAGAACTTGGTTTCCAACGTCATCTGTCATGCACGCAGTTACAGCCGCTCTCCTGACTGTTGCATCACCTCGATAATTGTTTCTTTGGCCATGAACACATGCAACTTAATTCAGTGGATTCTGCGACGCCCAATGCTACGATACGGGGTTCATCCGGTCGTTCGGCCGGTCGAGCTGGTGATCAGCCGAGTCCGATCTCACCACACCATACGCTGACTGCATTCTCCGCATTCTGTTGGTCCTCAACACTCAAAAGCACTTTTACTTCCCTTTTCGTGACCCGGTGGCATCATCTCGGCCGTATTTTGAACGATTTTGCGCCGAGCATTTAAGCGCGAAGACGCGCGGAGTTGCGCTATCTCCGGGACCCCATACGATTGCAAATTATCCAGCTGTTACTCAGCGCTGACCGAGCACGAATCCTGTCGTTATGCCAGTCGGCTGTTTGTCGTTGCTCCGAAGTAAACCCATACGTGCTGCATACGGGAATCCTGTAAATCGTCGGCGTAAAATAGCCGGTGCAAGCAGCTAGTATATATTACGAGCGTCTTGCGAGGCTGATGTTTACAAGTGGTTAGATCGTGATAAAATAGGCAACGGTTTATGTACTGAACACGAGTTCCTATACGAGTGGGTGTTCGCACGCTAAGCCCTCCGTCCGTGGGCTGCCCTTCTCAGATCTTGCTCTCGCTAATCTGTGATCAGTAGTGTATCTCCACATGGCAACACTGTCAGCTTCGGGGCCGCGTAGGCTTTGGCCACCCTGCATGTCAGCCTCGCAAGCCTCCACGTTGCTTCGATGTAAGCTTTTGGGCCGCAAACTTTTGCCTTTCGGCGAAAACATACCGTGCAACGGTCATCCACGTACACACGTGTACATGAGCTTTAGCGTTGATCTTATCTGGATCTTGGTATTCGTTCTAGTCTTATCAACTTTGCCAAACAGTCTTGGATGTAGAGCGCCCTTTCGTGAACTACTTCGCAGCCTCGAGTGACTCTGCAATATGCTTTCGTTCATTAGGATTACCTTACCGCCCGTACAATTTCGATCAGTTCCTTCTCCTCTACCTAGGTAGTCTCATTACCACCTCTTTGAATCTGGAACGATCCAAATGAAACTCTTGTCTCCCCCAAACTGCACATAGATATTGCTTAACTTCAATCTTTTGGAGCAACCCTGTGACGCTCATAAACTTGTTGTCAAGTAGTAGCACTCGTCGAAACATGGAGCTTCACGCGTTCAAGTGCAGCGAACCTCCAAAACATCCAAAACCTACACATAACACGACCTCAGCCCTCAAAAACGCGCAAAATTAAGATCGCAAGAGTTGAAGACGTATGTACAGTGGTTTGTTGGCTTCTATAGGATTTACGGGTCGTTCCGGCTTTTGCGGCTTCTGCGCATTTTGCGGGTTTTGACCTAGGCACGATATAAACCACGAGAATAGAAGCACTCGAAGTAGAACCACTATCATTTACGATTCCATTTATCTCAAAAACACGCAATCACATCATCTTTCTCTCCCAGCAAGCTCAACTCTCGACCTGTTCTTCTGGCGGCATGGCCCCATCAAGCGAAGTGATAAAGATGCTCGTAGGCCAAGCATTTGGTAGGACTTGGGTTCCGGAAACCAATCTGAAGGGGAAAACAATCGTTGTGACAGGTGCGAATACCGGCCTTGGTCTGGAATGTGCGAAGCACTTGTACGTGGGTTCCCGCATCAAAAAACCATTGTAACTGACTTCAAGGTCTGCAGAGCTCGCAAAAACGCAGCTACCATCATTCTCGCTTGCCGCGACACGAAGAAAGGCCAAGCTGCCGTAGAAACAATCTATCGAGATACCTCTTGCACAGGCCACACCAATATCGAAGTCTGGGAACTAGACCTTGCCAGTTACCAATCTGTACTAGCTTTTGGTGAGCGAGTTCGCACTCAACTCCCCCGTCTCGATGCGTTCATAGCGAATGCTGGCATGGAATTGCAAGAGTTCAGGAAGGCAGAAGATCTCGAGATACACTTGACCGTCAACGTTGTATCAACCTTCCTCGGCGCCATTGCCGTCCTTCCCAAGCTCCAGGAAACAGCCAAGACGCATGATGTGCAGACTTCATTGACATTCTGTGGCTCAATGTATCATATCTTTGGCCCGGATGATGAATTTGACGCTGGCGTACCGGATGACAAAGACATGTTCGAAGAGCTCAGCGACCCTGTGAGGACGGACATCATCTGGCGCTATGCCTTGAGCAAGCTAATGGACCACCTTTGCTTCCATGAACTCATCAAAACGCTCTCGGAAAGTGCGACAGACTATTCCCAGGTGGTAGTGAACCTCATCAACCCAGGGTGGTGTGGCACTGAGCTGTCGCGCGCCAAACCACATCCCTTTGGAGAGCGAGTAGCTTTTGCGTTGATGGGCTGGACTGCTGAGAAAGGGAGTCGCGCCTATGTCCATGCAATAGTGGCGGGCAAGGAAAGTCATGGAAAGTACCTATCGGAGTGTCAAGTCAAGCAAGAGTCGCAGTTTGTACGGAGTGAAAGAGGTCGACACATTCAAGAGAAGGTATGGAAAGACTTGGTGAGCAGATTTGGCAAGATTTCTCCCGAGATTATGAGCTTCATTTGCTAGTATGGGTTTATATTTTATGAGCGTGTATCGCAGCGGAGACATGTAATTAAGGTGGCGAGAAGTTGATGTCTCGGACGAAGTTATCCCACGCCAGCCACGGTATCTCGTTTCCGTCTTCGTTATCGTTGTATTGAGGTCTGACATGATCTTCCAGACCTAAGAAAGGCACATTCAAATCATCTTCGTTCATACCCCAGTTTGAGAGATCAAACAAGTCATTGTTGGAGGTAGAAGAGCAGGTCTGCTCTGTCACAATCGGTACAGTAAAAACCGTCTCTGTTCCGATCGCGAGATTCTTGTTCCCAGCAGTATCTGGAGTCTGTCTCAATCTCTGTACCCGTCGCATTAGCTTCGCGATGGGCTTCCACAGCAGTCCAGACTCTGAATCCGCTACTAGTCGCGCATAATGCCGGAAACTTTGTTTTGCGATAATGTATGATCGGTCAGATGACGGTTCTTGAGGTCGTACCATCAGTTCCGCAAGCAAGACCGCAAGTGCATGCCATTGCACCCAGTTCTTCCAAGCCCAAGGCTGGAGCTCGACCGGAATAGGCTGGAGGTGCTGCTCGAGGACCTCGGTCGCGGATTTCATGATATCGAAGTCATCCCACGGAGGGACAATATTGTGTGGTTGTCTATAGGGTGGTCTTCGAGCCAGGAGTTGCATACTGACGATAATCTTTTGAGCTGACATTCTTCGGAGCATCTCCAGCGGGCTATCATAGCTATGAATATTGGTTCTTTCGCTCAGGATAGACGTCTTAAATTCGTTTAGCAGCTCGACCTTCTTAGTCCACTGTTCCCATCCATTTTGGACGCCATCTGAGATCTCGTACAATCTCCGTTGACATATCATTGCTTCATAGATCATGGCAGTATGCGACATGTCGGTAGGATACTGCAGGGAGGGTTGAATTGCCTTGTCTGTTGGGTGCATATCATCATCGTTGATGTTTAGTGGAGGTGCTCGGAAGGAGGTAGAAGGCAGGATAGGGATCGTACCGCGATCTAAGGCCGAATGGGTATCAAGGATCCCGATCGCAAAGAATAAGCGCTGACGTAATTGGAGATCGAATGGCGAAAAGTCTTTTGGGTCTTCCTCTCCAAGTCTCAACAGTGTAGCAGCACGCACGGCAACCGCAACAAGCGTCCATGTGTAGGCGCCGCTACAGCATGTTCTTAATCCTACCTAAGCCCTCTCATCAGCGTTCACGTATGTATCAGAAGCAGAACTTCGCGGAGATTGACGCACAAGATACACTACGAAAGTTTGTAGTGTAAAGACGTCTGGGCTTTGTAGTAGGTTCGATCGGACAAGCAATTCCTCTACAGCAGAGCGATAGTGTTGAAGCATATCTGATCTTACGCCCAAGCCCATCTCTTTTGCTTCAATATCGGTGATAGTACATAGTGACATGAAATATATAGCGAACTCCAACATACGCGCGGAGAAAGGAGGCGAGACATCCTGAGGCTGCGTATGACTTGCTCTGATGACTGATAACACCGTTGGCCAGTGAGTCATCTTATATACACTGTCTACTCGATAATGGTATAGATGAAGCAGTGTTTCTCGTACGTCCGGCGGGGGATCATCATAGGGATTGGCATAGCTCTTTGACCATTGAGGAAATAGTATCGCGTTTGTCGAGCATGTGTCTCCGGCAGCCTTGGCTGTGAGCTCAACGTCATGTGTATTTGCTTCATCTTCAGCGTCATCCTCTAATGCCTCTCGCAACCCGTGAACTTCGCTGGAGAGGGCACTCCAGAAATCCGGCGCTACGAAGTCAGCGATCTTCTCACTAGTTACACCCACAAGCCCATCGTTTCTCAAATTGCCAGTAACTGGAGCTTGATCTGATGTGGTACCCTGAATTGCTGTTTGCTTGGACTGCTGCTCCAGGAGGATCTCTATTCGTGCGACGCGTGCCGCAAGGTCCCTATTCGAAGCCGATCCCTTTGCCGTCTTGCCACGGGGTAGACGCGCCCGTTGCACAGCATGGCAACTGAGGCCTGAGTTCCGGCAAGCTGAACATGGAGCGCCTTTGTCGCATTTGATCTTTCGTGACTTGCACTGCTGACACGCTAGACGCGGAGGTGGGTTCATGCTCTCGCCCTGACGCTGGACGAATCGGTATAGACAACACGCGCGAATGCACACTAACGACTAGTTGAGTCAGTATTTTTCACGAACTCATCATCGGGTGTGAGTATGTTACGTGTGTTAATGTTGAAGAGTCAAGTGTGCTGGAGCGGACGTTACTTCCCATACCGTTATCGCCAGTTCCACAGGGGTCACAGAGGTGCGCCAGCCATCGCGCCTTGCCGTATTCGGCATAGAGCAAACATGGGATCTCGAACACACCTTCTCCATTTCCATTATAGCTGGAGCCCTTCACTTTACGGATTGCATTCGTCCAAGACGCTCGGAGACTACACGGATAGACGAGTCCAAATACTGAGCTTGCTGCCTGTCTTGCATCTCATATAACGCTAGCCATCCGGGCTACCCCATAGTACGCCTTCGCCTTCCGCCCTGGCCCACCCGTGGATGGGCCTCAAGCGCGCCGACTGCTAATCCGCTCCAAAATCGAGTACGATGGTAATCTCCCCTGAATATCCCGGCTTAGAAGTCAAAGTCTGTGTTGTTGGTCAGCAGTTGCATGAGTACGACGACGAAGATGCTACACTAAAGACAATCACCAAGTACATAGAAGCACGCTCAGACTGCAAGTTCGTGGTCACTGCTATCTTCCGGCCGCCGTTTTCGACTCGCTACCATGTCAGAGCGCAACTTTCGATTGACGGAGTCTCCGTAGCTAAAACATTTTGCGAACGAGAGAAGCTCCTCCAAAAACAAATCGAGATGAGTGGCCATCGGTCGCAACGAAATGGAGAATGGGTCAAACAAGACTTCTGCTTCGCCAAACTGAACATTGGCAAGTACCAGAAATGGTATGTTTCCGCTCGCTAACAGGATGCGCAGTCGAGGAGGCGCATGGGCCTGTCCCTAGTGCTGCTGTTTTGAAGCAGACTCTCAGTACTAAAGGACGTATCACCATAGCCTTTCAATTCATCGAAAGCTACCAAGATTTGGGACTAGATCCCCGACCACCCAGCAACAGACGCCATGAACTTGAAGCGCTGAAGGAAATCCCGGAGAAAGCACTCAAGGGTGACGCATTATCACATCAAGCAGTGTAAGTAAACGATGGGTGAAGCGCTACATAGGCAAAGGGCTAAATTTCCAAAGTTTGTCAGCGCCTCGAACATGCCATGCAGGATCCTTCTCATTTCCCGGGAGACACTATAAGTTCGTAGACCAGGAGCCTTTCGCGACTTTCCACTTCAAATATCGGTCACTTGGTGAGTCCTAATCACGTTCACACCACGGCACTTACTAACATCAATAACCTTTGAGCGAGCCTCAAAACACTTCGAATTCTCAAAATCACCGAGCCCACTTCTGTTCCTCTGGAAGACAGGCCCGAGGAGGACCTTACCCCAGCGGAGCTGAGAGAGCTACTGCGTCGCGTGCGACAAGTATGTATGCGCTGCAACTTGCTGACACCAGTACTAAAACACGAATAGCGAGAAGGAGAGAGCGAATCTATCAAGCAGGAAGTTAGTACTACTGCTAGAGTCAAGCGCGAAAGGACCATTGACGACAAGGATGATGTAATCTATGTTGAGACGCGACAAAGCAAACGTCCACGTATGGATCAGACCGTCATCATGATAGACTGAGAGCGAAACCTGTACCCGTCTTCACAATGGTGAGACCGAGGAAAGCATCGAAATATTAAAAGACGGCCCTATTCTGAACTTGCCACGAGGTGGAAGGATGTTGTTGCATTGTTGGCACGAGAATACGCGGGCTCTGGCATGATTGATGGACGCTGCCGTATACTGCCAAGGCAGTCCACATTGAGTTACTCTAATATTCGTATGTATGTACATGTGGTCGATCATACTAAAACATGTCTTTCGCGACAAAGAGGTCATGGTTGTGAGGCCTAGAGATCGAAAGTGTCGCCGAAGCGTGGACGACGATGTCACGCAGCTGGATCGAGGACATGCATCAACAATACGGGAGCTTGTGCTGGGCGATTGTATCCTCGACAGTTGTTGTACTTAGAGTTAAAGCTCGGAAAATAATCGACGGATTCCATCGACACAGTCGGGGGTAGGAGAGCGCACGATCCGGATAGATTTGTGTTTGACGAATGTCATTTTAGAACGTGGCGAACCTTCGCCCACTCACCTCAATTCGAGTAGCCCCGCTTTAGCCTTTGCTTCGCGCTTGCTGTAAGTGTACATTGACCTCTCACCTTCCCTCTCGCCTTCACTGTCACCTCTCTGCTTGCCCCACTTGATGCCACATCTGTGCTCGGTCAGATATCCTGCTACCTTTGCAACCTCTCACTGCCGAAGCGTTTTACCACGCCGAGAGTGAGCAGCCCACAGTATCACTATGGCGATTCATAGCGACTATCCCGGTTTGACGGTACAGATCATATGTGGTGGCAAGCCTATTGAGGAACACGTGAATGAAGAAGACGAGGAGCGGGATGAGCCTAAGACTACGACACGATACGTCGAGTGCCAATCAAATACGGAGTTCGCAATTAAGACTACCTTCAGGCCACCCTTTGCTCCGCTGGATTTGGCAATACACGTTCATCTAGATGGGATCAAAGTGAACGGACTGATAGTACACAAGCACCAGATGCTAAATGAAACCTACGTTAAGTCAGCGACCAAGTGGAAAGAAGGCCAGAAATGGCGGGCGTCTAAATTTGTCTTCTCAGACCTCAACGTGGGTAAGTAACTCTTAGTTAAAGTTACTAAACGCCATAACACGATGCTGACACATCTCCAGTACAAGAAGATAGTGAGACATTAGCGGAAAAAAATATGGATGCACTGAGTCAAGTGGGCACAATCTCTGTTGTGATTACCCCAATTCTGAGCATGCTGAAAGAACGAAGACCAAAAGGCCGGAAGCGAGAACTGAAAGAGTTTGGAATGATCTCCGAAGAAACTGTTAAAGGTGATGTGCGTTCCCATGTAATAGGGTACGTTCATATCCAAGATTTCATTCAACGAAATGCTAAAGAGACGTGAGGCTTGCACCAGCTCTAGCCATAAAAGCGCCCAATAAGTACAGTACTAAAGAAGCTAAAGAGCCTTTGGTAACGTTTCGATTCAAATATCGTTCGATCGGTAAGTCATCACATTTCACTAGCTAGATTTGAGACTCACATCGCAGCAGCCGCACTCAAATCTCTCGGCATCGTTTCTCGCTCACTAAGCCCCTCTCAAGATACACAACCGGAGTCAATCACGAAGGGAAATACAACCAAATTATCTCCAGATTGTTGCCACCGCGATACTTCATCTATCGTCACTTCCCAGGCAGAGACTGCCAGTATCACGCCAGGTCTACTCCAACAAAGCCCCACTCCCATCAATCAACGCATGCAGTCCGGTCTTACGAAGAAAGACATACTGGTCTTGATCAAGCATTATCGCGGCAGTAGTGCTGGTCTAGAGGGTCTTCCAGAGAAGGATCTCGCCATCTTGCTCAGCTCTTACCGGGTAAGTGCTAAAAGAGGCAATTTTACACTGATACTAATACAACCTAGGGTGATAAGCCAAATGAAACCCCCATAAATCAAGAACCTGTCCTCTCTGAAAGCAGAGCACGCATCAAGCGTGAGCTTGTTGGGGACAGCGTTGCCCGTGGAAAAGGAAAGAAGCGCAAGGTGGAAATCATAGTTTTGGATGACTGAGCCATATGGATGTCCAACGGAGAAGCCTCCGCTAGGATGTAATCCTTACACTTATGCGAAGATAGAACATTTCGAGAGTTTGATGTCTCATGGTATCCAGTCGCTGAATAAGAGTTGCCTTTGGGTTTGAAGTCGGGAAAAAATACGGACAAATGTCGAAAAGCAGTCAAGGGGAGATTGTAGTAAGCTTCCTCCAAACGGAACATGAAGCGTCCTGTAAGAATGCAAATCACCACAAACGACATGTATCTATTCCTAAGTTGATCTGGTCTTCATGTTACCTTTTCCAACTCTGCAATCTACCAACGGGCAGCCGTCGCAGTAGGAGTAGCATATGTTTCGCTCCAACTCGCGGTGTACTTTGAGCTCCCCACGATCGTCTGACTCTTGACATCGGCAAACGTCGCGCTCGTAACCACGCTATCAGTTCCGATCCATGTGCTCCATGCAGTCGCCGTTGTAACGCCCGTCACGGGTCCGACAGAAACTGCAGTGGTCTCAGGCCAAGCACCAGACCATACAGTAGGTCCAGGGATGACGTAGTCGGTAACGCAGGGAGTGGTGGAGGTTTTTGGCTTCTTCGTCTCAGTAGAGCAGTATACCTGTACCTATTAGCGAACAAACTCAACGTCAGAGCTTGGATAGACGGGGCCTCACGTTGTGTACGACACCAGGATCCTCGTAAGAGTACGCTCCTGGAAAGCTTACACCCTCGGGTAACTCAACCTCGCCATCGCCTTCGACCAGTATCTGAACGCAGTCGGGATAGAACTGTGCGCCTCTCTTTGGGTTTTGCACGTAGCTCACGTCACCCTCATGTAATCCGACCATCTCAGCGCGGATGATATAATGGCCGGCCTTCAGACCTTCAGGCACCCGGACATTCATATGACCAAAGTGCTTCGCAATGTCGCTTGTAGTACTCCACTTGCCAGCTTGTGGAAAGGGATTGCTTTCGTATTTTCCGGAGTGCCAAAGCTTGACGAAGGAGTTCTCTGTAGGTGGATCAGGCGAGATATAAATTAGTGAAGGACCGTGATGTGAGTTGGCGATCACATCGTCGGTGTCGTTGCGTATCTCGTGGTGCCAGTCGAACGTAAGGTTATCTCCAGGCTGAACTTTGATAGTGTCGTGGGCTTGAATATCACCCATGACGTTGCATCGCATGTCAATGGAGTCGAGATCCTTGACAGGCGAATTGTTGTAGCCGCCCTTGCCATTCTGGCCATTGTACGCAGGAATTCGGACGCCCTTGAACGTGCCTTGATCTACACCGTTGACGAAGACACCCTGAAGGAATTAGTAATGCGACCTGATAAGCTTAGTTCGGAATGAACATACCCAAATGAGAGTATGAGCACACGCCTGACCTGTAAGGAGCGAGAGGAGAAGAGCAGAAATGCGAGCCATGATGCCTGATTCTAGCAATGACTAGACCTAAAAAGCACAGAACACGATGTGTGAAGAATACTACGGACATGGCGAATACATATATATCCAAGTGTCCGATGCTTCATACAGCACGTCGGCAGGTGATGAGGCTAGTGTATTGCAATGCAATATACCCGATCGGCCCCAGATTGTTAATCTATCATGACTTCGGGAACGTCCAAACACAGCTGCAGATCTGGAGGTTCCAGCGGGAACATCGGACGTGTCTCCGACAGTGTGTTAGTGAAACCATGGACCGCATTCGATGGTCGGGGTTGACAGATGTGTTGTTATATGGACTACACGAAGCCCAATTACTTCACTACCGTCGGCCGCTTCTAGCAGACTCAATATGGGGACGTTCTCCTATGTAACAAATTGCTTGAACGCGAACGCGATGGCATGAATGCTTGCTGCTGCCAAACGGTATAGCCTGATCGCAAAGGACCGTTGTCACCAGGTAACAGTACTTGGACATGTCTCGGTGCGGACTGGGTGCCAGTAAGCATGCTATCCAGAGAAGAGACGAGTTCTCATCTCAATTGCGATGTGATCGATCACCTCAAGGCTACAGTCGACAGAAATGTATTGTTACTTTCAGCGACTGTGGTTATCCATGGGTTATGTAGATGTTGATAAACACATCGAGTAGATGATACGCACTACAGAACAATCGCCTGGAGCCTCTCCCCTAACGAAAGACTCATTGTACTCTTTCAACGCAACGTTGCACATTGATGGATGTGACCTCTGCTGATTCCCAACCTATCAGTATACTCAGAATGAGTTTTCCAGATCGGGCGCCCAGCCATGGGTCTAAATCTCTTCTACGCGCAGCGCGAAAACAGGTTCATTCATTGAAGAAATGGGAACCTGCCGTTAAGTAGTGTTTGGTTGCTGGCGGTGATGAAGAGAAGAAGAGGGAGAGCGAGGAAAATCGCGGTTTTGAGGCTGGCGCAGAGCGGAGCTTCGGTGGCGCTAAACCCGATCGAGAGCGCTAGGGCAAGAACATCTGGCCGCATCGCCAACTGTGGTATCCACGCATGTTCAAGAGTGTGAGCTCTTAAGACGTTGCAATATCGTGCACTTGTTGCCTTGAGGGAGGGACAGTTGACACATTTCGATTCATTGCTGTATACAATTACAGCTCCACGCCCGCGACTGCCACATTTCACACCGCCCCGCCAAATCAATCTCCCATCGTGGGCGCCCTCGGTCCCTCCACCACCAACTCTCTACAGCCCTCCACCACCACCCCAATACCTTCTCGAGTAGCGCGAAAAGCTGCAGCCGCCCAGTATGGCCGACTTTGAGACGCTCAAGGATCAGTGGAGCGATATCGAGGACAGGGATGGCGTCCGTCTCAGTTGGAACACGTTCCCCAGCTCGCGCATGGTACGATAGAGAGCCGGTTGTCACCATGGACTCGAGATACTGATTCGGCACACAGGAAGCTTCTCGTCTCGTCGTCCCCATCGGTGCCCTTTACACACCTCTGAAAGAGAAGACGGATACTCCGCTACTCCAGTATGCGCCTGTCGCGTGCAGAGCGCCATGCAAGGCCGTCCTCAACCCCTACTGGTATGCCCTGAGCAGTCTCTGATAGCTGTGCTCGAGCTGACAGTCACGCAGCCAAATTGACATGCGCGCACGTATCTGGATATGCCCCTTCTGTTTGAACCGCAACAATCTTCCCCCGCACTACAAGGACATCTCAGAGCAACAGATACCGCCCGAGCTGCACGCTGGCAGCACCACGATCGAATACCGACTCCCTCAGCCCGTATTGACCCCGCCCATCTTCATTTTCGTTGTAGACACATGCCAGGAGGAGGACAGCTTGAAGGCGCTCAAGGACTCAATCATCATGAGCTTGAGCCTGCTCCCCGCATACGCCCTCGTCGGTCTCATCACATATGGTACAATGGTAGGTATAGGAAGATGATACTGGATGTTCTGTACTGACAGTTGTAGACCCAAGTACACGAGCTGGGCTATACCGAATGCGCCAAGTCGTATGTTTTCCGCGGAAGCAAGGACTATTCCTCCAAGCAAGTCCACGAGATGCTCGGACTTACTCAGATGGCTCCCCGACCTGGTGTCCCCCAGCAGCCTGGCCGACCACCTGTGCCACCCCAGGGTGGTGCTGGCACGCGCTTCATCCTACCCGTGTCGCAATGCGAATTACAATTGACCAACGCTCTCGAGTCGATTCAACGGGATCCTTGGCCTGTCGCGAACGACAAGCGCCCTCTGAGGTGCACCGGTGTGGCACTTAGCGTTGCTGCTGGACTCTTGGAGACAAACTTCTTAAACACTGGCGCCCGTATCATGCTGTTCAGTGGTGGCCCAGCCACCGAGGGCCCTGGTATGGTCGTTGGACCCGAGCTGCGCGAGCCCATCCGATCGCACCACGACATCGATCGCGACAACATCAAATACTACAAGAAGGCGCTGAAGTTTTACGAGGGACTTGCGAAGCGCGTTTCCCACAACGGCCACATTGTAGACATTTTCGCTGGATGTCTGGACCAGGTTGGTCTGCTTGAAATGAGGGGCCTTGCGAACACCACCGGTGGACATATGATTCTGACCGACAGCTTCACGTCGTCCATGTACAAGCAATCCTTTGCGCGAGTGTTCAACAAGGATGCCGATGACAATCTCCTCATGGGCTTTGGCGCCAATTTTGAGGTGTTGACAACAAAGGAGTTGAAGATCACTGGTCTTATTGGACACGCTGTGTCGCTGAACAAGAAGTCTGTCTCCGTTGGTGAGACTGAGTGTGGTATCGGAAACACATGCGCATGGAAGATGTGCGGTATCGATCCTGAGTCCTCTTACGGTATCTACTTCGAGATTGCTAGTCAAGGCGGACCAAACCAGATGCAGGCTGGACAGCAGCAGGCTCTGATTCAGTTCCTCACATACTACCAGCACTCCGCTGGCCAGTACCATCTGAGAGTGACCACTGTCGCCCGCCCTCTGAGTGGTCCTTCCGGTGACCCTGCCATCGCTCAGTCCTTCGACCAAGAAGCTGCTGCCGTCCTCATGTCGAGGATAGCAGTCTTCAAGGCTGAGGTTGACGATGGTCCAGATGTCCTTCGATGGGTTGACCGCATGCTTATCCGATTATGCGCTCGCTTCGCTGAGTACAGGAAAGACGACCCGTCGTCATTCAGGTAAGCATACCTGTATTCCGAGAAGTGGAGTCCTTACTTCTCCTCTTCTGTGTCCATCTGCTTCAATATCGAATACTAACTATTGAACCAGGCTCGAGAAGAACTTCACACTATACCCGCAATTCATGTTCCATCTCCGTCGGTCACAATTCTTGCAAGTCTTCAACAACTCGCCTGACGAGACCGCTTTCTACCGTCATGTCTTGAACCACGAGGACGTTAGCAACTCCCTGATCATGATTCAGCCAACACTAGACAGCTACGGCTTCGATCACGAAGGCGGCCAGCCCGTGCTGCTCGACTCCAGTTCGATCCAGTCTGAGACTGTCTTGCTGCTTGACACCTTCTTCCACATTCTCATTTTCCACGGCGAAACAATGGCCGAGTGGCGGAAAGCTGGCTACCAAGAGCAAGAGGGTTACGAGAACTTCCGAGAGCTTCTGGAGGCACCGAAGGAGGATGCCAAGGAGCTCATCCAGGACCGATTCCCATTGCCTCGATTCATCGTCTGTGACGCCGGCGGTTCGCAGGCGCGTTTCTTGCTCAGCAAGCTCAATCCCTCGACAACGCACACAACTGGCAGCTACGGAGGCGTTGCGCAAACAGCTCAGACCATTTTCACCGACGATGTCAGTCTGCAGACCTTCATGGACCATCTGATGAAGCTCGCCGTTTCAGGCACAGGCTAGATACGTACTGCCTTGTGAAAGCAATTGTCATCAATCGCGTAGCGGCGGGGCAAAAGAGGAATTGTATGTGTGGTCTTTGTGTTACATCATTAGCGAGAAATGAAATCCTTGAATGTCCAAATACCTTCCATCTCGACTTGTAACTATGATATGCAAATTTGCTCAAAATAGTAGTTCCTGAACATCAAGCTTAATTTCGAGTATAATATATTATCATAGCCCTTGCTCGTCTTTCACAAGATATCCCTGTTCGCGTCTACAGCTTACTAAGATCAAAGTCCTTGGCTTCACTACCACTGACATGCTCTTCTGCGAGCATCTTTCCTGTACCCGGAATCTGAAACGGCTCTGCAGGCTGTACAAAAGCAATGAACCTACAAGGCTCAGTCTCAGACGTGTTGTGCCATTTATGCATAGTACCGCGCTGGATAATATGATCCTAACTCAATCTGTCAGCACTGCGTTCGCAACAGCAAAATTCCACGTTCTTCAACTATCTGCAAAGAAAACGCGAGCATGAAGACACAGAGAAGCAAACGAAACGTACCCCGGGGTTCAAATTCACCATCTCTCCTGTGGCAGTCTCCAATTTTACCTTTCCATGCGTGCAGACTACGTAGTCGATGGATACAGTTTGGTGCATCTGACTGGCTTGTCCGGGGCCGAGTTCGCAGACAATGAGGTGGGAACCCGATCCATTGGATACGATAGAGCGGCCGGTGTAACTGACGTCTCCTTCTTTGGATGTGTATGCCTCGATATCCTTGTCGCCCTCAAGAGTGGCTGGGGTGGAAGACGTGGCATCTAGTTATAAAGCCTTGCATCAACAGCTGGTCTTGTATTTGCTATGGTGGGAAACAAGACGAAGCGTTGAGACTCACATGATCGAGCTGTTCCACCGACACCTGGGTAGCCGTAGAATTGTAGCGCTGGGCTTGAGTGGATAGTGCTTTTGCCCTGCTCGTTGTGCGTGATGATGTAGCGTTTGGCTGGAGGTAGTGATGTGATGGACTCGTACATCTCCGATGAAGCAAGGCGTGCGTCGTTTTCCGCCATTATTGAGAGGTGGTTTCGAAAACAGATGGAAGAAGCTGGATGCGATGAGGGGTAAGTAGCGAGAATTCCTTGACGAGGTATCTGATGTTAGCAATGCAGAAGTGATGGTGATGTTCGTGTCATATGTACTTTTCTCTTATAGAGTAACGCTTCCAGTACCTACTCAGAAGCGACTACAGCTAGCCGTAGACTTTCTGTCTGCAGGGCGAGATCTGATGTAAGCGCGGGATATTGTTGCGCTCCTTCTGCATGAGGCTTAGATGTGGACCAAAGATAAGGCTGAAGTACCCACCTGTGGAATACACGTCAATCATGTGGATAGCTATTGAAAATTGCAAGAAATGTGCCTTTTGTAGACCAGACATGGTTGGTAGATTGTTGCATTGGTATGGACACACTAAAACCATGTTTTGTCTACTTGAACGCCCGGCTCATCGAAAAAGCTGAAGAATAGTAATCGTAAGCAGCCACAACCATTAAACATATACAATGAAGTTGAACTATTCATTGCTCATCTGACGTCAGCGCTATTAGGCTTTGGCCTTTTTGGCCGCCTTCTTTGGCTTGGCAGCGGCCTTCTTCTCCTCAACTTCCTCAGCAATAGGCTCAACAACGACCTTCTCCTTCTTGGCCCGCTTGCTCTTAGGTGTTGCTTCCGGAACAGTCTCCTCCGTAACGGCGGCAGCCTCGAGTGCGACATCTGACTTGCGCTTGCTGGTCCTCTTAGGCTTCTTGTCTGCAATAGGTGCAGTGGGTTCAGCAACCTCCTCAGTTGCGGCCTGAGCGGGTTCAACAGCCTTCGCTTTTGGGCCCTTCTTACCCTTCTTTGCGGGTGCAGGGGAGACAGCCTCGACAGCCTCTGTGACCTCGACAACCTCTGTGGGCTGAGGCTCTACTTGAGCCTTCGCACCCTTCTTGCCTTTTTTGCCCTTTGGTGTGGTAGTCTCCTCAGTAGCTGCCTCGGTAAGAAGCTGCTTGGGCTTCGCAGGCTCGAGAGTAGTGATGCTAGTGTGCTTGGGAACACTGTCGATAGTCTTAAGCGCCGGTGCTTCGAACTCGTAGTCGAAGGTCTCTTTGAGCTGTTTAGCCTTGCTTGTCCTCCTCTTGTTCTCGTTTTCGATGCGCTTTCCCCATTGCTCTCGCCCGACGCCACGCTCCATCTCGAGACCGGCCTTTTTGTTGCGGGGGTCGACCTTGAATCGCTCGTTGGCACCTTTGAAGAGATCTGGGTGTACCTGCTCATTGGGGATGAGATGAACTTTGAGAATGTGGCCGAACAGCAAGTAGTTGTTCATGGTTCGCGCGACGATGTCGGCGACTTCTTGTGATTGGAACTCGACGAAGGCAAAGTGCTTGGAGGCGCCAGTCTTCTTGTTGCGCGACAGACGTAACCGGTTGACTTTGCCAAACTGTGAGAAGTACTGCTTCATCTGAGGTTCGAAGAAACCACGAGGCACGCGACTAGACGAAGTATTAGCAAACCATAGTGTACAATGAAGTGGTACACATACCCAACGTAGAGAACACCAGGCTCGTTGGACTTGGGAGCAGCCTCTGCCTGCTTGATCGCTTTCCGCTGTTTTGCGCTAAGTTTGGGAACCTTTGCGGCCTCGTCAAAGTTTTCGTCTTCGTCAGCATCATCCGAATCGGAATCGCTGAAGCCAGCGAGTAGAGCTGCGGTCTGGTCGTCTTCGGCTGCGTCGTCTGCGTCGTCTTCTACTGCTGTGACCTCGGTAACCTCTACCTCGGGTTCAGTCGCTTCTTGCTTCTTTCCACCCTTGGTCTTCTTTGGCTTTGCGACAGTGGTGGTCTCCTCGACTACAACAGCGACATCCTCGACAGGTGCGGCATCCGCTGCCTTTCCCTTCTTAGAGGCCTTAGCCTTGGGCTTGGGAGCCTCTGCTACGACAGTCTCCTCTGCGACTACGGTCTTGCCCTTCTTTGCTTGCTTCTTGGGCTTCTCTTGTACTTCGGCGACCTCGACTACCTCGGCGACAGGCTCGGCCATCTTAACATCGACATCAGCAGCGGCCTTGCTCTTCTTGCCCTTCTTTGGCTGGACAGGCTCGGCAACGGCGACGGGCGCAGCCTCTTCTTCAATGTCCATAAAGTCGGCAGCTTGTTTACGCGCAGATTTCCTGGTTGGCTTGGCTTCAACGGGCGCGACATCGTCCGACTTTCTGGGCTTCTTCGCCTTTGGCGCCGCCTCTGATGCGACTGAGATGGGTTAGCAAGCATATCCAGGATTTATTCTCGTCGCAATTGCTCACCCTTGCGCTTCTTTCCCTTGGTGTCGTCGGCAGCCATGTTAAATTCCTGTAATTGCGTGAGGTTTGTGTGGTCGCGAATGTTGTTACGCGCAAAAGTTCGGAGGAGAGCTCAGGCGCGGGAACTTTTTTCGAGGGCAGTCGCGCTAGCGGACACTTGCCAAGATAGTCCCCCAGCCTTCACCATCCACCTGCCATTTTATACACTCGCGCTACGTCAAAAGATATCAACTATACCAACACTCACTAAACACTGTGTTGTCAGTTTCTCGGGCTGACTGTTTGGCTTGCTCTACTCGCCACCAAATTACTCTAGGTCCGACCAACATGGCGCCCGTCGTAGATATGAGCGACAAGAACGCGTGGGATGATTCTCTACTGATCGATTCCTGGGATAGCGCGGTTAATGAGTATAAAGTAAGTCTCCATGAACCACCATTTCGTGATCTTTGGAGGATATCGACTAAACAGAATAGAAATATCACAGCATCCACCAATCGGGTAAGAAGCTCGAAGACGTCCTAACTGAGGAGGAGCTAAAGGAACTACGGGCGTAAGTAGCTTCTAACGCTGTACGTGATGATGCTGACGTTTGTAGGGACTATGGAGACTTGATGGATGGAGCGGAGACGGCATCGGCAGCAGCAGAGACTAACGGCGTCGCGGATCATGAAGATGTCGATACGCCAATGTCAGAAACCAATAGCGTTGCTCAGGCAGACCAAAGCGGTCCGTCGCCGCAGCAGGTACGTGGACATGCGAAACAGTCGAGTACCGAACCCTGTCTTACAAGAACCAGGAACCAGATCTCTCCGGAGAGCAAGAACCGCAGATCCAATCGCCAAGGGCTGAGGCTCCTCCGGTGCCACATGCTGCCGGAAGTCTTGCAGGTGCCATGCCGCAGGCCATTCTTGGAACAGGTAAGTCTTGATTTTGACAGCCGTTGCTTCCGGACGATGTGGGGAGCTTGACAGTTGATGACATGCTGACTGTGTACAGTGCAGGATGAGAATATGAAGAACATTATGATGTCGTGGTATTATGCCGGTTACTATACTGGCCTGCATGCTGGACAACAGCAGGCTCTCAAGGAGCCCCCATCAACACAGTAGCAGATCCACAGAATGACGACTCTTGAAAGCATTTTACGTCAAACTGTGGCTGCCCAGCGCGTTTGGAAGGCACAGTAGACACTTCGAGGCTTGAATGTCATTATTTTAAACCAATGGGGTGAGAAACCTCATGGTCCAGCCCTTGTACGCGACTGACCACCTATACAGGTTGTGCCTCAAAACTTCGGGAACACAGGCTGCGAGATGAAAGCTCTGCAGTTCCTTCATGCGGCTGGCGAGTTCCCAGCCCCATCGCTCAGGCATCTTGAATAGTTGTGTCCCTGCACTTATAGCCTTGGTGGTTCATAGATTACCGAATCGGGCGGAAGCGAGACAGATCTGCGACACCACCGCGACAGTCTCGAACCCACCTCCAACGGTTCGAGCATCAAACACCCCCGCCGTTGCGCCCAGCCAAGTGCGCATCACCAAAATCTCGCCATTCTTGCAGGCGATCAACGTTTCTCCCAGTGCCATGCCGAGAGCAGGGGGCTGGTGTTTCGCCATGTGCGCGACCGGCCTGCAAGCTCTTCAGTGTCAACAATTTCATGCGTGGATTTAAGGAATAGAATATCCCCAGGCATAAACTTTCTCCTCATCTCATCGCTCTTGCCTCATAATACCAGTGCTCCACTCTCTTTCTCTTACTTCATCAGCTTCTTATTGTCCGAGCCGGCCCTCGTAGTGCCCTTTCAATCCTTCAACCTTCTATCGTACATTCTAGTGCTTGCAGCGCAGGCTTACGTTCACTTTTACGACACTTTACACGATACGCAATCTAGTCATAATGAAGTACTTCACAGCACTACCCTTGGCAGCCGCGCTTGCATCCGCCGAGATGCAGGTCATGAGCCTTGCTCCTGCCGCCGCGACTGGCGCGATGACACACACTGTAAGCGCATCCTCGAGCCCTATTATTGAGCTTCATTTAACAAATTGTAGGTCGTCGTTGGTGGAATGAAGCCTGTTGCAACCGGCATGGCGCCCGTTCTAGGATACAGCCCCGAAGCCATCAAGGCCGCTGTCGGCGACATGGTCATATTCGAGTTTATGCAGAAGAACCACACTGCCACCCAATCAACCTTTGCTGAGCCCTGCAAGAAAATGGAGGGAGGAATGGACTCTGGCTTCATGCCCAATCCCGAGGGCAAAGCCGGCGTCACATGGAACATGACTGTTGAGACAACAGACCCGCTTTGTAGGCTTTCCACGTTTATCGAGAAGGTGTAACAAAGACTAACATTATCAAGGGTTCTACTGCAAGCAACAAAACGGTATCCATTGTGGAAAGGGCATGGTATTCAGTATCAACGCTGCCGAGACTGGCGACAAGACCATGGCCGACTTCAAGGGTCTTGCCATCAAGACCAACGGTACAAGCCTCGTTGCAGGCGACCTCCAGTCTGTTGACCCCAACGCCGCTGCCGCCCCTACTACCGTCACCATTGAGGCTGGAGGTGCCGCCGCGACTGGAACCGGCAGCAGTGCTCTCGCTTCCGCCACCGTTGTTGCTGGACAGGGAACAGATGGTGCTGGTCAGACTTGCTCATGCCAGTGCCTATGCGGTATGGCTTCTTTCCCCGAGACCGCAGCCATCAACAATTTCGGTGGATTCCCCGGCATGATTGCCTAAACGCCCTCACGACGAAACTTGGAGAGACGGTAATGAGGAGGATGGATCGACTGGGTGTATGCGTCTGGTTGGTCTTGGGTGGTGGTCGAGAACAACATTCTTATGACGGATTCGGCAAAAACGCTTCTGGTTTAGCATTTGTCCGGATTCTTATACCATTTTTATCATTTGCTGGGGCGTTTCGCATTATACCGTAATCCACATGCTGCGATGATTGCCGCGCGGTGGTGCTATTTAGGACTTGATTGCAAAGATGTAAACCTTTAGTATTAGAGCTAGATCCAAGAGATCGCACTTTCAAACTCTATGTTTTCCCTCAAAAATTTTGTTGGTACTTTACTGGTGTTATTCAGCTGTGACAAAATATTCTGTGTCGCATGGGAAACTAGGCGCAATGGGTTTCTCACGGCGTTCAAAATCAGAAATCGGTGTATTCGGTATATCGAAAATCAACCCAAGCACACTCTTTCGCCTTCTAATCCAAACCCAAGAAACTCCGCTCCCATGATGACAGGCTTCTAAACAGGTTGACCTGCGACTGTGGCGTGTCAAACTGTTGTCGTTATCGCGTTGCACATCTTGTCTGACCGCTCATTTCTTAGCGCCCTCAGCAGCCTTCTTTGCCTCAGCTACACAAGGAGTCAGCATCGGATTGTTACACACAGCGCATACTCATTTCAAGTCTGTGCAGGCTTAGAATGCGACAATGGTAACTCACCGGCAGCTTGCTTAGCACGCATGATCTCCGCTACGTTCTCCTTGGTGCGTGCGAACTCGGTACCGGATTGCTGCAGCCTGTGATCAGCCAATATCCTTCAAAACCCCTATAGACAGCTTCTCTCATATGCACATACAGTGTTCTTGCCTTTCTATTCATTAAGTCAGCGGATGATTCTTTGAAGAAAACCACGGCATGTGTAGCTGCGCGTGGTAAAAACAGCGACAGAACATACCTTTCCGGCCTGCTCCTTGAGGTTCTTCTCCCGAGCCTTGTCGCGCTGGTTGCCACGAGCCATTTTATCGTCTTTTTCGAAGGTGATGCACGTAAAGTTTCCCGAATTTGTCTCTTCGGGCTGGTTGTTGCAGCGTGCGAGGTCTTGACTTGGAATACTCCTTAAGGGCGCTGAGGAAATTAGAGGTTTGGGTAGTCAGCGGCGGAAGTTCTGATAAAAATAGCGCGTTGTTTGTTTCCGCTGGCCAATCGATGGCAGGGCAAATCACGGGCTAGAACGTGTAAGGGGAAGCCGCGATTCGGGGTTTCTTCGCCACGTGCATGGACCTTCACGATCTTCCTTTTTCATCGAGATCGCTGTTTACTTTTGCTTATAGTACCCATTGTTGCACCGTTGTGGACTTGACGTCCGTTGTTCTGCATATGCTCCCTGCTGCTGTTGGCCTGGCACGAGCAACTTCTGATTCTGAAAATGAGCCACTCTGTATCATAACCCAGCACCACCAATGTTTACTCTTCCCTGTGATCACATCTCGCAAGCTCAAATATACGACAAAACTAGGCTACATTTCACGAACTAGCCTGCATCGTGCGAATCGCAATGCACATCAGGCGGCAGTGGCTACTGTTAGCACGTTCAGCGCCCCGCATAAGGCTGAAGGTTGACTTCGGCAGCGGTACTCTACAGCCCGCTATTTGCGCCAATAATTCTGAGATAAGTTGGGCCGCCAGCTGTATAAGAAGGCTGCACAGGCTTCTTTACATAGCCTCTCCTTCTATGTCTCTAGGCATCAGCCCTCTGTCATAGCACTCTTTGAATCTTTACTGAACTATGTCGTTCACAATCGTCCTATGATATTTGTCTGACGCTTGTCGTGGTAGATTAACGCAACTCGAGAGTTGCGACCGCAGTGGAGATGGCCCAGTACGTCTATCAGCCTTTGAATGAAAGCAACAGCGAAATCAGGCTGGTAACGTTGCTACCTTCATCGGATCGAGACAGCGAAGTGATCTGCGACCTCAAAATTGTTCGACTTACAAAAGAGGACGCCCCACACTACATAGCACTATCGTACACCTGGGGTTCCGCAGAATCGCCTACGAGGCTTCGAGTCTCGTCAGAAGATGATCACAGTATCGACATTACCAGAAACCTTGCAGAAGCTTTACCGTATCTTCGCGATCGTGTTTCACCCAGAACACTATGGATCGATAGCATTGCTATCAACCAAAAAGATCTAGCGGAGAGGAGCCAACAGGTCCAGCGGATGGCTGATATCTACAGTTTAGCAGCGGGAGTGATTGTTTGGCTGGGCAAAGACGACGCCAGCAGTAAGGTGGCTATGAAAACGTGCATGATCCTTGGTACCAAGGTTGAGGTTGAATTCAACGGAGAAAAGAAACTGAGAAGCCTGACTGATGAACTGGATGATGCTCATTGGGTCGACATGAGACAACCGCTTCCGTACGACTTCGCAACATGGCAGGCGATCCTAGATTTTCTGCGCCGACCGTGGTTCCATCGCCTCTGGATTTGGCAGGAAATAAGTCTAGCCAAATCGAACGCTGTCATTATGTGTGGCACCGACACGATGCTATGGAAACGACTCCGCACATTGCTAGATTGTATTGCCTATAAGCGCTGCCTAATTCCATTTGTAGGCGATGAGACTGAAGACGCAAGTGTGTTCGTGTCGAACGCGTATAATCTAGCAAGGGGTATGGAAGTTTCGCTTTTGGATCTGCTTGCATACATGCGACATGCTCAATGTCACGATCCACGAGACCGGGTATACGGTATCTTAGGATTATCATTCAAGATTGGCACGGGAACAGACCTACGACCCGATTACAGCAAGCCAATAGTGGACGTGTACATGGACCTTATGATGGCCTCGATGCAGAAGTTGAAACGTCTTGACTTGTTGTCCCTATGCAGATACGAGGAAACGAGAGGAAACTGGCCATCCTGGATACCTTATCTCATGGACTTGGAAAAGGGGCGTCGCATACCCTCGTTTGCGTCTGGGAAGTCATGCTGTGAGGTAGAACTGCTGGAAAACAGGATACTGCGGATGACCGGAATACGTCTGAGTCAAATCACCATGGTAGATGAGTTTGATGCGTCTTATGAAAACGCTGAATCTGCGATCCGACGGTGGGCGAATCGTTTAGATATGGCTTCCGATTACGTCGATGGCAAATCTCTTGCCGAAGCATTGTGTCTTGCCATCTGTGGAGGTGACCTGGCAGACTACCATGTGCCAACTCTCAAGTCACATCCAGGCCTAGCGTCATCGGTAGCAGTGCTTAAAAACACTGTGCAGCCTGAATTCAGTACGGCTGTCACGGATTGGGATAAGAAGGACTTCTTCCACCACGTGTTCACCATGTGCAGAGACCGAGCACTCTTTACAACGTCCTCTAATCACATCGGTATATGCCCTAAAGATACCCGCAAGGGTGACCAGATTTGCGTATTACTTGGATGTGATGTCCCAGTAGCCATACGTTCAGACTCGAATGGGCATTACAAGATAATCGGAGATAGCTACGTGCCCGGATTCAGCAGCAATGAAGGGTTCGTAGGACCTCTACCTAAAGGTTATAGAGAGGTGCAACACTATAACGCTCAATCAGGGATGGACTATTGGGTCTACCTGGATTTGGAGACTGGGAAGATTCAGGTCGGAGATCCAAGGCTGGGTGATGAGCTACCTTCAGGTTGGCAGCGAGTCACTGATATTGAAGGGCAATTCTGGGAAGAATACGTCCATGATGGCGCGTCGAGTACGCGGACATATCTTGATCCTAGGTTGACGAAGCCGGAGCTACTTAAGCGCGGAGTACCGCTAGAAGATATTGAGTTTTCGTAGGCGACGAATTTCAGGAATGTTGAACAAGTGAGTTCCTAGCGCTCGAGGCTGTTACGAATCCCCACAATCTGTGTTGTGAAAATACAGATGGTGTGAAGGTAGGGCCCGTGATGCGAAGCACGTGAAGGAAAGAGTCGCGACAAGCGGGGCTTATCTGTCAGACTACGCGCTAAGCGAGACCCTGATCAAAGTGATCGCGCTCTCCCGCGCTAATTATGTGCAGAACATTTCCCCTCGCTTCTACACCAACATATCCACTCGATCCACCACCATGCCTATCTCCAAGAAGGACAGAGTACGTTGAATACCAAACACTGGCTGCTGCTGATGTGATATACTGACATCTTAAAAAGATCCAGCGCGAGCACAAGAAGGCGGACAAGGCTGGCACCCGCGCGCCAGTCAAGGCAAACGGCCTGCCCGTGAAGCCGCCCAAGCCCACGTCCATCGTAGGCACTCTCGCGCTTCCTACCTGATGCTCTTGCATTGCATGGCATCATTGCGCACAGCTGACCATCCATTTAATACAGTGCCAGAACTGCCGCCGCGAGATCGTCAACACCAACAAGGCGCAGCTCGAGGCCCATGCCGCCAGCCACGACGCCACGACGTGGCCCAAGGAGAAGTGCTGGCCAAACGACTTCTGAAGGATTGTATCTTGGGCTTGGAATGGTCGGCAGGACTACAATCAGTGGAGGCACACGCGCGAATATCCTTTGATGGGGAATATCCAGCAGAGGGCAGGCAAATGACCGACTTCGCACTACGAGGAAGGACGTCTTAGTTGCTGTATGAATATACCACATGGTCCAAAGGAAGGACATGTCACCCCGCAGCCACGCACGCTTGCCGTGGCAGGCATGCGAGCAGCCAGTAGTCACACTGAAGACTCAGTATTTGAATGGCACCTGTCACATACTCATGGAAAGCACAAGTGCTCCCTGATGCTGTTTATCTGCACACACACACACACACACACACACACACACACACACACACACACACACACACACACACACACACACACACACACACACACACACACATGTTTTTGCAAGACTCTCCCTGGTATGACCAGCAATTCGCACCGGAAGCGTAGTAGCCTCACCGGTATCCACACCTCTGTCGTCTGAGCTACACAGTCTGTCCGCACGCATGTTCGAGATGTGTCGCTGATATCCCAGCACTAACCCAAGACTCTCCCACTCGTTCGCGAAAGCAGTGGAGCCCTCTCTTCCCGATTCAACCTCTCTTCACCCTCGCCGCCTCCATGGCTGCTCTTCGTCCTCCAAACAATATAAGAGTACCCAAGCGGTGGATAGAAGAATACACTGTGCAATGTTAGACCATCCACTCCTATCAGATAAAACGCTATCCTACATCAGTAGCAGACTGGCAAGCGCATCATGCTGAACTCGTCTCTTGACATAGTCTGGATCCACGTATGTGTCAGGGGCATGGTCATGATGTTGGACACGCCATGGGCCGAATGCAGAATCCAAGATAAGCCAAAGCCACAGTCCCGTTGCAAGCACCGATTTTGCAGCCTCGAACATAAGCACCTGGTAGGGCGTCGCAATCGCCTTGCGCTGTACGTATACGATGAACACGATGCCTGCAGCCATAAATGCCGTCATTGAGGGTGCACTTTCGAGACTGTTAGTCTGCGCAGGACACGCATATTGCAACAAAGCGCAAGCAAGACCCACAAGAAGGAGTAGAAGTCCTCTCGGTAAGGAAACACCATCTGTTCCCATGCGAAGAACCCCAAAATGACCATTGTGGGTATTGAAACGATGGCCTAGAAGATGCCAAAGCCCCGAAGAGTCTGTTGCCCAAGAGGGCGATTGTCCACACTTGCCATGCCAGTGACGCTGCTCAACAGTACGAGTTATTAGCCCTGGAGTAATTCAATGTGCAAAAAGAGGTTTGCCATCCGGTAGTGTTGGAAGAAAACGGAACACCAATGTACCCTGTGGTCTCGACCCGAAATCGCGGTGAGGTGCAAATGCTGCTGCCTAGGCATGTGAAACATTAATATGAAGGATTGTGGCGCAGCTTGAATATCGTATTGATCCAACCCAAAGGCACGAAAGTCCGCCTTGCTCTACCGATTGATTGCATGCATGCTTATCTTTTGTCCAACATCAAATCTTCCCCACCTCTACGAAATGCTGAGCAAAAGCCGAGATCCACTAGATCAAAATCGAGGTTGGCAGTACTGGTTTCGTTTACTACAGTATATGTAATATGATTTGTTGCATTTGCCATCCCTTGCTGGAGGGCATTAACACTGCCATAAATCCGTAGACGTTACATATTGCTCTACTTCTTTTCTAGCCTACTCTTCTCGTCGTTCAATATTTCCTCAACATTATCTTCAATGCTTGGTCCTTTGGGCTGCCATCCGACCAACTTCTTCGCCCTCTCCGCCTTACCGCGACTGTTGAAACCCCAGCTTACAGCTTCGAAACCTGCCTGCTCAATCGCCTTGTCCTTGCCAAGCTTTTCCTCTTTCAACTCTTTCTTGTCGACGAGACCTAGCTCCGTTGCCTTCTTACCCATGAGGCGTGCAAGATCTGCCCATAGATGCTCTCCGTTCTCTACGAGATAGTACCCCTGTTCGTTCCAGAGCTTGGAGTCGGTGTTGTTATTCACGGCGGCTTCGGTCAGCAGAACGAAGAGTTGGGCAAGGTCTGAGACATGGACGTTGTTCCAACGCGCTTTTCCTTGACCGATGATGGGAATGTATTGACCAGTCAAGATCAGGTGTGCAAGTTCGTATGCCTGTCTGCTTCTAGTGTTCAGCGGGCCTCGTCCACGCCCGTAAATGGTCGGTGGGCAGAGGATAGCTGTCTTGACCGACTCGGATCCAGCTGCCAGCACAAGGTCGTCGACATTCTTGTGGAAAGCATCCTTTGGCAATCCAGTCAAGTCTTGCACGGCTGTCCAATCGTTGTATTCACGTTCCGACCATTCGCCCAACTTGTTGTCGTCTCGCATAGTCTCCCAGCACAGGATACCAGTGCCACCAGTGTGCAGCCAGAATCCAGGCTTTTCCTTGGAGTGGCCAGATGCCAGACCCTTTGCGATCGCTTTCGCGGCGCCTTCGTGGTCAGATGCATCCGCAGTGTCTGCGAATCGTTAACGCTGACTGCATTGTCACTCAATCCCATGGGTAACTCACGAATTACTACATCCGCCTTTGCTGCCTCATCTTCCAGGATCTTGGAGTCGTCCAAACCACCAATAACGATCCGCACCTTGGGGAAAGCCTCGGTGACAGACTTGGCTTTCTCCTCTATACCCTCATCAGTATGCTGCACTGCCCACGGAGAGAGCACTAATAACTACCTGTCCGCACAAGAGCCGCAATCTCGTAATCAGAGTGCTTGTTGTACAGCGCAAAGAGGGTGTCGCCTCCAATATAGCCAGTTGCGCCGGTGCTGAAGGGGGTGAGAAATTAGCAAGTCGATCGACATTTCGACGGGTTTACGTACAGAAAGATTCTAGGTGCCATGATTAAACTATTAGAATATGAATCTGTGATGCGGGTTGCTAGAATTCTGTCTTGCGTTTGTGCTGATGCACCTCATATCATTGATGGAGCACTACGACCGCATGTGACGTCATCACGCCAGAAACATCGGGACTACTGGAAGAACCTTTTATCGCACGGCAAGCCCCAAATCTAGCCCTACTGATGTTGCATACAGAACGTCACCTTTGCGCCTGGTACTGTTGTTAACGGCTACAACCATCCTTACACTCACATAAGACCTGAGTCAGTATGTAAGTGGCGTGTCGCATAGCTGCATCTTGCACAGCTTGCATCCTCTCGGCACGTGGTTGTCTCAAAAAGGCCATTCTTTATGTCCATAGGTATGGCAACGATAGATTACTGTAAACTGCGGCTCAAGCCACTTCTGACACCTCTGGAAATTGATCACCAACTTTGGAGAATGCGCCCTCTTTTCCTTTTTTCAACGTCATATCCAAGAAGGTAGCAACATATTCGGTTACAAGGGTTGTCATTCTGCGACCCTCGATATTACCCAGAAGCTCTCCAACCTCCGCTGGCAATTTCCCATCTAGACCCAACGCGGTTATGACCAAGGGAAGGTCTGAGAAGCTGTAGTGCGCAGCGTTCTTGACTTCGAACTCCTTCTTCCAACCAACGAGGTGTGGCCAGAGAGTCTTCCAGGATGGATCAGTCTCTTGTGTCTTGTTTTCGTGGCCCATGAGCATGAAGAGACCGTCGAAGCCGGTTGTTAACACAGAACCAAACATGGAGCCGTCAAGATTGACTCCACCTCTGAGAGAAGGCATATTCATCATTGCAGTAGCTGCTGCTGCACCACCCAAGGAATGTCCAACAACGGCCATTTTGGATACCCTTTCACGGCGCAAACCTGTTGGAAATAGATCTTTCGAAGCCGAGACGTTGTAAATCTGGTTAGAGACGAACTCAATGTCCGCGACTCGTGTGCTAAGGGCAAGCTCAATGTCCGCGTCGCTGTCAATCTCGACGCCGGTCACTATGGTACCATCGGGGAACTCAACCATGTCGGCATCGTAGGGGTGGTCGATAGAGAGTACCAAATAACCAGCAGACGCGATATTCTGGAGCATGGCATTGTACAGATGTCGAGACGTGGCGAGTGCACCTGAGAACAATACGACGGGCAACAAGTGGCTGGAGCAAGCGTCTTGTCTTGCTGGAGTCACACACGTTTCGAGACCCAGTGATTGGAAGCTTCCGTTAGGGAGACCGTATGCGCCAAACTTGGTATCCATGAAATTTGCTGTAGCAGGCGGCATATAGGAATCGATTTTTCGGCGGCGACAATGAGTGACGGGATGAAAGCTGGACACCACGACAGATCGAGGACTGCTGTTATTGGCGTATGGATCTAAGCGACTATGGTCTGTGAGCGATGCGGAAGCGACCGTCACATCGTAGTGGTGGGACCCGAGGACGGGGAGTACGGTTCTGGCAGATACAATGCCTGGCGAAGATGCCAGAAGTACAAGTAAAAGTGAATTGCAAAGACCCATGATATCGAAGATTGATGAGGAAGATGGTATGCGGGATTTCGCTGCGATTTGGAAGGAAAGGGTAGAGAATGCTAGCTGTGTTCAATTCGTAGCAGTGCTGCAGTGGTATCTATAGTTCCGGCTTGAGTGGAAGATATATGCTCGACCCTCTTCAAACCGCTCTATCATGACCAAAAGCAGACATAGCAGCAGGTACCATCGTAATTAGCCAAAGATGACAATGCAGCAGAGCCGCAGTTTGACCGATATAGTTGGTACAGGTGGTTCTCTCCGGTGGCTCATCGGTGGTATTAGTGTTTAGTCTCAACGAAGCCTAGACGCGTTCTTTCGCTTCCTAAATCGGTTAAGTTGAATGGCACCGACTCTACTAGGGCCCGCCGCTCGTATGCTTCGTTCGTCGTCAAGCGATACCATTTCCTAAAGCATTCTTCTTGACATTCCGAAGTCTTCAATGTTGTCTGGAAACAACCCCTCTTTGGGTGTCGTGCACTAACAATCAAGCCTTGCCACCGCAATCCAACTCAGCGTTCGTGAGATCGCAAGCAACATGTCACCGAGCATTGGGCCGTATGATGGTCGTAAGGCTCGACGAAAACGATGCGGAGCCTGTTCCAAGCGAAAGATCAAGGCGAGTGTTCTGGCCATCTACAGTCTGACCTCGCTGACAGGCTAAGTGCGATGGAGGAATGCCATGTGACCGCTGTAAACGGACACAACAAGCATGCATAGCACCCACACGGCCCGCGACTTCGAGCTTCGTCTTCGTCAACCCAAGAACCAAGCCCGAAATGCGGCTTTTATCACAAGTTAGCTTGGACAAGACTGAGGAAGAGGTGAAATACTTCTTTAGCTCATTTTTGCCTATGAACACTTTCTCGCATGGTAACTTGCTAGTGCAAAGGGAGCTGCAAAGCATGATGCACTCCTCGAACGCTTTGAGAGATGCTCTTTGCGCAATAGCGTCTCTACACAGATTCCAGCAAATTCAATGTTCAGGACCAGGGATTAAGGATATGAACTGGCGCCGGAGTGCAATGCAGCTTTATGTTGGATCGGTTCGCTGTGTTCAAGCCCAGATTACCCAGAACAAATTTGCAGACGATCCTTCCACTCTCTGGACGACGTTTCTTCTTGGCCTTTTTGAGGTATGCAAAAAATGTTCGAGCAGACGTGATCATAGTCTGACATAGCTTAGTTGATGTGCGATGCCAGCGGAACCAATTGGCTCTCGCACTTCCTGCACGGAACTTGCACGATTCTACGTCTTCAACATCCTTCCTGCCTTGCTCTTGCAGACGAAGAAAGTACGCGAAAGCGTACCTTCTTCCTCTCTGCCCGCATATTCGAGATATCGAGGGCCTTGATCTACTCTGAGCCTACCTTCTTAAGTGAGCCAGCATGGACTAGCGCACTAGCAGATCTTTGGAGCGGCGAAGGAGCCGCTTTTTGGCACCCCAAGGAAGCACTCTTCGATATGCTGCCTAGCTTTTCCGAATTGAGTATACGCGCAATCCAGTATTGCGCATCAGAAGCAGAGCATCTATCGGAAAAAGTGCAGACTGAACAAGCGCAGTACCTGGCCGCTGAAGGCTTGCTACTTCAACAATCTTTGCATGAATGGTGGGATGGCAGCAACGTATGGCAGTCTGCATCAGGTGCATTGGACCCAGAGCTTCTTGTCGCCCATGTGTACTATCATGCCGTTAGCATCTACCTCTCAGGTACTTATGACTATCATGTGCACTGGACCAAGCCTACGGCGCCACGTGCGCCGATTTTACCCCGTACTCAGATCGAGTGGCACACACACGAAATCCTTCGGTTGAGTCGTGAGTTATTGGTCACTGGAATTGCAGGGGTGCTGCTGTTCTTCCCTTTGAGGGTCGCAGGAGCGCGTGTTCGGACTACCCATGATATGAAGGAAATCTTGACCTTGTTCCATATTGTGTTGCAACGTGGGTATGCCGTTGCTGACGCGTTGACGGCGGATTTATTGGAGTTGTGGGGATGTAGAATTGTACCGTAGATGTCAGTGGAATCCAGAGAGATGGATACGTCCTGAACAGTAAAACTCCTCGCGACGACTTCGAATCTTGTAACGCAAGAGGTCATTGCAAGGTACACATGGACGATTGGAGAAAGTGCATGGGGTGCTTTGACGGCCAATCACGTTTGCGTTATTGGCTGTTGCAGCGCCTTGCCTATTTCAGCTAATAGGAAAAGGCTTGGCATAGCAGCACCGCTCGCAGCTTTCTGACGGGAACGTCGACGCCGCCGCCCACGCATTGCACCTCCACAACCACCACCCACATCGTCACAATGGCTCTCGGACCTTCTGACATCCACGCAAAGACCAAGACCACGTATGTCCGCAACCCCGTCGAACGCAATCGCAGCCACCTTCCCCGAATGAAACCGGTCCTCGAACCACATTCCAGCGCACAACCATCGGAGTAGCAAAGGGAATAGGCTGACAATGGCATAGATGGCACATCGGCTCATGGGGTAACCCCTACGAGGGTGGTGGCCGACCCGGAAAGGGCGTCGTCACCTACGCACTGAGCCCCAACCGTCAGCGCCCCATGGCCACCTTCATCGGCAAGGGCTTCTGGAACGTCGTGCGCCGCTCGAGGAACCAGGTCCTCTACTTCATCCCACCTCTGGCCATCGCATACGGCACTATGCAGTGGGCTATCGAGAAGTGAGTTGATGGATATTGATGAGAATAGCAGGGACATGGCAGGGCATTGGTGCATGGGAAAGCAGGCTAACAATGGTAATAGGAACGAGTTCCTCAACTCCAAGACTGGCCGCGCCCTGTACGGCGACGAGGAGTAAGCGAGCGGAGAAGAAGAGCGATGAAGGTGGGTGTATAGTAAGAGGAGTTGGAGGGAGGAAGCGGAACACGACAATTCTCTTTGCATCAAGCCAACGAATAGACTGTACAACCAACATGCACGTTCCTTTCCACCCGTGTCGCGTTCTCAATCTACTAGACAAAAGTCTGTCGCCCAGTACACGGCCCTTCATTGATCACTTCATACTCGGGGATTACACCACCCTCGAAAGGCGCAGTAATAGTGACTGTCTCCTGGTCACTCGGATACGTTGTGACATGTCCCTCGCCCGTCAGGTCGGCAGCGAACAGCAGACCGCCTTTGCCTCCGTACAACCACAGCTCCCGAGACGGGTCTTGAGGCAGAGTGATGTGCGCGAGTCCAGCTAGCAACTGTACGATCCTCGGCATTGTCAGCGCAAATTAGTGTACGAGGGAGATCTGACTCACTGTGGCACAGGAGCGTTATGCAATCCGCCTTCGAAGCGTGGTGGCTGGACAACGTAGCTTAGATCCGTCACATTCCCTAGGTTTAATGCACGGCTTCCTGTGATGCCTGCTGTTGTGGATATCAAGAAAGGATTCCTCAGACGCCAACACTGGATGGTGGAGGTGTTTTGAGGCGTGGTGACTAACGCAGGCGCCGTAAGGTAGAGGGTGTTGTTTGATGTATCGCACGTTTGGGCAGTTATAAGGGAAGACAAGGAGAGCACGGCGAAGGCAGATATAGAGAGATGCATTGTTGCAGAAGGCTATGTTATGATCTCGGAATGACTAGCAGTTGGGTAGCCTCTTATGTTCAAATATATTGCGGTGCGAAAGAACAAAGTTGGTGCTGTACTACGCTATCGCTACGGGCTGACGACCCCGGGGTAATAGCTGGTCGGACATAAGATAATGAAACTAGTAGATCGGTGCATGAAGGCGCATCTGGATGATCGACATGCAGTGCATTGATGGAGATGTATGGGTATGACATTATAGACCGCTTAGGTGTGATGTGGTCATGTATGGCGGCCGGGCTGAAGCAGAAGCCAATCTAAGAAGAGCAGTCGTTATTCATCACCAGTGCGTCTCTTTGCAAAGCATTGGGATGAAGAGAATAAGCTCAATAGATGAAGGTTTACCAAAGTCAAGTTCTAGGCCTAGGCTCTAGCACATGTTCACGCGTACAGGCGACCCCGCTTAGTAAGGTCGGCATGTCGGTGGCATGTAGAACTTCGATGATTCTGTCATATCCTAGCTTTCGCCATCGAAGCGCACCCGCCACAAGACATTCTCCTACTGCCAGCTCGAGGCAGTCTGAACAGGCGCGGTATTACTCTCACCCTACTTATCTGTAATATACCCAAACCCATCATTATACCCCACCCCGCAGTCCCGTCACATCTGTTCCGCCGCCATGTCGACACTCCTCCGCCGCTCAGGCAACTTAGCGCGACTATCCCGACCCTGCCTCAACGCTGCCACGAGGGCACCACGCACATTACGCACACGAGCACCAATACCACAATGTATATATACCCAGCAACGGGCGCGGCGATTCGCAACCGGCCCGCCCGAGGAGCCCAAGAACAAGAAGGAGGGCGAGGCAGCCAAGAAGGATGGCCAGGCAGATAAGCATGAGCCTGCTGATTCTGCAAAGAAGGAAGGAGAGGCCCAGATGTCCAAGCTTACACCCGAGGAGGAGAAGATGCTGGATCAATTAGTCTCCTTCGTGTCAATGGGCGTCCCCAAGTCGCAGAAGCAGAATATCAAGGAAGCAATGGAAGAGATCAAGCGCACCGGAATACCACCGGAGCTACGACACGAGATGGACAAGCTGGAGAGAGGCGAGAAGCTGGATCTGGCCACCGCGGCCAAGATCTCGCGGCTAACAACCAACATGGCCCGCAAGGCGGCTGATCAGCATCAGCAGAAATTCAAAGAGGATGGTTCGCAGGAACCACACCAGAAGTCAGGCGCACACGACCCAGGCCCAGGTACAGGCAAAGGTTCCAAGGGTGGCGCTGGCGGAGCTGGCGGACCGGTCGGGCCCATGTTCGGAGGCGGAATGGATACCAACACAATCCTCATCAGCGCTTTCCTCGCATACATCACATACAAGACCATCTTCCCAGGCGAGAACTCCAAGGAGATAACATGGCAGGAGTTCCGAACGACCTTCCTGGACAAAGGTCTGGTCGAGAAGATTGTTATCCTGAATGGCAACAGGGCGAAGGTCCACCTGCACCGTGAGGCTGTCGCTGGCATGTACCCCGACTCGCCATCAGTCAACCAAAACTTCTACTACTACTTCACTATTGGATCCGTTGAGGCTTTCGAACGCAAGATGGACGACGCACAGTACGAGCTGGGCATTCCTAGCTCCGAGCGCATCCCTGTAGCATACTCCAACGAGATCTCCTGGTTCGGCACCTTCTTATCCTTCGGTCCCACTATCCTCCTCCTCGGTTCCCTCTTCTACTTTACAAGACGTGCAGGAGGCGGCGCTGGCGGAGGTGGCGGCGTCTTTGGCATGGGCAAGAGTCGCGCCAAGAAGTTCAACCACGAGACGGACGTCAAGGTCAAGTTCTCAGATGTCGCTGGTATGGACGAAGCCAAGCAAGAGATTATGGAATTCGTCTCTTTCCTCAAGGACCCCAGCCGATTCCAGAAGCTCGGTGCGAAGATCCCTCGCGGTGCTATCCTATCTGGATCCCCAGGTACTGGTAAGACTCTTCTTGCCAAGGCTACTGCGGGAGAGTCAGGCGTTCCTTTCTTCAGTGTCAGTGGTTCTGAGTTCGTCGAGATGTTCGTTGGTGTTGGTGCATCGCGTGTCCGAGACTTGTTCGCCAATGCGCGCAAGAGCACGCCCTGCATCATCTTCATTGACGAGATTGACGCTATCGGTCGTGCCCGATCGAAGCAGAACTTCGGTGGTGGCAACGATGAGCGAGAGGCAACTCTCAACCAGATTCTAACAGAGATGGACGGATTCAACACGACTGAGCAAGTCGTCGTTCTGGCTGGTACTAACCGACCCGATGTTCTGGACAAGGCGCTCATGAGACCCGGCCGTTTCGACAGACACATCAATATCGACAAGCCCACCATGGACGGCCGAGCACAGATTTTCGGTGTACACTTGAAGAAGATCATCACCAACGAAGACATGGAGTTTTTGAAGGGCAGATTAGCAGCTTTGACACCGGGCTTCTCCGGTGCCGACATTGCCAACTGTGTCAACGAAGCTGCTTTGATTGGTATGTAGTAATGCTTCCCTAAATCGTACATGTACTAACGATCCGCAGCCGCTCGTGCCAATGCTGAGACCGTTGCAATGGTACACTTCGAGCAAGCCATCGAGCGTGTCATCGGTGGTCTTGAGAAGAAGTCCCTTGTTCTAAAGCCCGAAGAGAAGAAGACTGTCGCCTACCACGAGGCCGGTCACGCTATCTGCGGTTGGTACTTTAAGTGGGCAGACCCCCTTCTCAAGGTCTCCATCATTCCCCGTGGTCAGGGCGCTCTCGGTTACGCTCAGTACCTTCCCAACGGCGACACATACCTCATGAATGTGAACCAGCTAATGGACCGTATGGCCATGACACTAGGTGGACGTGTATCTGAAGAGCTACACTTCGACACCGTCACCTCCGGTGCATCCGACGACTTCCGCAAGGTCACTCAGATGGCCACAGCCATGGTCAGCAAATGGGGTATGAGCAAGAAGATCGGATACATCTACTTCGAAGATGGCGAGGGCCAGCAACTCACCAAGCCCTTCTCCGAAGACACAGCCAAGAACATCGATATGGAGGTCAAGCGCATCGTTGATGAGGCCTACAAGCAATGCAAGGATCTCCTCACTGAGAAGAAACACGAAGTCGGTCTCGTAGCCGAGGAGCTACTCAAGAAGGAGATGCTTGGCCGTGAGGACATGATTAGGTTGCTTGGACCCCGACCTTACGAAGACAGCCAAGATTTCCACAAGTACTTCTCTGGCGAGTATGGCAAGGCACCGGGATACGTCGAGCCTGCGGGCGACGGTGTCAAGGGGCCTCTAGTACCTCCCAGCCCAGCAACCTTCAAGGATCTGGATTCCAGGAGGTGAGGTGCTGAAGATGTAATTTATATCAATTTCTCTTTTGTGTGCATTATGGCATGTTACGACATGGATGTGGGGTTTTGGCGATGATCAAGGGGTTTCATTCCACTCTAGACGAGCATGCGCAAGGTGTCTTGTTAAAATAGACGCGCGTTTTGGCTTTGTAACAGTATAGTTCATCAGGTCAAAGAGAAAGACCAAGAACGCAATTATCCATTGTAACGTTCAAACTTTGTGGTCTACGTACTCGTCACTTCTTGTTGCGTTCCATATTAATACGTCTTAAAGCAGCTCAATGCTTAGAGTGCGAGGCGCCATACAAGAACAACGAAGTTCCATGTCTGAGCAACGAGAAACCATGCAATGCTAATGAGCGTCCATACAAGAACAGCGAGACAGAAAAATATGAAGACTACGCCGGAGAGAGCGAGTAAAGCAGCCTTGAAGATGTCTCTCTTCTTGAATGATACGGAAGAGTTCGAGGAACTCTTTAGCTGTCCAGACTTAGAATGTCCAGGAGCGCCTTCAGTGTCGCTATACAAACTCGATCGTTGTACAGGAGCCTCCCTTAGATGTCGGTTCGTATTCTGAAGTGTAGCTGACGCTAAAGTTGGGGAACTATCTGATGAAGGCATGCTAGGAAGTTGGCGTAAGACTTCCCGCATGGCATCAATATTGTGATCCAGTTTCACGCCCGGAACCTGCAAAGCTTTCTCAACAAGCGCATCCCATCCCCTTCTCCACATCATCAGATCGACACTGACAAGTCTCCTGGTGCGTTCACTACAATCTCTCATGTGCGCCTCTTGGACCGCTGAGTACACGATGTCTGGAAAGCAGGGCCTGCAATCAGCCATGAGAATCAGATCAAGCGCGTGGGTCGATATGACAGTCATCTCTTGCTCCTTCACGACCTGAATCATAACGACCATTGCCAAGGCAAAGTCATGGCTAGCCAGACTTTGGTCTAGAAAATCGGTTTCTGCCGTTGCCAACACTTGAGAGACAGTCTCATCAAAAGATGGTGCCTTATCTAGAGCATCAGAAAGGTCAGGAGAGTCCGTGTCAGAAATCCGATCAAAATTGCGCCGTATATTTTCAAAGAACTCAGTATTGCGATTGACCTTTGCAGACTCAGCTTCCCGCTCTTGCTTAACAGGCTCATCTAATGCGCTTCTCCAGATTGGCAAACCGATGTGGAGAATTCTCTTGTATCGCGCACTAAGACCTCTGGTGTCTGCCTTAAGCACTGCTAGAAAAATCTGGTCTGGGAAGCAGCGTCGGTTATCCGCCATCGCCATCAAGTCAAGCCTTTTGATCGTTGAAGCAGACATCTTCAGCTTGCTTAACACCTCACTCATGACGGTTGCGGGCAGCGCCACGAGACTTACTGTCGGGCAATCGTTTTCTATTGTTTCTAAAACTTGGGCAACCACGTCATTGAAAGTCGGCGCTCCGTCAGGAGGCGGCGTATCCTTGATTTCATCAAGCGGGTCGATGTAGTACTTCGCTCTGACAGATGAGCCCAATGAACGGGCAATCGTCTCCAGCTTTCGTAATAAAGCCAGCATCGGGTCGTTCGGTCGATCACTTATCGTCTTCAGACTGTAGACTCCTCTAGTCCGGGTTGGATAATCCAAATAGAAGTCCAGAGCTGCTTGCAATGCGACTTTCGACTTGTATACGATGTGCGAGCTGTGGTGGGCTTGGTCCAGCATGACAAGGTTGATGGTCTGCACATGTCTGCTCTCCAGGCGGAAGAAAGTGAAGTAGAATTTGTCTGCCGCTCTAGGCACTCCGTCTGCACCTTCAGCCAGTTCAAGCCGACCGTCTTGAATCACAGTGTAGGAGTTTCGAGCTTTCGCTATTGGCAAGTCTTCGAGCAAGGAGTTAGCGTTGTCTGGTTGACTGTGCGCCTGCATACGAGCTGCCAACATCAATCTCTTGTTATTGCGGATGTCTTCGCGCTGATCTTCCAAAGGTTCTGGGAGATAGTTATCGCGCAATATCATGACTAAGCGTGGAGAAACGACGCTGATTATATGAAACTCGGTATATGCAGTCGTCGTCTGTTCACCTGTGAAAAGGTTGGTGGAGTAGTCGTTCGGCCCTTCATGAATGCCAAACGCGTTTTCAGTGAGGAGAAACTCTTCAACGGCATCTGAGGGAGTAGCGAAAGACAGGTACATCGACCTAATATTGATCTTGAGCCACTCAGCGTCTTCTGGGTAGATTTCCTTGTAGAGATCTTCTGTCCATTTACCGGCAGGATCCATATGCTTTTCCATGATCCTTTCAAGGTTGTCGAGCCAGACATCGAGCGGGCGCAAGAAGTTGCGTTCTTGCATGTATTCCAGAAATAATGCCCGATCGCTCGAAGCATAATCCTCTGCTCTCTGATGATTGAAGCGTTTGAAAAAGATAGGACTGCGGTACTTCATGACGAAGATGTATTTTCGTAGAAGATCTTTGTCATGGCGTGAGAGTTTGACTTTGTCCTTGCCCGTTTTATGGGCATCTGCAACTTTGGCAATAATGCGACTTGCTTGGCCCTCAATACGGCTTAACTTTGTTTCAATTCGATCTTGATCTTTCTTGCTGAATTTCGAGTCGTCCTTGTACATGTCATATTGTCCAAAGATTCGTCCCACTGGTGATTCGACAAATTTGGGAATGTCGTGACCCAGGTCAACCGCGGTGACTACATCTTCGATTCGTTGTTTTCTGTTCTGCTTCTTGCCATGATTGAGCACGGTCGAAGATGGGTAGGAGAAGCGACGGAGCAAGAAGCGAGGGATATAGTGCTGATATTGGGCTTTGTGTAATTCAGGGTTTGCACCTGCCATCGCTAGAGTGTTGCAAACATTAACAACCAAAGATAATGAGCATGTAGTTGGAAGATGGAGTGGTTATCTTGTTCGGATACTGGATTAAGCGCCCGCGCAGCGACTACGCCTCTGTCTCACTGGGGCGCGCGCCTCAACCCCGCATCAGGAGTTGAGGGTTTGGCCAGTAACAAGTCGCGACAAGCGAATCACCCTGTTGTTGGCACACAGATGCCCCATCCAATCCTTAACTTGTCACAGTCGACTCCCTCATTTCCACGCAAGCTTAAGAAATCATCTACACTTATGCCATGTGCCTCAGCAAGCGCCCAACACGTATCGCCTTTGGAGATGTATGCTTGACGATTTCCCTTTCCACAAGCAGAGACGTATGTATCCTCGCTCTTGTCCACGAGCTTGAATACAAGGAACAAGAAAACAAGAACCAGCAGTGCAAATGGCAACATCATACGCACAGCGCTCCTGTTGTCCTTTTCTATTGCTTCGTGTTGCTCTAGTCGTTCTTCGTCAGATATGGGCTGTGAGCGCTCGCCGGTGGCTCGCAGCTCCCCGTAGCGGTTGCCAGGCTCAGATTCGTAGACACGACCGGATGCATCGCGGAAGGTGTAGGTCTGGGTATCAGCGTCATAGCCTATGCGCTCGAAACCGTCTGGCAGTCGCTCAGCGTCCTAGAAGTCGTGTCAGTGTCCTGCTAGAAAGAGGGTGCTACCTAGGTATATGGGGACACTTACACTGTCCATATCTGTCCAGCGACCCATGATGAAGAGCTGTGGGCTAGCTAAGGTTAGTTGGGAGGGTGAGTGAGACAGTCGAATGAAAGGTAATAAAGAGTTGTCGCGTTTCTTTGGAGGGTTACGAATATGCGATCGCGCTGCTTTTGAATGCAAGAGTCGCTCCTGTAGCTTAGAGAGGGCGAATATCTCGACCGCCAGTTGTATGGGGGAACAAGGTTTCGAGACTACGTGGTGGCGCGTTGTGGTGCAGCAGAGACGTGATGACGGGAGGTGGGGGCGTCTAAGCCACAGCCCCTGCGCGTATCCGGGTGGCCTAATTTTTCACGGTCACGAACGGCTGCATGCTTCTGTCTTATGAACTAACACCGTCATTACGCTTACTACTTGCTATCATGAATACATTCTTCACATCTTCTAATCGCACAAATAACGTCTTCTCCGGTTTCGACGGCCAACACTTGTCACCTCCCTCACTTTGACTCAGGGTGACCAGCTATGGCTGGTGATTTGCCACTTCCGCTTTGCGAATATTGTGGTAGTCCATATCCTCAAGACTCTGGATTGTGTCTATTGACAGTGGCGCGTCATCTTGCGTGTGGCCATGTCTATTACCACCTGATATAAACGATCTGATGGTCTTCAATGTTCCTCCGTGAAGTTTCTGAGTAGCAATCCTTGGGGCGCTTGGATCCTTGTGCTGGTCATGGAGCGCGTCGCCTCGCTGGGTACTCGACTTGCTACTTCGTGAGGATCTGGACAGCCTCATGATAGCCAGGAAACGACGTCCGAATTGCTGAAGTACGCTATCCTTCTTCCGTCGATCGTCGTCAACAAGGTTCGTGATGAAGACTCCGCGGATAACAATGACGGACGCCATGATGAGTCCAACACAAGATTCGACGATGAACCAGTACGCAGCCCACACCGGCGCCGTTCCGTTCCCTGCCTCGGTTGTCTCAGTCAATGAGCCGACGACTCGGATCAACGCGCAAATGATCATTACTGTCGAGAGGCCTAGCAATGCCACAATCGATAGTTTTCGGGAGAACGACATCATCGATTCGTTTACAACGACGACGGGAAAGCTCACAACTAGGAAAATCAGTATTTCCATTCTCATCTTGAGCCATTAGGCCGCATCACGTACTGAGAACATCGCCTATGATATCGAGGACGCCGACGAGAACGTTACCCGCGACACTTCTTTCATGCTGCCGGGGATTGAAGCCACATGTAGCTGTAAACTGTCAGTAACTTGAACCTCGATAAAGAATCGAATACCAACTGACCTGCGTCTGTACCAAAGTGTGGACAGATAACCACAAAGTTGATGACTGCATAGATCCAGCAAAGGACAAGAAAGCCTACGGTTATCCAGTAGAACCGCATGATCTTGACTGATAGCCCTCGGGTCAAGGTGTGAAAGAAATTCATAAAAGCAAACTTGACTAGGTAAAGGGAAGTCCAGTTGAACGTGGAGAAGATGAAGGCCCACTTAGGCGTGTCCAATATTGCAGGAATATCCTCTCGGAAAGGAATGGTCTTCCTTTGGTTCATGGCTTCGATAAGATAGAAAGTGTTCAGAAGCTTGTGGACGCAGACGAACGCGACTATCAGACACAAACATGACACCAAGACAAAGCCATCGTCCCATCGTATTTTCCGACCGCCAAAGATGCGAATCGCGAAGCGTGCTAACACGGAAAGAATAGCAAGCCCGAAAAGAATACCCGTCGTGATCTAAGATTTGTGTCAGCATCTACAATGAATCGCCAACAGGGAGAGTGCATACCACAAATGGCACCTTATCAATCCTACCAGCATGGTCAATGATGTACTGTCTACCGGGCACATATTGTGCTGGTGGTAGCTTCGACGGATCAATCGACATATCTTGGGTATAGCTTTCGTAGCGCAGAATCTGGGTAAGGAGGAGACTGTACGTTAGAGCTACAGAATTCCAAGTGGGAAGAGGACGACATGACAAGCATATAACAAGATCTAGTATCGCATGCGATTGTGTGAAGGGTGGGGGCTATTGAAGTATATATATACTCCGCATGCTGCATCTACTATTGATCGATCTTTTGGCATCGTCAACTGGGATCATGACCGGTCGCAGCGTGTCGTACAAATAATGCCTTGTTGGGGTCGGGGATCGAAGAGCGAATCCCAAAATCCCCGAGAACACCGACATATTGGTAAGATTCGATTGACGGACATGAAGGAAACGATAGCGAATGTCGGGTTGTAATATCGTAGTACAGGAAGGCAGTGCTGATCCTAGCGCTGACGCCCATGCACCCAGGTGAGGCTAGCGCCTTCCGTGCCGCCCTCCCATCTTGCCGCCTCGTCCTGCACCTTTACTCGCACTTCGACAACAACTACCGTGAGATCGGATCACGATACTTGCGCCTCTGTGACGACGTCTGCAAGTTGCAACACCCAATCCGCGGGTCAGCATGACGCGGGTCAGCATGCCAGCCATCATGGCTGTGGTCGCTGGTGCTCTCGCCATGTTTGTGGCCAGATTGATGGCTAATCGACAGCACGTAAAGAGTTTACGAAACTCAGGAGCAGTAAGTCAAGTACTAGGTGCACCTAGAGAAATGGTTCTAACAATAGCAAGCCAATGCCGAAACATCATCCTCTGTTCGGCCATCTCATCGTGTTGAAAGAAGCCATTCAATCACTACCACAGAACACCGTAATGCACGTAGTAGTACGGCGAATAGCACAATCGTTTCCCGGCGGTGTCTTCTATCTCAACTTATGGCCTTTCAACGCTCCTATCATGGTAGTCGCGAACCCTTATGTTGCATCACAAATTGAAGCTGCTTTCCTCGACAAGCCCGCCAATATAAGTGCTACTTTAGAGGTCATCAACGGTGGACCATCGCTACTGACCATGTACGGAAGCACTTGGAAGAAATGGCGGGCGCTGTTCAATCCAGGATTCGCTGCTGGCTATATAACAGGACTTTCTCCTGCTATAGCAGAGGAGGTCACGGTTTTCTGTCAACTTCTTCAAGAACGCGCCCAGAAGGGCGAAGTCTTTCCTTTGGAGGAGCATACGCTTCGGTTGACTTTTGATATTATTGCGCGTATTACCTTGTAAGTTCTCAACACGATGCGCCTACAGTAAAGGTTGATTACTAAAAGGTGGGCCCAGGGGTGCGCGTCTCCACTATCAAACTCAAGGAAGCGCCCTCGCAGACTGTCTCCGAAGACAAGTGTATTGGACTCCATTCGGTACATCTTTCAATCCAATCCGTCGCTATCTTAGCCCTCGTCCATTCGTCCAAAAGTACAACAGTTACCGTATGAATCAATACCTTGACAAGGAAATTGACAAACGTTTCGAAGAGTTGGCTCGCTCCCGTAGAAGCCCTTCAAAAGATTCCCACTTACAATCTAGATCTATCATCGCGTTGGCCATGGACAAGTACCTGGACGATGTAGAGGGCAAAGACGAGGTGTCAAAATCGGCCTTCAGGCAGCTGGCGAAGCCTCAACTTCGTATGTTCCTGTACGCCGGCCACGACACCACTAGTAGTACCCTGCTGTACAGCTATTTGCTACTGTCTCGTCACCCGGATGTTTTGTCCAAAGTACGTGCAGAACACGACAAGGTATTCGGGTCCGACTTCTCGCTCCACAGTATCACTCGCATTATCACAGACGATCCCGCACTCCTGAACCAGTTACCCTACACTCTGGCAGTCGTCAAGGAGGTTCTGCGCATATTTCCTCCGGCTGGCAGCATGCGCGATGGCCGCCCGGGTGTCTTTTTGGTAGATGAACAGGGTCAGCGATACCCTACAGAGGGCTGTAACATATGGACACTCACTCTTGCTATGCACCACAACCCCGAAGTGTTTGTGAGACCGGAAGATTTCATTCCAGATCGCTGGCTCGTCAGTCCAGAGGACCCTTTACATCCGAAGAAGGCCTCATGGAGAGCTTTTGAGTGGGGCCCACGTGCCTGCATTGGGCAGACACTTGCACAACTGGAACTCAAAATCGCCTTGGTAATGACTGTGAGGATGTTTGATATTGACATTGCGTATGAGGAGTGGGACAAACTACATCCAAAGAAGGGCATCAGAACTGTTGACGAGAATCGAGCATATCAGGCTGAGATGGGTGGAGGCGGAGCTCACCCAGCAGATGGCCTCCCTGTCAAGGTCACTCTGCGTGCATAAGTAACAATTTCAGTCTATATGAATGAGTTCTCACTCGTAGTGTCTAGTGCCATGCTATTACTTTTTGATTGAATATTATGTGCCTCTCAGCTGCACCCTGGACGCGAGGAGTAGAGAAACCATTGTTCACACGTTCTTAAACTATACCATTAAGCTTAGATACTGGGGCCTTCCTGGTCCGTATCATCCAAGCCTCCTCCATTAACCTTGCCATCTTCGTTCCTCGCTTCATAGTCAGAGTCCAGAAGCCAGCATGCTTCTTAGAGTTCTTTGCTGGTATGACAACACCATAAGCTAGCAAAAGCATCACCATGTCAACATGTCCTCGTTTGACGGCATGCCATAACGCTGGCGCACAGACTGTGTCGTCATATTCACTCTTCTTGATTTGTGCACCACTCTCAATCAGAAGCCTAGCAGCCCCGAGCCAGCCATTCTGTACTGCTAATACAAGACCTTGTGATAGCCCTTGGGCCCCGATGCGACCCGCCTCGTAAGTATACGTAGCGTCTCCAAGAGTGGCGTCAGTCTCGAGGAAGTACTGTATAATGTGCACATGACCATGCTCGCATGCTAGATAGAAAGGCGTCAACCTCAATTGACGATCTGACTTGATCGCACGCTTGAAATTGTAGCAACGGCGCACTACGTCCAATTCACCTCTTATGATTGCCCACTTGCACCATTCGTATTTCGCATCGTAGATTGCTCTCCCAGAGTCGCAACTCTTGAGGTACCAGCACATGAATGTTGGAAGCATAGTGGCACGTTGCTTGTACATGCATGTATCGATAGTCTCGTATAACTGGTCCCATTGGCGACGACTGTCTTCAAACCGCTCATAAATAATTGACGAAGCGTACTTATGCCCGTTCACCGCAGCGGCAGTAAGTGGAGTGCCATATAGCTCGCTACGTTGGCCTATATCACGTACCTTGCCAACTAGAAAGCGCAAGGCAGGTTCGCTGTTGACAGCAGCGGCAGCCGCGAGCATACCAACTGTATCTGCGCGGCCCATGTTCTTCCGTACACTGATCGAGTCATCGTACGGTCCATCGCGAAGATAGGCAAGGATGTCGTTTACGGAGAGTGCTGCTGACATGGCGCTACAGAGGGCCAAACGATAGCGTTCGCGCTGTGATTGCGTTTTATAATACGAGAAGTCCATGAGGAAGTCGACTGTGGCCTCCATGTGATCAAGAACGTACATCGAATTACAGCGCGTGGGCCCCATTTTGAAGAGCAAGGTGTGCATATTTGGCCCGAGTAGACGCTCCTTCCAATTGGGTCTCATATACCAGTAGTATGTCGAGGAGTATCGGCCAAAAATGTCATCCTGAATTGCGGCCGCGAAGGTTTTGCACACGTACCGTGCTCGGACTGCCGCAGCCCATTCGCTACGCTGGAGGTGGGCGTGTATGATTTCTGCGAATATTTCAACTGGGAGATGGAGCAAATCTATGATTGCATCTGAGAGCCAGAGAGCTCGTAGTGGTTCAGACCCTTACGGCTGAGATATGGCCCTTGGTTGCGCTGCCAAGGCATTTGCGTGTTCGTCACCCATGGATGAAATCTCGGTACTGTCGAATCGGGCTCGTGACCATCGCAGCTTCTCTACACTCTCGATGTTTCATGATGCACTTAGGGATCCACATCAAGACAAGCTTTACTCGAATGCCAACTCTTGCTTAGTACTGTCTTAGTAGCGTCGTCCTCCACGTGACAATGCTATGCTTTTGTCGTGTGCCAGGTGGTATAAGAGTGCTAAGCATTCGGGGAAAAAGCAGAAGATGAACGGCCTCCTGCATTGGACGAGCTACTAGTCTCGGCATCATCCCTGTGAAGCAACGTATCGTGGACAGTCTAGATTGCGCGACTAGGAGTCTCGCTGTCAAAGTTGATGCCAGAAGGCGAAGCTGGGCGCGATTGTCGTTTAGGATCAGCGGCTTTCGTATTGATGATGATGACCGTGCGGGGGAAAGCCGACGCTGGCAGCTTCCTAGTCGTCGCCTCGCGCTTTCTGTTCCCAGCACCTGGCAGGGATGCTGTGACAACGCGTCGCAGCGCACCTTCCCTCCAACTTCCCAGACAAACCGCACAAGATACCTGTTTGATGCACAGTGATGCCAGAATCCTTCAATCACCTTCTAGACTCGTCGCGCGCAAACAAGAATCATAACACGCCCAAACAAGCAAGACGTAGCGCGCCACTGAGGCTGTGCGCGCCGTCCACGTGTAGCCAATCTGGCCGGACGACCGACGTCATTCGTCAGTGTTCGGGGATCCACTCAGAGAGTAAGCACATACCAAGCCGGTTCAAGCTTGCCGAGCATTGATAAGGAAGGCGCGGCCACCGCCTCACTTACTTGGCCACACTTCTACCGTCCTCAAAGTACATCTTTGTACTCAACCACTACCCAAACTCTGCAACACCAAAACCGATGGGAGAACCCGACGACCCCTCTATACGCAGCTTCAAGTCTAAGGCAGCATCTGCACTTGGCTTGGGACGCAAGAAAGACACTCAGACCGACGTCCTTCCGACCCACAACCCCCACACGACCGCCCATCCTGGCCTAGGTGGCAGCAACCCGCCGCGTAGTGCGCCCGGCACCACCAACAGCGACCATGAGAAGCCCGTCGCGCCAGACGACAATTCCACAGATGTCCAACATGGCAGCGTTAATACCGCGGCTGATGGAGAGACGCCTTCCGCCATAGGATCCGAGAAGCGTCCGTTCTATTCGCCTACGCGTGTCAAGAACGGAACCCTCCGATTCATCACCCACACCAAGAATGCCCTTACCCACAGCTGGATCAACGTCCTGCTCGTCTTCGTGCCTCTTGGTATCGTAGTCAAGCTTGTAGACTTGAAGCCCGAGATTGTCTTCTCTATGAATGCCATCGCCATCATTCCACTGGCTGGCCTGCTCGCGCACGCGACCGAAGTCGTCGCTGCCCGTGTTGGAGATGCGCTCGGTGCATTGCTCAATGTATCCTTCGGAAACGCTGTCGAGTTGATTCTCTTCATCATCTTGCTCGCCTCTGACCAAATCGAGGTTGTGCAGGCGTCGCTACTTGGATCCATTCTTGCTAACTTGCTTCTCATCCTGGGTATGGCCTTCCTACTTGGTGGTCTCAAATACCAAGAGCAGGTTTACAACAACACTGTCACCCAGATGAGTGGTGTTATGCTGGCTCTTGCCGTAATGAGTCTTCTTTTGCCCACGGCGTTCCACGCTGCTTTCGAAGACAACTCCATTGCTGACCACGAGACGCTATCCGTCAGTCGTGGTACCAGTGTTATTCTGTTGCTGGTCTACGGTCTTTACCTTCTCTTTCAGCTCAAGAGTCATCGTTATCTTTATGCTAGCACACCCCAACACATCATTGACGAAGAATCGCACCCTGGTGTTCTTGCTGGCGCATTCGACTCGTCCAGCTCAGACTCTTCATCCAGCTCCAGTAGCAGCGATAGCGATAGTTCTTCAAACAACTCTGATGGTACCATGAAGAAGAAGGCTAAACGCATGGTCAAGAGACTTCGCCGCAAATCCAGCGCTAGCTCTAAAGACGATGGTGCGCTTTCGGCCATGAGCTCCCCCTCTGCCGAACTGAACCAAAGTCCCTTCGAGACGGAGAGGACTAGCAGCGTTGTCACCGCGAACAATGCTGGTCCCATCACCTCTCGCCGGCATTCCTTCGACGTCATGAGTGGTGACGAAGCTGACAACGATCAATACGTCCCGGTGGTTCGCGACTTTGAAGCCGCCTCGCACACCTCACGATCCTTGACGAAGAAGGAAAAACGTAAGAACAAGAAGAGCAAGAAGGACCTTCGTGATCGTAACAAGATCGACACCATTCCTGAGAAGGAGGTCGAACCAAATGATCCCACGCCCAAGGTCACCTTCGCTGAAGAAGTACAACATGACAGTGCTGCTCCAATGAACGCACGCAAATACAACCGCCCAGCTCTCCCTTCGCTACTTTCCAACAATGTTTTCTCGAACCCTCAGAATCTTGCTCCACTTGGCGGACCTGCGCCCAACATCCGTATGGCAGCACCTCGAGACAACGCGGCTTTACGTGCACCTCTTCGTCGATCAAAGTCTCTTCCTGAACAAATCGGTCGCGCCGACTCCACTGGTAGCGCAGTCAAACATCCTGCCGTATCTCCCCAGGCCGCCATGGCACTCAACGAAGATGACGAAGACGAAGAAGCACCTGACATGTCTATCAAAGCGGCTATCTTCATGCTTTTGATCAGTACGGGTCTCGTTGCTGTTTGCGCCGACTTTATGAGTGACGCTATCGAGCCCATGGTCGAGACCTCTGGTATCAGCCAAGCATTCATTGGTCTCATTATCCTTCCTATTGTGGGCAACGCCGCAGAGCACGTCACAGCTGTTACCGTCGCCATGAAGAACAAGATGGATCTCTCTATCGGTATCGCTGTTGGTTCTTCTATTCAGATCGCCATCTTTATCACCCCTGTTATTGTCATCCTTGGCTGGATTATGGGAAAGGAGATGACACTTTACTTCAACATCTTCGAGACTGTCGCACTATTCGTTACCGTATTGGTAGTGAACTTTTTGGTGTTGGACGGTCGCAGTAACTACCTTGAGGGTAGTCTACTGATTGCTGCCTATATTATCATCGCGCTGGCCAGTTTCTTCTACCCCGATGGTTGCGACGCTAGTGCTATCGGTGGTAATGAGCAGCGCTGTAACAACGTTCAGGTTGCCCGATTAGCACAGGGCATGGTCAAGAGGATGATCGGCATGTAACGCAATGGCCATTCGTTGAGAACCTTGAAGCTCGAGTAATATCTGGCTGCCACAAGATTTTCGATACAAGCATGGCATTGTGACTAGTTGGTTGAGTGGCATGGTGGGATGTCCGCTCCCGCATCGAGACTTGTCATAACGTCTCATTTCCTTTCTATCATGATGCTAGCCAGTCGTTACAGATACCTAATAGCTTATTACCCCAGAGGTCCCTAAATTGATACATAATTCCGGCTCGTTACACGAAGCCCGCCTCAACAGTGGCCTGTTACGTACTCTTGTGTGATGCAAATGGCTTTTGGTCAGCTTTTGGTCGCATTGCTCAAATGAGTTGCAAGTACGCGACATACACGTTTTGCTGTTGGTGGAGTCGTCATCTTTGGGCGCCCTGCCAAGAGTAAGCGCCTGCCTAAATCCGTTCCGTCGTCGTCGTCCGACACGAGAGGAATTCTTTGCGAGCTCAGCCACAAGGCTTCGACGACTATGTTTCTTATTCTCTCATCATGTATACCATCGATCTTGCCGATGTAAGATCTATCAGGCGTTTGTCTCGACAGCTATACTGCGTTCCGTATCGCGACATATCGTATTTAGACGTTTGTGCCTGTGACATAAAAAAGCAGCGAGAGCAACTCTCCCCTATTCAGATACAAGAAAAGTATGGTCAGCCGCGGCGGCCGTTCGAAAGGATGCACCAACTGTCGCCGCCGGCGTGTGAAATGCGGTATGTGCCCATTCGCTTACCCCACGTTCACCGAGTCGAAACCAGGTGCATGTGCTGACAAGAAAGACGAGAACCGTCCCGTGTGCGGACAATGCACAAAGCGTGGTCTCGAATGTGAAGGGCCAAAAGACCTAACCTGGATCGATCAGAGTAGGACATTCGAAGCCAAACCAACAAACGCAGCCCAGAATGCTGTCGTCAAGATAGCTAGTCCGACTGAGCTATCTCTCAAAGCCTTTGAAGATGACATCTGCTTGGCGTACACTCGCAAGACCTTGCTTCGCGGAGGACCTGTCGAAATAGCCTGCAACATGGTTGAGAGCTACGGCGCATCTATAGAAAGCGACAACCCAGGTCTTGATCTGTTGCGCAAAGGGATATTAACCTTGTCTGTTACCTTTTTCGGAAGCCAACATCGACAGGACTACATCACAAAAAAAGGTTATTCCCAATACAGTGAGGTACTGCGGCAGCTGAATTCGCATCTTTCTCACCCGGAGCTGCAGTTGACAAACGAAACTCTATTGACAGCACTGTCTTGTATGCTTCTCGAGATCTTCTTGCCTACTGGACCGAAGAACTTTTTGAAGCACCAGCGAGGCCTCGATGCCATCGCGATGCTACGAGGCCCACCGAAAGAGTCCGATGGTACTACGGCAACAATTTTTCGCGGCTTGCGCATTCTCTCTATTGTTGGCTCGCTGGCGGAGTCTAGGACTTCTCTGTACTCCAGAGAAGAATGGAAGCGGGTTCCGCCTGTCCAGGCAAGCGAGGCAGGATACTTTCAGCATCACGTTTTCACCATTCTGGCCGATTGTACCCGTCTAATTGGCCGTCGCAATGCCCTGCTTGCTTCCAAAGCCATACCCGCCAGTTTCGAACCGTTACTTGTCGAGGTGGAAACTGTATTGAGCGCGCTAGAGGCGCTGTATCCGCACTGGGAGGTTTTAAATCGAAATCAGCTAGCTGGAGTGACAGAGCAGTCAGATATGGCGAAGACACTGGGGGTGGCCAATCATGTCTCTGCAACGGCATATATGCTCTACAACACTGCATACATATGCGTGCTTCAAATCAAGGATTCGTTGTCTCCGTCACCGATTAATGTTGCATGGCGAAACGCTGCGGCGACGAGCATCGCCAAATGCTTGGAATTGAAAGAATATGAACAGCGCGAGGGTGCACCGCAATCGAACACCATAGCCTACGTGGCTATAAGAGTGGCATGGCAAGCGTTGGGCGGTTTCGACTCTCCGGAAGGACGACGCTTAGCACATGTTGTCGATTCTGCGACAAATTCGGTCTTCCAGCAGCCATCTCTGCCATCGGATGAGTCGCTCTTTTCTAGATTTGTCGAAAGGATGCCGGTCGTGCTACCCAACTGCACGTCGTACCCCAATGAGCAGCATGATGCATGGTCTGAAGGGCCGCCAGGCATCATTGAATTCAGCATGCAACAGTTGGTCATACATCCCCGATTCTACGTAGAGACTTCTGACTCCCATAGGCATCTCGCATAGCTTTAGTTGCGTACAGCTACTGCATCAACCCTATACAAGATTAGCAATGGCTGAAAAGAAGCTGCCCATGAAGTGCGATGTCGTAGTGCATTGCAGTTATGCGCCACGCCTGATTTACTTCGGAGCACCCTTCTCAACCTGTGTTCTAATTTCGCGACATGTCACGCGGCTCCACATGGCGCGTTCCAAGCTTCCCCGGATTTTGACATTAGCCGGTGGCAATCTACCGGTAGGGAATGAAACACGGCGAATTTATCTGAACATGCTTCGGGTGAAGGGCACAGCTTCATCGATCTGAATTTGAATCATTGTGCCTTTGCACGACCTGTTGCGCGAAAGGCTGCGGACTCCCGTCTATGTGCGCTCACTTGCGGCCCAATTTTGCGCCCCAAAAACGGTGGCGAACCCACGAACACGCTGATATTGCGACCAAACACCTGAACACACATCTGCCGGACAGGGTCCTTTCGCCGCTTCCGATGACCCGGTTTAAGCATGTCGTCTACTATAAACGAGCCAAGAGCCCCTAAGCTTCACGGGAATGACCTCAGGACAGCGGGCGGAGCCTTGGCGTTTATACATAAAGATGGTAGGCCTTGAGAAACAATTCGAGCATTTCAGAAACACAGTCGTCGTTCTTCTATCATCATGGGTCTCAAGTCTCTCATTGTCGCGACAATCGCTGCGGTGGCCATCGCTGGGCCCATTCCAGATCCTCTCAATATGATGAAGCGGGCTGGACCTGCGGCGGGCCAAGTGATCACAAAGTGCGCAGCACCTGGTCAAATTGCTCTCGCCTACGATGACGGCCCATCTCAGTACACACAAAAGCTCGTCGACACCTTGACCGCTGGTGGAGCTAAGGGCACCTTCTTTGTTACTGGTTCGCTATATGGTACGCATAGCATTCCTCATGATACTCACCTAAGAGCACCTCCTAACAGGCGTAGGATGTATCTACAACCAGAAGAGCGCTCTCCAGAATGCCTACAAAGCTGGCCACCAGATCGCATCCCACACTTGGTCCCACCCGCAAAACTTCGGCTCCCTCTCAACCAACGACCTAACATCCCAGATGACGCGTCTTGAGCAAGCCCTCGTCAACATTATCGGTGTGAAGCCAACCTACATGCGCCCTCCTTACCTCGCCACTGGCGGAAACGTGCTCCCAACAATGAAGACGCTTGGATACCGCGTCATCACCGATGATGTCGACTCCGAGGACTGGAACGGCAAGACACCCCAGCAGAGCCAGCAGAAGTTCCAGCAAGCCGGTACCAGCGGTAATGGACATATCCCTCTCATGCACGAGACTTATGCTTCTACGGTCAACACCCTTACGCCTTGGTTGATCAGCTGGGCGAAGAACAACAATCTCAAGTTGGTTACTGTTGGTGAGTTCGATTATCAGTCTGTTATCATTGAGACATATTGCTAACTTGGTGTTTTAGCTGAGTGCCTGGGTGACGCTAGTGGCGCTTACAAGAGTGGTACACCGAACGGTGCCTCGACTTGCTAGTTGGATCCAGTCCAGATGAGTTGAAACTTCGCCGTTCACTTTGACCTCAGTATCTGTGGAAGAGCAGACAACGACTACCCTTGATCTATGTACATATTTTACTTTTAGAAAACCCTTTTAGCGAAGGCATTGATTATTCCTTCTGATGTTTCCACTTGCGTACGCTTGATGATCTCGTGCTAATGCGCTTCGCCCTTTGTCAGCTACTAATGTTGTAATTCTTAAATGAATTCTGCGGATCGTAGGTCAGTAAGAAGGGGTGAGTCGATGAGCTGGTATCTATTCTCAATATTAGTGTCGAGTTGTGAAATTGACGAAGCGACAAAAAAGCTGTTGAGTCACAAGCATTTAGAACAAGACAAAAAGGTCGGTAAGTGCGAGATAGTAAGCTCAAGACATTTAATGAGGATGGGGCAAGAAGTGTGAGCGGTGACAGACCGCCGGTACGCATCCGAAGCAGGAGGCGGAGAGGTTTCTCTGCTGGCCAATGCCCCCATTCATTCCCACGCATGAGATTCGAGACGAGCGAGACTACTCGAAGGTCCTTCGTAAGTATTGGTGTTTGTCTCCGAACTCTAGTCCCGTCGCTTTTCCAAGCTCTTGCCAATCTATGTGCAGCTTGCCAATCCATCGCTCGCAGCATCAATCGTGCAATCATTCGTGTTGCCTCTGCAAGGTGAAGTCTAGAAAAAGAGTAAGTATGATATGATTACTCCGGTCAGGAAAGAGAGTGTCATTGTCACATACTCCGGAACATGGCTGGTCAGGTCGTTGGTCGTTAGGAACGCAAACTCCAGCTGGACTATCGTCTCCGTAGCAGAGCTTCATTCAGTTAGCCATGAGATAGGTATCTAGAGCACGAAAGATGAGTTAACTTGCCCCTGATGACCCCTGCGCCGATGCAATACTCGAGATTATAGCCGCAATGATGAAAAGCTTCATTTTTTAAAATGATGGGTGATGATTTTATAAGTTTTGCGGAGTATTGGAGTATCCGAAGCTCTATTGTGGAAGGTGCTTATATACTCCACATGGTTGAGTATAGTACATCGTACTTGCTGACATCGATCGTCAAAAACTACAAGCAGTGCCAGCTAACTAGTCCGTTCTTGAGTGGAATACCGCTGGACCTGCTGTAAGTGACGGTGTGCTTCGGTCGTCCTCGGGTCAATCCAGCCTTGCCGTGACACGCGTAACTCATTCGGCCCAGCGTGATTATGATCGTTTTGACAACAGGTAACTGAGCACATATATTCTAATAGCTTGCACTTGACAAGACCTATTTATTTTTAGGATCGATTAGGTTGCTGAAGTTGTGGAAAGCTCGTTTTCGTACACTACCCACGGACCAAACAGCAACTAAAGTGTAAGATCCCGCTTCGTTCAAACGTTCAATCTTTTCACTCTCAAGATTACTCACCATAATCATGTTTCGATTAGTGTACATAGGATGTACGAGCTCGGAGTGATTCTTTCGGCTGAATACACCGCCTTGGCTTACAGACGCGCGTTCTAGTCTGGCGCACGTCCTAGTCTACTTGTGTCTCCACCTAATGCTACCCGCCAGGTAAGACCTCGAACTGACACCTCATAGTGATAGTAGCGTACATGAGCAGTTGTAGGGAGCCAATTCAAGGCTAAAGCTCGTATGATCCATCATGTGCAAAGGCTTGAATGTCTTGCAAAAAGAAGCTATAGCCTCCCTAGGTCCACGAAACTAGCTACTTCAAGATAGCATACCCTACCCTAGAAGACTAAGCTTCTCAAACATTTTAATCACTGGCGCCTCTCTCTTCTTCCCCACCTCTTGCAAGCTATCCCATAGCGTCGCATCTCCGCCAGTAGGCTTCATCGCCTCACCTTCAACGCCAACTGGCAGCTGATTAGCACTCTCGGAGGCTCCAACTGCCACAGCTGGGTACATCTCCTTGATTGCATCCTGACACCGTTCCATGACCTCGTTGACAGCATTGGACACGGCATCAGCACGCTCTCTCATACTTCTCCTAAACAAACCTTCGACAAGGCGCTGGATTTCTTCCTGCATGCTGTTGATACGCTCGATGAGGCGTTCGATCGAGTTGGTAAGATACTCCTCCTCATATACTGTGCCCTTCTTACCACGCGCACGCTTCCTCTCCTCCCTGCGCTTATTCTTGCTTGTCTTGCGTGTAGTCGTCGTGTTTACTGTGCCAGTCTGATTTGTGTATCTGGTCATGAATGTACCACCGCTCGTTGTGTCCGTGGGCGCCAGAGAGATGTTGTCAGGGATGTTCGCATCGGCCGGGCCGTCAATCATGCCCTCGTAGAATGCCATCGGATCTTCTGCTTTCTTGGTCCGGAGTTCCTTGAGTCGAGGTACTTGAGCTTGCAGTTGGCCTTTCATGTCGGCGAGGAACTCAGTCATATCTGCGCTGCGTTCTATGAGACCGGGATCGATGACTTCGGTAATAAGAGCAGGTTCGCGGCGGAGCGTGACGACACGAATTGCTTCGGCGAAGTGGCAACCACGACACAGGAGACGCGCTGCGGACGTAAGATCAGACAGATAGTCCAGTGTTATTGATGTAGCGGATAGGTAGTCCTTGGATTCTGCGAGACCATCGGCGAGGTCCGTGGCAATGGTCGACAGCTCATCAGCGCTGACATCGGCGAGAACAGCAGACGATAAGGCTTCGCGCCAGAGATTGGCTGACCGGTAACATGGCCAAGCGGATGTATGATCGCCGAGATACTCGTACGCCAGCGCAGCTTCTTTGTTCTTGTTGTTGCTGCTCAAGAAATCTGCGTACAACCGCATGATTTCTCTCAAGCGAGTGTTGTCGTATTGGTACATGCTCAAGGCCTCGGGGTAAAGGTCGTGCTTTTGTACATACTCCTGTACTTCATCGTAGGCCTGGAGTTCTTTGAGATGTGTGAGTGCTTTCGCTCTGCGTCCGAGCTGGTCGTCAATCTTGAATTTGCGACGGATTTCGGGGAGATCTTGTAGAGACTGGAGATGTGGAAGATATTCTCTCGGATCCTGTGAGAGTTAGACAATGCTTTGTTGGGCGATATGTCAGATGTACCTTTTGTGATTGTTGAGCGATGAGCAGGGCGAGATCTAGATTGTAAAGTCCCAATGATGTGTCATAGAGCTGGTTGACGTCTGCAAGAAAGCAAATGTGCTCGGCAGCCTTGTCAGTAAGCGGGTCACTTGATGCTGCAAGACGTTAGTAGATTGATCAACCAGCGAATGAGTAAGACTCACCTTGCAGACGACCGATCATAGCTAGACCAGTCTCCAGAGCTGGCGGTGTTTTGGAGACGTGGGCCGTGATTATGTTCTGCAGGTGCACATCCTTGTACTGTGACTTCTCTAGTACGTCCAAGAAAGCGTCGCATATGCGATTGACTTTATTGTCGACTTGATCTTGTGACAGCTTTGACTTTGTGGCCAGTTCCTTTGTCTTCAGTGTTTCCTTGTACATAGTTTCCGAGACGTCCTCGTTACTGTATCCGTTAGCTGATGTATACCTGATCATGGAGGTGGCCATCTACCGGAGCTGTGCTAAGAGCAAATCGATGTGCTCTATCTTCTTGATCTGCGAAATAATCCTCTCCAGACTGGCCATGAAACGCTCCGGATCATGATCATGTAGGATATTGAAATCCACGCGCTGGTTGCGACAAGCAAAGAATGCTTCATCATATCGGTCTGCCTCAATACTTCGGCGTATAGCAGCAAGCACAAGTGCTCGTGGGTATATCGTTTCCAGGTTACCTCTCGGCATCTGTAGTACGACTGAGTACGTTGTTGGCATGACCGTGACGATCTTTGCTCCTCTCTCGATGCTTCTGCATCTTTCATCCTTTTGTGGTTCGTCTGCAGGTACCTCTAGATCTGGAAAATATTAGTATGTAGGCGACTTCGACAATCCAAGCGGCGCTCACCATCTACACTAGCAAGATGAACAAATTTGAGGAGATGCTGCGTCGTTGTGAAGATAAGATGAGCGGTAGTGACCACGAACGATGTACAGTTGCGAACTAATATGCGTTCATTGGCATACAGCACTCCGCTTTTAGTCAAACCAAACGCCAGTGTCTGCACCTGTCAGCCATTGTCAATACAACTTGACAGATGTTATACGTACCTGACCCTCAACATTGACGAGCTGAACCTCGGGTGCAAAAGAGGGGAATTTGTTGACAAGAGACATCTGCGGTGGCAGATCCGATGTAGTCTCATCGACCACAACCTGATGTAAGGCACCACTCTGAAACTGGCTGTACAGCGTTTCCTGATCGATACTCGAAAGAAGCAGAGACGTGCCTTCGGCCTCCATTATGGGTCCTTGGGGCAGCAACATATCTCCCTCGGAATGCCAGAGAGAGCTTTCCTCCTCGTCCCAGCTATCGGTTAGTACGAACATCTGGTCCTCGCCAAGAAATGTGACATGACGCGGGGAGTGATCTTTTACCGCGTCACTGCGCCAAAGGAGACTAGGTTTTGGTATTGGCCGCTTGTTCAGGTCGAGGGCATATACTGCAAGGTCGCTGTCGGAAAGTACTGCTAGACAGTTGCCCGATTTCGAAAGTGCAACATCCATAGGCTTCGACTCTAGAGCCACAGTGTGTAATGACATGGGAGGTGGTACGTTCGCAATGCGAAGAGGCGTAAGTTTTAGAGACACTTGCAACCATCAGTACCAAACGATCCTTCAAGGAGAAGGTAGCTACTCACATCCGTCTATCGAAGCGACCATACCAAAGTCATTTGGTGGAGCAACTGAGCCAGCCGAAATCGTAGAGGCATACTCTAATACTTGCAGCGAATCTAATCTGTATTTAGCCAGACGTACTGGTAGGAACGGGTAGATGAGATACCTGACGTCGAAAGCGCGACAGCAAGCGGACGCTCGGCGTGCCAATCGCACATGACTGTCCGAGGAGAAGCCTCGGGAAATCGAAGTTCTTGCTTGAGATAGTAGTGGTAATTGCTCATCGTCCAGAGTTGCACCTTGTCGGGATAGGATACAGCAATGACGTTAGAATCACTGTTCCACTTGAGTGTCAATGGAACTGAGAGGGCAGCTAACTCCTCAACAGTAAATCGAAGATCGAACTGGCCATGACGAAGACCGTTCCGCTCGAAAAAGACCACCTCAACTTTGTCGCTGGTACGGCGAGTACTGGCAATTAAGTTGCCTGATGGTCGCCAACTGAGGGCCCCTTCGAGGCCATCCACAGGTTCGCTTACACTGTCCAGTTGTCCTTCGCGGGAGTACACACGGATCATGCGACGGCGCTCTTCCTCGATCTTGCTTACTGCGAACCATGCGCCATCGCCTCTCCAGCTGATTGTGACAGATCTGTCGTCCAGGGGGCTGAGTACACCCTCGTCGATGCTTTCCGGTACTGTTGGGTCCTGTAGCGCCCTGGCTCGTTTGCCTTTGAACTGCGTCTCTTTCTTTCCCCACCCGACCGAGACGTGACTGGAGACGTTCACATCTTCAGGAGTGAGGTTGACGCTTGCAATGTTCTCGATATCGCGACTCATCAACAGTAAGGTGTCCGCCTGTGTAGTGATGGCGAGGAGTTCCTCATCTGGCGACCACGCAGCAGCCGAGAGGCCAGCATCCACCGATCCCACGATCTCAACTAGCTCTTCCGTAGATGTTGGGTTTTCTCTTACGAGGACGATATCCCCTCCGGCCAAAATCAAACATGATGTCGAAGTGTCGGCGAAATGGTGCAAACTTAAGATTGAGTCATGGGTAAGCGAGGGCAGCGGACACGGCGCATCCCACGATGCGATGCTTTCGAGTTTCTCCTCAACACCGTTGCGCGCATAATGTAGTCTCTTGAGTTCGATGGTCGCACGTGATTCCGAGGGACCGAAAGCGCATACCAGTGCATCAGATGCGGCGTCCCAGGCAGTCGCAGTTAGCGGTAGTGGTTCGTCTCCAGAAAACCGCAGAAGCGACCTTCCCACAATC